GGGGGGGGGGGGGGGGGGGGGGGGGAAGTATGCATCGCGCACGCTTTTTTCACGTTCATTCCAGGGCCGAAGGACAGTGTGAATTTTGCGTGCTTTACTGCACTCGCCAGGTGTACGGGTCGGATTGTTTGCCGCATTTTGATGCGCATTTGCGTCTGCCATATGGGGCATTGTTAGCACATGACCAGTCAAGCTACTATGGAAAGGTGAGGCCTAAGGCTCGCCGATGAAGCGAGTTGTTGCAGCTTGTGCTGCTTCACTGTGGGCTGAAATGTTGGCATGTATCACAGGCTCAGCAACCCTGCATTACTTAGATTGGCGGCAGCTTCAACACCACACACTGTGGGCCGTAGTTGTTCACAACGAAAAGATGGCTCTCTCTGCTGCGCGCAGGTTGCAGCTCTGTGCCTTTACGCTGATGCAATCAACTACGGAGATCCGGCGGCCACGTTAGAGTACAGCAAGGTGCTAGTTCCCGCTGCGCTGCTGGCTGTGAGCCCCCAAGCAGAATGGTCCATTGATGAAGAGCATATGCTAGCTATTTCAGCATCGACGTACGGACTGGGTAGGTAAACGGAGATTATTGGGTCATGAAGTGCCAGCCGTGAGTCTTCAGGTGTTCAGGAATTCAGTGCGAATTCGTATTTCGGGGCTGGTATGGGGGTCATATTGTTTTTGCGGCGGTGGAATTTCATAAAACCCCTTCTCGTGAAACGCTTGGAATCAACGTCTGAGCTGGGCAGCTACGCTTATTCCTATATTGCAAACTCGAAAGGCATATTGGATGCCATTTATTTAGGACATGTGGTGCCTTTTAGGGCGGCAATTGGCAGGGAGATTCGCGCATGATTTCTTTGTACGCAGGCGTTGTGGCCCAACGGCACCCTGAACTGTTTGCTTCACAGCTGCAGGGCGCGCTGGAGGCCCTTGAACGGTGCATTGGGAGTCCCTTGCTGCGGTGCCAGAGCGGCAGGGCGGCAGCTGACGGAACTGCTTGCGCACTGCTGAAGGTTTATGCAGGCTTTTGCATGAATTTGGGGATTGAAGCGACTGCTGCAAAAGTTGCTACACTGCTAGAGACATGGTCGGTAGGAGCTTCAGCTAGCCTGTTTCCACACCGCCAGTATTTTCAGTACGAACTGTCTCCTGCTGGCTGCTCTCAATGAGCCACTTGTGCGGTTATCATCTGGTTGCAGGTTTCCTCTCGTGGAGGATGAGCAAGAAATCTACGACGCCCATGAGTTGCTACTACAAATGGCCATTCAGGACCATCCCCTAAGCTCTAATACAGCAGTGCGTCAACAACTGCGGCGCCTGGTAGATATTATTTCGCGGAAACCCGAGTTGATAGGGGAACGGGCAAGGCGAGAGATGTTGCAAGCCGCGAAGGACAGGCTCTGCTGACCTGCGTCAGGTGTTCGATGCCGCCTAACCGCTAGCTCCCAGTCGGCGTCTACGTTCGGATCATGCACTCGTCTGCATGATGCAGAAAGCGTCTCAATAAATTAATAGGCGTCACGCAGTTTGGATTATTCGGGCAGCACTGCAACCCGCATGTGAACAAGCCTCCCAGTGCGCCAGATCCTTTCCGCCCTCCGTTGCTGTTCGTCTGTGCTGCTGCTTTGATGGGCAGTTTTGCGCCTCAGTAGAATCCGCAGCGAATAGCGTCTATACATGGGGCTGTGGTGGGTATACACACTCTGGCTGAATCATACATAGATGGCTGTCTAGGGGTCATCTGCATACTTGCAAAATGCGTGCTATAGGGCAGCAGGGAATCTCCTTTACGCCACAGTCCCGGAAGCACTGGCGCCCCTTAGTGGCAGGCAACTTGCCCACTGAGCGACGAACTCGGGAATATGTTTTTGGTGTAGTGAGTGCAGAGGGCGGGGCTCTAGCGCTGGTCTTGGCGGCTACACCCTGTTTGTTTTATTAGTATTATCCAATAATTGCTTAGGACACGTGTCAAATTACTCTGTTCGACGTCCGAGTGCAATGGCGACCGCCGACTAGTAGAGTTTTGCAGCTTTTAGGGCTACCTGAAAGGGCTTCTGTGCCTGGGCTGACGATGAGGGGCGAGACGCCATCTAAAGAGCAATGCAGGTCGACGAAAATGCTCCAGAAGTTGCATACCTGAGCCTACCCTCGACTTTGTACTTTGAATCGCTGTGAAACGGTGGGACGCAGCTTTGTGCTGCCAGCTCAGTGGGCGCGTGTGCAACGGGCAGATCACCAATGGACTTCCGGGCAACCCAAAGACTCTTCGTCGTAATATCAGAAGAACTTCGAAATGCTGCTTTCGGCGTTGACGCTAAGGGAGGAGCGCAGATTTCTTGATCCCAAAGACTGTCAATTTCCGACTGCTTAGCACTGAAAGGGGAAGTGCGCCACACATTTCTCAGAGATCCTAAACGAATTGCAACGTAAGGTGTTTCCTTCGCTGCATCTAAAAAATAAACATGGTGGACTGCTGTGAAACCGAAAAGCAGTTGAGGTCGCTTTCAGGAACCCTACCCTTGGTTGAATCAGGGTACAATATTGCTATCGCCTGTGCAGCATCCGCATTGTCTGCAAAGACACTGATGGGAGAAGGGACGGATACGTGCATCACCATTGCAAAAATACTCCGTTCCCCACAGTTGCATCACGCGAAAGTGATTGAAGATGGGCTTTTGCAATGCAAGCGACCGCGGTCATGGTGTATGGACAAGGTGTTTGCTGATGACCTAAAGACTATTTACTGGCTCCTGCTGCGCGTGTTGAACTACGTCATGGTGCACCCCAAAAATAATTCAGAAATTTCTTAACGGATAAGCCTGAAAGCTCGATTTCACCGACGGGCACAGCTATCCTCCATAGTTGCGTTGCTAGAAGACGGGATTGAAACGCCTGCTCCCGACGAACCTAAGGATTCATCGTTCCTAAAAATGTATACAGCATATAACGAGCTGCCAATCAATCGGTTTTATGAAGGTTGGAATAAATGATCGGGAAGCTCGTCCCTTCCAGCGTAGCTTTCCGCAGCGCCTCTCTTCGTGACTGATTGCGCTGCTACGAACGTCGCCTTCGTTACCGCTGCTTCTGGCGAATTAGGGTTTTGTAGGAGAAAATAAGCAAAAGATCCTGCAAATGAGTCGCCGGCCCCCGTCGTGTCTACCACAAGCTCACTCGGAACCTGTTTCGCCAGCGGCACTTTCATGGCCTTCCCATTTGCAAATATAACACAGGGGTGGGCTCCGCGCGTGATAACAACATTGGCACTACCTCGCGCACCTTCTGGAAACCGAGAGGCCGTACGAAGCAACACCTCATGGAGACGGCGTGCCATGCATTCTTCGTCTTCCGTTTCATTCACAGCCATTCGGCCGTCCCACATGTTCACGAGAGCTTTCGCTTCGATGCTGTTGCAAAGCAGAAAGTCCGTGAAGCAACAGATCTCTGGATCGACGGAGTCCACCGGCGCGGGCGTAAACACAGTCAAGACACCGGCATTTGCCTTCTTGGCAATTCGGAAACACTCCACTGAGACTGACCCCGGAACTCCATTCTCTGAAACGATCACTTTCGCTCCCCCAAGCAACCTAAAACGCAGCAATAGATGTAAGCACAGGAGTAACTGTTAAACGTCCTATTGAACCCAGGCAGCTGCCACTGCCACGCAAATTAGATTGCGTAACTGGACTTGAATCTACACGGGCACCTGTGGCGGACTGGTTAACTGTTGGATAACGCTATGTATATGCGCTCAGCAGAGTGCTGCGCTGCTGCAAATACGCTTGGGCTGTGGTATGTTACGAGAGAACAGGCTCTGCGGAGATGTGCTCCTTGTTTAGGAACGCATTAGCCCCGGGAACGTAGGCTATTGTATTTTCCCCGCCGTGAGCAACAGTGACGAGGGCAGTGCCAGTTCCAGTTTGCCAATCTATGCAGATTCCCCTTGTATCAACGCCCAGCGACTGAAAGTGGCGCAAAAAGCTCAACCCTGCAGTATCTCTCCCAATTCGACCAACCATCGCTACACCGCCAGCGGGAGCGTCGTCTTCATTTGCACCTATACGCTTTTCGAATGTCGCAGTGTCCGAGACTTGCTGTGAGGCACCAAAGGCACATTCGTGGGTCACTCCTCGACAAGCGGAACGACCCCGCTGCAAGAGAGCAACTTGAGCAGCCTGGTTAGCTCCCTTGCCACCAAAATGACTTTCCAGCGTAGAAGAAAACACAGTCTCCCCGGCGCTCGGAAGTCGCGATACGAAGGAGACAAGGTCCGAGTTTATGCATCCCACGACAACGATATCTAAGTTCGCAGGCATTTTCACCCGGAGTGCTCATGCGTGCGAAACCCCAAGAAAACGGCGGAGAAGAGCTAGCAAGTCAAGACACACGAATGCTGCTCGCTTGTGGACGTTCTTTCAGAAAGGGAAATGGCGGCCCTTCTCCATCCAAGAAAGTACCAGGCGCAGTGCACTGCCCTCGTCTGCGCCTGAGCCTGAGGCCGTGCAAGCTTGGAGGGAGAGCTCTCCAGCAGAAAACCCACTAGAGAATCCTTCCGCTATTGAATTCAGTGATCAGCAATGGCTTGCTTGCTTCCAGATGAGGGATGCGGCCAGCGGCTTCCTCCATGCCTCGGGTGTTCAGTCATGTAGTGAACAGCGCTCTCAGTTGCCACTGCTTATCGGCCCTAGGCATACGTAGTTCGGTGCACATTCGATATATACCGGTTATGCGCAGCGCGTAACCCTTAAAATAGCAATCCATTATTCATATCCCGGGGCCCAACCTTCCCAAGAAGGAACATTAATCATAATAGTCCCCCATAGCCCCTTGCGGGTCATCGCTTCGACTTGAGAGCCAATCTCACAGTCAGCCCCAGACAGAGGGTAGTTGCAGAGCACTCTTGGCCTGATACCCTTATCTCCTGTCTAATGTAACTTGATTTATTTCTAATAACATTTTATTTGGGCTGTCTGTGCAGGATAGACCTGTAGAGGTCCAAGTTGTGTACCACTGTAGACTGCGTACCAGTTGCAGCCCCAATCGTCGAGTGAATTCGGTTCGATGACTCATGATTCGGGAGGGTGCAAAGTTGAATTATTCTATGCCCCGAAAGGTGTTGTTGGTGCATTTTATGCATTTTATGCCGTATATTCACCGACCAACCGCCTACACAGCACCTGCTGAGCTTAAGTCTGCTGGCGAACGTACGACGCTATCTTCGGAGCAATCTTTGGCGCCTGGTGTTCCTCGACTTCAGGATGGGATTAGCTTTGAGCAAGGATGCGTTGGAGGATCGGAGCCGCAAGGTATTTCTACTGCTGCCCCAAGCTCCCGTTTCTCCAACTGCGCAGCCGTACAACAGCCTCGGCCGCGGAGAACAGCGGTCATGTGCTTCACGTGAAATCCAGGAGTTCCCCATATAGCATATTGCTTTTGTAGCATGTCTGTAAATGGCCGTTGCTTCATTGCGGAACCGGCATCCACAGTACCGTAGATGTGCACCATAGGTGTATATGACGTCCGCAGGACGCCGCTTGTTCTTAGTTCGTATGTTGCTTGTTTGTGCTGCTCTTTCTTAGCTCCAGATGCCTCATTACCAATTAAGCTTATGACTGTTTTTTCTACAGGTGTGGCACCGTTGCTGCTTCGCCTGGAACCGTTGGTTGCACCCAATCCTGCATTATGGGGCAGTTCCTGCAATATTTGCGTTGGGCCTCGCGGCCAACGGGGAGCTCACGGCAAATCCCATAACTCTTTTCCAGAAGCTTATTTTAAATTGACGCGCGAAGTAGGCCATGGTGGTCAACATGTACAAACATTGTACTCACGAACTACTTCGGCCCAGGGTTTTTCTCACAGGGCTGTGGTGGTCGTGAGTAAAATGTTGCCATCGATGTAGAGCGGGCGCCGTCTACGGGTAAGACTGAAGAGGTGCTTTGATCCCAAAAGAAGACCCGTATTGTGCCTTTGTGTTTGACGTTCCCCTGTTTCTGGGTATTCCGGAGTCTGTCGCCGGGAAGGCGCTGGCGTCGGAGGAATCAAGTGCTGTTGTCGTCCTCAGGAAATCCGGACCCAATTTTGTTTGAAGGGCGAGTTGCCGCAGTGCCACGAATCCCCCCCCTTCACCGGCGCTACCTTGGACAGGGAGTGTCACATCCAGACAACGGGCTGGTGCAGAATTGCTCTGTGCGCTTTGGGTGGAGGCGCCAGCTGTAGGTTACCCAAACTGCACTGGCAGCGCCGGCACCTTGTTGCAAGGAAACTGGCGGTTTTGAGACACCCTCTCCCCGAGAAGCTGAGCCTTCGCAACGCGTCTGCACTATCAACTCATCCAGCTATGTACTTCCCCCCCTGCAAACTTTATTCAACTGCTAACAAACAATTTAATTCTGTTTTAGTGCAGAGGCGGAACCGTGGAAACGACTGCAAGAGCTGCTGTATTTCCGCAAACCTGACACACAGGTACCCACTGGCTCGTAACATGCTTCCCGTGCCAGTGCACAAACCCGCGGCCTACCGGGTCATCGACATGGACTACCCCTAGTCACACCACTTAAGGTGGCAGTAGTGCACAAGCTGCTCTTCACAAGGGTCTCTGCAAAAGCAGCCAGTAGCTAACGGGTACTGAACCGCCATAAGTTAACGCAGCTGAATACAGATGTTCGCATAGATCCAAACGGATGCACGAACCACATGCCTGGAGGTGCCTGGAGACGCCGTAGAATACGCCCCAATCCGCTTCATATCCCCCTACTATGTGACGGTGTTCGGGGGATCCTTCCTTGGCATCTTCAACAGGCCACATCAACCGTCCCGCTACCAGTCGCCTGCTCTGTTCGTACGTTGTGGAACCGAAGCGATACGCGCTGGGTGCAGAATTCACCTCCTTTGACGGCCCAATCACCTGCATTTTCTGATGTCGTCGCCCTCAAGGCACTCAAGCACCCTTACAGTTTGGCGCAAGTGGGCTCTGCCTTGTGATTGCTTTCTTCTGAGACGCTGTCGGGCGTGTCTGGTGGATTCTTTATCAGTTCACTGATGCTTCTCCCCAGCTTCTTCATGCGAGACGCAATTCGTATCCTCGCGTCTTTAACGACCGTGGGAACTTTCAGCTTCACGCAGTCTTCACTTCTCTGAATGCTACGTGGCCGCTCTGTACGGAAAACGTCGAGGATTGCCTGCGGGTCGGCGTTCTGAAATGCCACCGCGTACGTCGCAGTAAACAGCGGAAAAAGATGCTCAACCTCATTTACACGTATCACCTCTGCCACCAATTCGAGCGTTGCCGGCCCCTGTGGTTGTGAAAAACAGGTAAGCACACACAAAAGCACACGCACACACACACAGTGCAACGGCAGGAGGAAGCATATGCCTACGGCCCCGCATTAAAATGAAAACGCCAGGTACCAGGGAAATCAGCGCATACGTACTTGCAGCTTCTGGCCGTTGAGCATTTCCTTTTCAAGCTGATCCCAGTCCTTGCCTTTCTGACGCACGAACGCCGCAGCTACCCTGGCGTTGCGCCCCCCAAAGACGGTCGTGATAACATCAGCATAGCCCGCGCTGTCGTACAGAGTGTCCTGCAGCAACCAGACACATTCACTGGAGGGCAGCGCTGGTGTCTGGGGAGACAGCAACCGATGCAGTAAAAAGTGCCCAATGCATGGCACAAGGCCCTGGTTGCTGCAACTGCCCCTGGAGGGCTGAAATGCGGGGACCTGAATCAGGCCACCCACAGCAAGTAGATCCCCAAAGAAGAGCATTGTGAATGTCTTTATCTCCTCTACTCCAAGCCGGAGAATTGCTGCCTTCGTGTTAGTACCCTGGCCCATTCCTTCGCAGAAACCACCAGCAAGAGCAACGACGTTTTTCAGAGCTCCGCAGACCTGCAGCATCGCAAGAAGCAGTTCAGTTGACCGGATCAAGCACGCTTGCCCCTCCCAGCCCCAAAAGCAGCTGGGCCCTGCACGTTCTGAATCAACTGGAACTCAGGGTGCAGACGGTGGGCAGAAGCAACACAAAATCACAACATCGCGCATGCGACAAGCAACTCAACTCACCTCGACACCATCAACATCTGGGAGCACATTTATCTTGAAGTTCGGTCTGTCAAAGAGAAGCTGCCACAACGCTGCCGTCTCGGTCTCACCGTCCGCATGGCCAATAGTCGCCTCCGCGAAATTTTCAGCGGCAACATCCTTAGCCACATTAGCGCCTAGAAAGAACATCACAGGGCAGCTTTTTTCCAACGGCGATCAATATAAAACGCTAGTTGTTCATTATGCGTAGCTCATCGAGCAAGTTGCAGACAAATGCATAGGCATGCGACAAAGCCTCACCCGACAGGACGCACGGCTTCGGGAGGTCCAATATTGAGCCAATTTCGTGTGTCAGGGTTATAGGCCAGCCATTCCTGACACCAATGCCTTTAATGAGAGAAATAGCCCGGCAGTGAGGCGGCAGTAGCTTGGCTTTCCTCAGCTCTCGACAGGCTCTCTGCTCACATACATGCTATCCACCAATCGGGTGTGTTACTTCGTGGTTCCCTTCTCAGCACGGCACAGCACGACACTGCACGCACGCACTACCCATATCGTCTCAAGAATCTACTAAATAGCTAAAGGAGCACTGTGCCAGGCCCACAAGCTACAGCCTAAAGCATGGATTCACTAGGGCGAAAATTTACATTGGCGTGAAGCGCAAGTTGTGCAAGCTACCTCTATAAACTGGTGGGGCATCACGAAGACCAGCAGGTCCGCATCTCTGCACGCGTCCGTGAGAGAAGGGACAGCGCGAAGATTCGAGGGGAGTTCGAAGCCCGGCAGATACTTCCTATTTTCGTGGTGGATGTTTATCCAGTCCGTCAGCTTGCGGCCCTCAACCTCCTCCTCATATACCCACATGCGGACCTGTTGAGGAGCACGAACAAATTTTGCAGTTCCTGTTCCCACCGGAAATTATTGCACTCCAAAACCCTTCACTGACACACGTATAACTCAAATGATGAACGCGTACGCCCATGAGGTACATGCCACCCACGACCCTAATGTTCTGTTCACAGTCACACAGCGAGTGCGTAGTTGAGGGTAAGAGTGCAGCCGCACATCTGTATTGAATATGTGCGAGTTTTTCGCATTTGAAGCCACAATCTTCCCCACTGCTGTCCCCCAATTGCCGGAGCCAACTAAGGAGACCTGAAACAACAGAAGAAACCAAGTGGGCAGTCCATGTTGCACTAAAAGAGGCAGAGCGCCGCCAGCAGCGTAAGAACCATTTCACATAATTCCCATGGATGAGGGTTGCTGTGTAGATCTGGAGGCGCCTTATCCATGTGCGAGGATCCTCAGACGCCGCACACGGAACAAACACACGCAAATGAGCCGAAAAGTGAACCAGCTGCAGTAAACAATGAAGTTGATAAAGGTAGCGAGCGACCCCAGCAAAACCCCTGAGATCCGTCACTCCTCTACCCGATCCCCCTCTCCACGCACACACCCTTCTTGCATGGCCCCTGTGGCCCCCAACATTTCTGAAAATATTTGATGAAAAAACAGGGGCAAGCCATGCTGCACGCCCACGCCCAAATCTACGTGCGATGGTCAGTACTCCTACAGCCGCTTGACAAAATCAAGCAGCTGAATCGCCCACTCACCTTCAGAGGGCCCTTTTGGAGGGCCTGAAGAAGAGGGGGGAACGTAGACGCTGGGCGGAGGAATGCCTCCATACTTGCAGGTGTCAATAAAAAGAAGAGACAAAACAACAGCACCGCGTTCCACACGCGCCGCCCTTGGAGATGCCAGCGAGGTCCCAGGTGGGCTGAGTCGGATGCGGTGGGGGTAGGAACAACACCTGACTGCCAACTTGGGTGGAAGCGTTTGCAGCTGAATGCGCCGGGCTTCCTCTGGTTGCATACGCCAATGAGCTGGGGGCGGCTTTGTTGCATTGATATGAAAAATTTAATAGGGTGTGGTTCCTCGACAAATATTCTTGCGACGTGTTAATGCCACAAGTACTATTGAACGGACCTGTCTGCGCATGCCATCTGTATATTCGTTTTTTGCATGTCTTTCTGTCAATGGAGACGAGTGCACCGGTACCCACCCGGGAAACTGCTCAATGCGGGATAGGCAAATAACAGGATTCTTCACAACCGTTCAACGAAAATGATAACTTCCGCGAAGGAGCTGTGGTAGCATTGGACGAAAGATGTGGCACAGCGCACAGGGAGGCGGCACACTCCGCACACCACACCAGGTGTTGTACCGGGTACTGCGATGGCGCCTGCCAATGGCATCGGGACGCAGCAAGTAGCGCTAAAAAAGAGCTTAAATTAAAAATGTTTTAACAATAAGTGTTACAAGGTAATATTATAGATGGAAATGATTGGGTTCCCATAATGGCTAGTCCCATAGGACTCCGTGTAGTGGCAACCGTACCTGCGCTCGGCGCTGCAGGGCAAGTGGAGGCGGCTCCTTTCTGTTGACAGTCTGAACTCAGGCAAATTCTCGATGCCGAATTTAAGCGATATTTGGAGGACGGTGGCAGTTACTACGAAACCGTTAACTAGGGGATCCAGCTTGACTATGCGCCCTGCAACTGCGCTGTGGAACGCTATGGGGTACTATGTAATGGGGTCGCTGTTGTCAAGTTGCTCACTAGCGAAAAGTGCTATTTTATTTATTTCCAGATGCCACATTGGCACAGCATTATTGTCTTGCGCAAGGGAGCAACCCAGAACCATACAGCAGTGCCAGCAGTGCCAGGCATTGTCACATGGGGTCCACGGTGTCTAATTGCTCGTTGTCGTTTTATTTTTAGTCTTGCCTCGACCGAATAATTCTTCCTGTATTCTTTGCACACCAATACAATGGTTGATACCGGCAATTCCCACATCTTGAAGAGGAAATCGAGCGGCACTGCTGCTAAGAAGAGACGATGCTCAATTAGCGCGTTTGGATACAGTCCAGTGCTGAACGGTAAGTGGCGCATATGCGTCGGCTTTATGCTACTCAAAAAGTCACGGTGGAACAAAAGTTTCCGATGCCCTGAATGGACGAGCGCCTGCAGGGTTCTGCAGCTATTCATCTGACGGGATTCTGCAGACCCCAATATCCCGACGACAGGCGCAAGACGGATTTCCACACCCGCAAGCGCAAACTAGAGTACACGAGTATTTCTTTTGAGCATGTTAATGCACATAGAGAACTTCAGCGACGGGCTAATCACGATATTTTGCGAACTATCGATGAGAGATTGTTCATGGACAACTTGGGTAGCCTTGAACTGAAATGTGCAGGAACACTCCCGAGGCAGACGGCGTGCACTGCAACTGCAATCTGAAAAGAAGTTGTTCGTGCAAACACCAATATGCTCGCTTCCGTTGCTGACACTCAGGTTCGTTAGGTTTCGTCGATCCGCAGGGTGAGTCGAACTCGATCCGGCGAAGGTTGGGGCCAATTGGACGTGGCGGCTGCCCCTGTACACTCGAACGGAAGTTCAGATTTTTCTGTCTCGCATCGTACTACCGCAACTTCTTCCCTGGACTCGCTCGCACTGTCACAACCCTGACAGACCTCCTGATGACGGAGAACTAACTTTTCTAGAAAAGAGTGAGCATGCAGCTGCTAGGCGCATTAACCACCTGGCATCCCAGTACTCACGCTCCCTGATTTGGGTCCACCCCAGTGGGTCAGTATCACATCAGTTGGTATGATGCTCTCTCCGCAATCGAACGACTCGCAAAGTACCAAGCAATCGCCTACTATTCAAACAGTTTCATAGAAATAAAGCGGAAGTGTCCAGTACAAGGGCCCACGTGATCTGGTAGCCAGATTACTTTTTTGGCAGGCAGTTCACCGTTGAAACCTATCATTAATCCCTGATACGTCTGACGAGGAATTTTCACGAATACAAGAATGAACGAACCGTTGGGTGGCTCTGCCAGCTCACGCAGTACAAACTCGCAGGATGCGTTATAGAATAGACGGCAGCCTCTTGCATTGCTAGGCAAGGCATGGGCTCCGCCGGTTATAGTTTCGAGGTTGCTGTACGCGCACAAGCTTTGGTAAAACTTCACGAGCACGCTTTAGAGATCCACGGTTGGATCAACACAGCAGTGGAGCCAGTGGCTAGGCGCTTCTGGTGGCCTAGGGGAATATCTCCTTGCTTGTCCGGAGTACCAACAGCTAAACCCGTGTAGCATGCTCAAATGAGGATTCGTGCAGAGTCTTCCTATCTTTGGACGGGTCTAGACGGATATATCAGCGGAGCGTCCCTTTGTCCTTTACAACCATCCAGGGGCAGCGATAGCAGATACGACGTCGGGGATAGACTCTTCAAATATGCCCTCTTCATCCCGTGTTCGAGTTCTTCTACAACAGAAGGAATGGCCCAAATATTCATCGCTAATCTGTAGAAGCTCCACTGTCGTCCAGAAACCAACAATAGTGACAGGGATCCAGACGTTGGCGTCTTCTTGCGTGAGTTCTAAAGCGGCTTAATATCAACTATAACATGGCCAATGCGAACTACCAGAAGGCGGACAGACAAATCAAACGCACCGACAGCATGTTTGTGTATTTGCAGCTGTATCCCTGGAAAACGTCAAGGTGGCTATTTTCCTTCCTTGCGCGGAATGGCCTTATAGGACAATCACGCGCACTTGGGCTCGTAGCTGCAGTGCACAAGCACTACAATGGTACTCAGATTGGGCGTGTAGATGGGACGGAATCAAAGCAAAGAAAAACGAGAGGGGAAAAGAAAATCTGAAATAGATAAAGGATTAAACTAACAACGGCCAGAAAAACAAAGGAAGAGAGCGAGCGAGAAGAGAAGCAACACAAGCAAACCAAAAAAAGCATAACAAACTAATGCACCTTAGGCGCATTACATAGAGTAGGACGGAAGAAGTAGAATGAAAATAAACAAGCTGAATATATAACAAGCTGATGAAGCGAAGAAGAATAAAAGGGGGAAGCAAAATACACAAGTAAGTGTAACTAACTAGCGGAGCCGCATAGGAGGAGTTAAGATAGTACATGAAGAGGACGGAGAACAAATTACATTGTCTAATTATCAGCAACAAAGAAACAGAAGCGGAGAGGAAATCGTGAGTCTAAAAAAGCACATCAGAACAGGGACGGATAGACGCAGGTAACTAGAGAAAGAAGATCAAATGTGCTGCATAACGTGAAGCAAACGCAATGGAATGCCAGGCAGGGCAGGAATTAACTATAATAACCAAGACAGCTACACGTAGATGGAATCGCATGGGCACAAGAGAGGGCCTGGATGAGAATTAGGAGCCTACAGCTCACGTGCTGGACTAGGAACAATAAATCGGCAGCAGGCGGGCCAAGCAGGATTGTTATGGAAAAGGATATGCACAAACAAACGGTGAAGGCACACACGAATAGTCTTTGGGGAGGTGCCCGCAAGCGCTCTCGCGGCACACTACGCTGTACAACAGGATGACGAGGAAGAACATGCCCAAAAACGGCATCACTTGTACGACGAGGGCGGGAGCAACCCTGTACGGAACACAGCATCAGTATCGCACAACAACAAGCACACATGGACAACAGCGCAGATTCGGTATTCCTTGGCAACGTCGCCAGGAATGGCGACCGCCGTAGCGTTCCATCAACTATCGGCGACGAGGAGAGAGAAGAAGCAACTTGGAGAGGCCACGGCTGTAGCTGGGCAAGGGCCAGCGCAGGCCCCCTATTCGAGCAGCTCAGTAAACGGAGGAAGGGGAAGGTAATGCGCAGCACTACAATGGTAAGCCGGAATGGCCTCCAGAGGACTTACAATCCAGAATCTGAGCAAGTAATAAGCATTGAGAAATGAGTTAACTGAGGTAACCGTGTTTAAGAACGAAACCCGCTGCGGAGTATACCAATGAAAAAGAAGCCTCACTCTGGGAATATGGCTGGCAGAGGCACAGATGATGCTACGGGCGGCCGCACATCGGGACAGGGCGAACATGGTTCTTTTTCTGGTAACGTGGTGACTCTCATGCTCTTGGGATTTTATGCTATTTAAGGTGTATTCGGTAGCCAGATCCTGTAGATTCCTGACTAGATCGGCCCTAGTCAGGCGCACATAGGTACCAAGCCGGGCGTAGCTCACTGCGGAAGCTCTCCGTCATCCCGGGTCCGCACCGAAACACTCCAGTCTCAACTCACATTAGAACTGGTTCGTCGAAGCCTGCCCCGTATGCGCGTCGCTTCTGAGTCCCATCAGCAGCTGGTCACAACGAGGAAATGCATGAAAAATGCGCAAGAACGCCAGGAAAGGACATACGACATAAGGAGTTCAGCAGTCATCTACAATGCAGACGCCTTGCTCTGAGCGGATACACAAGCCTGCCGAATAGCGCAAGAATGCGAGTACGCGAATAAGGTAGCCGTGCGTTGGGAGCTGAAGAAGGTAGCCTTGCGTTGGGTAGGGCCCTTTGCTGTTGGTTATCGGGTGAACACGTTGGCATACACCGCGAGTTAACCCCAGTGTGGAGATATCATCATACCATCAGTGTTGGCATCCTCAAACGGTTCAGGGAATCTCTTAAATTCCCGTGGACATTGAGCATAACACAGCAGCAACTTCATTCCGAAAGGGCACACCTGGAAGAGCATGATATCCTGGACACATTGATATCAACCTGCAAGGGCCACATAGAATAGGAATATCCGGTCAGCACTCCAGGAGACCGAGCAGTCGAGTGGGTTTCTCAGGGTTGACGTGCGAAGCAATTTTCTTAAAACATCTGTGTACTTTTTGACTCAGCACCCGCAAATGAGAGCATGTGCGAGGTCGGCGCAGCTTGGCCGTTCCTTAATTACGTGGCAATCGGCGATATTTCACGGGTAATGTAGAGCCTTCATATTTCCATCTGCTCTCTGGATCCAACTATTTTACCTTGTACCTACCCTTCCTCTCTTCCCTACAGCCAGCTCAGCTCCACTGCAGGCAACAATTTCACGTTCCTCCCATATAGGATTAGGCAGCAGGCTCGAGCTAACGTGGAGAAGGGCAACAGTCGAGGCGCCAGCGCTGAGGTGTGTAATGAGGCCCCCCTGCCTACAGCGTATGTAAGATTATCTTCTCTGTACGTTTCGCGGAACCGAAAAAACCTGTTGTTGCAGCTGCCACACCTTATTGTTGAGGTCTCCCTGGGAAGCTGCAGTAGCACCAGCTCGGGAGCGACAGGAGACGAAGGAAAACGAATGCCTCCTGCAGCAGTGTTGGGCCGGCCTGCCGCAACGGGTTCCGCTGCTGCTGCTATGCATGACGCTGCAAAGACAGCGGAACTTGTTCTCTACGAACCGCATTCAACTCCGTTTCAACACCAGGGAATCTGAACGATGCAATTAATTACGGGCCTTTGGGCAATCACAGCAACAACGGTAAAATAAGCTTTTGCAGAAAGGATGCAGGCCACTCTAGGTTGATGCTTGCCCAGTCGGGGTGAAAATTGTTAACGGACTACTCTTCAGCGTAGAAGAAAAAAATCGCCAACCTTCCTTCTGCCTTCCAGCGGTCTTATTATTTGGACGTGAGACGGGGAGCACCCGTTAGTATGCCCCAGACACACACTCGCATATCAGCACACGTCTGAGCTACATAGAAGTACGCCGCTTCGCTTCAGACGCGCGCTCACACTGCACACCACTCAGCGAAATCGTTTACGTCGCTCCGCAAAGCAAACATGAAGTGAATGAAAAGCCTTTCTAGCGGGAATCGAACGCGCAACCCATTGTACGGACGCCTGCGTTACCTAAGCGGGATTGGAAAACTCCACCTGCCGTTTCAGATTTCGTGTTTCAGTCAGCCGGGTTGGAATAGATGCACAGGGACAGTTCGGATAGTTCCTACGACAAAAACATTACTGAAATACGATGCTTTTGTGAAAGAGGAACGGTGTGCGAAGACAGGGATAGCAACCATTGCTAGCGAGCACACAAGTGACACGAAGAATTCCTGTGGAGTGTGCTCCCCTTGTAACGGGGCGAGGCTCCCAGCTGATGTTCACTTCCCAACAAGCGGGCATACCCTGCCCAATATCCTTTATGCAAAAAGCGAAAGCGGATCGGAGGCTTCGATAAAGATTTGGGGAGAATGCCTGAACCTCTTCCTTGGACTAGATCTCCCAATGTACCTTCGGTATATTCAATGCTGTACGCTAGTCTACCAGATGGGGGAGTGGAGTTCTCTGCTCGCACCTGTCTGGATGAAGCATGCTGTGCTACCGTCTGCCACGAGTTGCCGAGACTAGCCGCAGATCGTCGCCAGCTGCCATTGAGTCAGAAGGCTGAGGGTAAGACTTCGTAGAAGGCATCTGGCCTCAGGGAGAGGCTAGCTAGCCTTTGGAAAATCTTACCTAATGCATTTTGACTCTATTACTGCTCACAGCAGCCTTCCACTACTATCGCTGACTCGTTACATACATGTACCCGCTCCAGACAGGCTATGCTAGAGCGGAAGTCATCGGCTGATGTTGAAGGCTCCCGTCACAATACCAAAGACCCCCATTTTAATTCTTGCATTAGCGCTGTAGACAATTGTCAAACATCTACTTGTCTATCAGTAGCCAATCTTGATGCAAGCGGAAGTACGTCAAAAGGCTCTACACAGAGCACTGTACGACCTGCAACAAGCGCGAACTACCTACACGAACAGGGGAATAACGATCGTGCGCCTCTTGGCAAAGACGATATATGCAGATAAGTAGATCCTATCCACATCTCTGCAGTACAATTAGTTGATTCGCATAATTCGTTTTGTTGGCCGGGCAGCGGTCTGCAACGTCCCACGACGGCAGCAGAATTCCGTGTGCGGCGGGGCATCCTTTAGGAAACGGGCCAAGACAAAGATGAGTTGCTTGATGACGAAGAAAATCCATGAAAATGATGTTTCAGCCAATATTATGCAACTTGAACGCCAATAAACGGAGGAATATTCCCCTAGGGACACTCTCAAACCGTCGCATTGCTCTGTTAGTTCCCCCTCGCATGCCCCCCATTCCAGCCCATGCGCTGTTGCGGGGAGATTCTGTGGGAGAACCTGAGGGATTCGTTGTGGGGTTCTCCAATATCAGTAGTTTATTTATCTGTATTTCTCACCAAAAGCACGGCTGCTGGTGGAACCCATGCTAACCTCGCGGGGGTGTACCTCGCAACTGCGAAATCCACAGGCACGACGGGGGCGAACTGATTGGCGCCTCTTCATTTCTTTTGCCCCATAGGCCTCATATTTCGTTTCTTTTTCGGGGTCGAAAAAAACAGGCTTTTCTCTGGTCTGTGCCGCTGAGTTCACTGTGTTCTGGCGGTTCTCCTGTACTCTGCCGTATCACAACTCCTCTCAGGTGTATAGACACCCCTTTTTGACCTGCGACGAACTTGCTTCATTGTAATGAAGCACGCGATTTTTTCATATGTGCCATAGATTTTTCCGCTACAACTTCTTCTTGCGACTGCCCGTCGCGTTTTTCCTCTCCAACGATCTTTTTTCGCGCACCTAGGAGCCAACCGCAGGCCAACTCGGAGCCGAGAGCAGGCCAAAAGACGCCGTCGCCGCGGGCCTGAGGATAAAGAAAAGGATTTAAACTGGGATTTTCCACAAAGTGGCCACTCCTTCTATTCAACCTGAGTACTCTGTCTATGAAATGACTCGCCGGAAGCGTGACTCTTGCAGCTGCGTTGACATTGCTCAAAGGGATAGGGGTTTCAAGGGAAATCCACCATCTCATTCGGACGACAAGGGACAACTTTCGAAAGGCCCGCTCTCTAAACATCTTTGTGTGTGAGCTACGGTTCGAGAAGCACCGCCAGCTAGAACCTTGTTGGTAGAGACATAACTGATTGTCTCGTTGCCTGCAAGGTTAGTTTTATTAGTTGGATGTGATGATTCTCCACTGATTAATTTTGTACTTCGTCAGCATCACCGACAGGAGCGGAGGCCGTTCTGTTGTCTCTTGAGGGCGATGGCCATCCCAGCTGTGGCCGTCGGGCTGAGGGCTCCCTTGCATGCTGAGGGGGGCCCCTCTGTGGTCCCTCTACGGCATACGTTCAGCCAGGCGGAGACGAGGGATGGGACCCACGCTTCACGAAGCGTGGATGTATCTCGTGACGGTTCGCACGAGGCGAACTGCCGCCGCTGCTCTAATTGCAGCTGTGGCGCAGGTGCTGGAGGGGGCAGGGCGCCTCCTCGGAAGCCGTTGTTCGAGGTGTCTGCTGCTGACGCGTCTATCGTTGCTTCTGTAGCAGCTTTGTTGCAGCACCTGGGTATGCAAAACAGCTCTGAAGGGTGCGGGGCGCCTTGCTTTCTCAGTGCCACAGAGCCAATGATCAGCATGCCGGACTACTTGGAGCGTTTGGCTCGTTTTTTTCAGTGCAGTGGGGAGTGTTTTGTGCTGGCCTTGGTTTATATTGACAGGCTGCTCCAGATGAACAGCAACGTGTGGCTGTGTCCTCTCAACTTGCATCGTCTGGCGGTAACAGCCCTGATGGTTGCTGTAAAATTTGCGGACGACACATTCTACTCGAACGCGTATTATGCGAAGGTTGGGGGCCTCCCTCTGCAGGAGATGAACCACCTTGAGGCCACGCTGCTGCGCATGCTGCACTTCAGGCTGCATGTCATGCCATGGGAATTTCACAAGTACTTCAGACTCGTGTTGGACTCCCCTTTTGCCACGAGGCGGCCGCGCGCCATCTGCTGGAACAGCAGTCAGCCCCAGCCGCCAGCTGCAGCAGATAGTGGATCCAGCAGCAGTGGCAGCAGCAGCAACAACGGTCTTGAAGGGCTGACCTGTGGCAGCAGCAGCAGGGGCAGCAGCAGTGGCAAAGCGCCGCAGCAGCAGTGCGGGAACACGTGCTGCTCTCCGTCTTCTTCTGGATCGACTGGATGTTTCTCGGGTAGTTCCCAGTCCGTTTCACCGCCCTCTACACCGGAGGCTTCTGCTGTCACGAAATCTCCGCTGCAGCAGCAGGAGCTAGCTAGTAGCAGCAGCAGTAGCAGCTGGTGTTCACCCGAGCAGTTGGTCAAGCGTCCAGCGGACGACGAGCATTCCGTCCCTGAAGAGCATATGCACCAAGTAGAACGGCGGGGCTGCAGGGGGGAAGAGCTTTGATTTTCTTTCCCGGGACGAGCCTCAAGCTGTGGAATTATAGAGGCCCCCCAGCCAGCATTCATGTGAAGGGTGTTGGACTGAATAAGCAGTTTGGAGGGGTTGCGTGAGTAGTGCTGCTCCTCTTCTTCGTCTCGACGTGGAACGGGTAGGAGAGTTGCGCTGATTTATTTGTTTGGGTGACTACAGTTTGGGCGTCCTTGGTTTTAAGCAGGCGGGATGGGGTTTTGGTCGAGTCCCGTCGTTAACTGTTTAGGGTGTAGGGATGGCTGAGTTCAGCGAAAGGGGGGCTTTCCCCTGCGCTGGGGAGGGAGAGGGCCGACGAAAAGCGACCATACGGATGGCAGCAAGGCACAAGAAGACGAAGAGGAGTGACCGCCCTTTCCCATCCCTATTGCGCCTTCACAATGCACAGAGGAGGTCTTCCTGTTAACTCTCCTCTATTGTTTTTACATTTGAAACCCAACATCTCTCGTACACTCAAAGCAAATGTTTTACACACTAAACCGCTTCCGGCTACCCTCCGTTACTCCAGGTTGGCAGTAGCAGCGAACGTTTTGTACTTAGGGTTAGCTGCTGTAGCCCTAGAGGACAGCCATTGGCTGGACGCATCCTCTGCTGTATAGTGTAGGCACCTAGGGAGCGAGGAAAGCATGCACGCCCATCTTTTCGTTGCAGTGGCAGTTTGTTGTAAGGAACCCTTGACGTGTCTGTCGCTGACGAGATAGGTGCAGTCGAGCGGAGGTGTAAAGTCAGCTCACATATACGTTCTGTTAATGGTGGATGCCCAGCTTCTGTTTGTCTGGAATCTGGCGGGGTACCGACGGGCTCCGGCCAAGCGGAAGCAGCAGCACCAGCGCTTCAAGCATTGCATACACACGATGCTTGCCAGTGCACTGTGCAGTAGCAGCTGTGTGCAGGGGAGCTCCTGCTGCTGTAGCGTCAGAAGCTTGAATAGTGCACAGTCACTGTTGTAAGACAGCGTCTACGATAGCCTGCAGCATCGCAGGTGTTCTTCCCGCTGCTGCGGCAGTAATGCAGTTCCCCACCCGTATGCTGAGAGCAGGCGTCTCGGCTTTGATCCAAACGCGGCCATTGAGGCCAATGGCTATCTCAAATTGAAGGCGGCTGCCCAATAGTTGCAGTACCAGACTGTCGCGGCATAACATGCTGCAGCAACGCAGGCGCACGTAGTTGTTGCAAAAGCTCGAAAAAGATTTAAGCTGCGTACTTAGCAAAGGATCGTGCATAGCGGAAGCAGCAACGGCAAACGCAGCAGCAGCAGGGACGTCCGCAACATGCAGAACAGCAGTACAGATTTTTCATACCTGAATGCGAACGGAATAGGAACCTCAATAATGGTTCCACCTCTTAGCTCTCCAAGTACCTTCTCACTGCTGGTCCACGGCTTGCTGCAGTTGCTGGTGCAGCAGGTAACGTCAGCCCCCAGCAGGGGAGACAGGTGTGAAACGCGCAGCAGCAGCACAGATCCGATGCTCAGCTGCGGTTTGCTACGCCGCGTCGCACCCTCGAATCCCGCCACTGCTGCCAGGCGGGCAGGGGCAAAACCACGGATGTTGACCTGAACAGACAGACACACAGCCGCCATCGTAACTGTCGGATAGGCGGTGCCAGGTAGGGGTTTTAGTTCCTTCGACGCCAGGTCCAGTTGTGTGCTTCTGAGACCCCACAGAAAACTCGTCTGCCAATGGATACTCTACGGGGTATGGTTAACGGTCTAGGGCGTGGGTGAGGTAAGGACGAGCTAAGGAAATGGGAGGTGCAATAAAAAGCGCACTAGCATAGTTTGGGGGCGAGCCAGTCTGGACAAGAAGGATAAAACATGCTAACCAAATAGTGTCGTTTTCATGGTCTCAGCAAAAGGGTGTACGTACTCCATAGTACTCTGATCCTTTTGTATTGACGATTCCGATGACAATATCCCCAACTCGCGGCGTGTATCTGTTGTGTGTGCTAATACACACGTATGTGGGGGCGTGAGGGGGCAAGACGTGCCTAGGCAGTAGCAAGGAAGCCGTTCTGGCTTTGACGCAAGGCCCCGCCCCTTCTATCTCAACTGAAGACTCCGGCTGTTGCTGCGGCTCAGAAGTCCCAGTAGCCTGAGATGAGTGAACGTGCACGGCACTCCAGTCGAACGTGCGGGCTACTGCTGCTGCAGCGCCAGCCGAGGCGGACGCTCCATCCGCCGCCTCTGCTGCAGTGTCTTCTGAAGGTTGAATTAAGGGGCAGTAGTCGCCAGGGAGGAAAACGGAAAGTCCTTTCGTTGCCATGCTGTCTAATGAGATGCAGACGCCCGGGACTGCGGCACGCGAGATAGAAGTTGCAATCCAGAAAACGAAAGACAGAAAAAAGCGGCAGCAAGCAGGGATTGAAGGGTACAAGAACTTGTGGGTGAGTTCAAGAAAGGGGAAGGTTTGACTGCAGTGGTTGTCCCAAGCGCAGGATTGCGAAAAGCCATTTGCTATGGCAAGCAGCCTGCAGCACCATGCCCCAAGGAGGCGCAGCAGCTAAGAAAATGTTGGTCGCTTTCCTTCATACATCCAGATTATTCAAGTTTGATGACAACTGCAACTTCATTTGCTTGCGGACGCACATCTACGCCCTTTGCTGCCAGTCACAAGGCCCTCGTGCGTGCGAGGGAATCGCAATTGCTGCTGCCGGCCGGCGTTGTTTAGACTCAATGCACAAAATTAAAGAGGAAATATAGCTATTCAGGGGACTTCAAATTACGAAATTAGAACTGTAGTGGTGAAGATGCCCACACGGTGAGGCTCCACGGGCGTGGGGCCCCCTTGTGACAATGGATCTCCGTCGGCCGCGTCGATTGTTTTTACTCGTTTTTGCACAAATCCTTAGCCACATATAATGTTCACGGCAACTAAAGTTGCAAGTGGCGTATAATCGCGTTTTTGTCGGAGATGCGTTCCCTGCTTCAGGACATTGTGCCACACGGGCAATAAAGAGCATCCCGTCGTATCCAGCATTTGCCTCTGTATTCCTGCCCTTCCTTCCTTAAGCGCCTAGGTTGTAAGGCAGTATCTTTTTTGTGTTATTGAGTACCTTGTTGCTGGCTTGTTTAGTTGTTTGCCGGAGGAAAACAAATGGCTTTCCCAGAGGACTGGGGGCCTCCTCCCACATTCTCAGCGCTGCGAGTTACTCCCGAAGGTGTACCATTGAGCCTACACACTAAGTCACTCTCCTGCGCTGCAGAAAGAGAGGCTAAGCAACCCACAGCTTTGAAGGCAGCTGCCCTAGAAGGGAACATCCCCGGGGGTCCAACGGATGAACAGGCAGGAGATGAGAAGGCGTCTGTTTTCTTTGCTGTAAATGGATGCCCAACCGCCAGCAACGAGATGGTGGTCAGATACTGAATGACTTAGGTTTCTAATTTTTAACTAACAAAATAGTTATTGCATGCGTCATTCAGTTCTCCTTCAGGAAGTATCGGCACCAAGTCTCGGCATGCAGTGACTGTCTCTTGCCACACTCGTGCTTCTCTCACGGGTTGCCAAGCTCTTCCATACAAGCTTTTCCATCCGTTTCCTTATGTGCATTCTTCCTAGTCTTTTTCGGTTCGTCCCCGTGTGCGCGCGTGTGTGTTTTTCCATTAGTCTGTCCCCCCTTATTCCGTCCGTTTTCTGTGTCCCAGTCTGTCCCTCTCTGAACCCGTGTGTGGCGGTGGCTATCTTATGCAGATGTGCTTTTTGTGCACATCTTGTGCGTCTGAATGTGTACTTTAGTCTGGGCGTCTCTTCACGTTTTACCTTCTTCGCGGCGCTTGCTCTTCCTTGGCTTCATGGTTGTCTCTCTTTGCCTGTATAGGACTTTCGCTGTACAATTTGCCGTTGCACTTTCAGGTGAAGAAGGGGGAATATGAAGGAGGCTTTTCTATTTGGGAGTGTACATGGGACCTTTTGGGTTTCTTGCAGAAGACCGATAAAGAGGAAGCTAAACAAGTTCGTTGCTTGGTTGCCACTGGCCACGTGCTGGATCTGGGTGCGTATTGTGGCGGCAAGTGCTTCTTTGTCTCTTCACACGTTTTTGTCTGTGTTTGCATCCCGCTCTCGGCAAACAGACCCTTCCCTCGCCCCTCGCGTTGCATCGAGGCAGACTAGCCAGAGCCCCTTCTGAATTAACAGGATGAATGCAGGGTCACCTATCCAATTCAGTCTTCATCCTGGTTCATCGTGAACATAAATGGACATTTTCGTGCAGGTTGCGGTCACGGGTTGTTGGGTATTTGGGCTCTTAAAAACGGCGCGTCTGCTGTGGTCTTTCAGGACTTGAACAACGATGTGAGACCCCATGTTGGTAGCATTGCACGAGCATGCAGTCTATTTTGCCCACAAAGCCCCTGCAAAACCACCTCGGCACAGTTTAGAATGCCACAGGTGGTTTTTGCTTTACAAAAGAAGGGCTGACACCAGATCATCCACACGCGGCCACACGCGGCTTGGCTGATATGCTGAGTTGTTCCATTGGTTGCTAATTCTGTGCGTGTTGGCAAGCTGTCTAGCTACCTAGACAATTAGAGAAGTGATTTGCTAGCTATTGAACCCACTAGCTAGGTGAGTAAGCAAATATTGATGCGAGGTTGAATGCCTAGTTGGGCAGTTCGCCGATCTACTCTCTGATCAGTTGGTTAGGAATTCCGTTACATGGCCCTTTGGATAGCCGGATAGTGTGCTGGCTGGTTTATTCTGGTGGGCACACGATCTTGTAGGACTCTGAAGACAGCATTGACCCTTACCAAGCGGAATTTTTTCCACATCGGCAAGCCAGCGTATGTGGATCGCTTCGTTCTCTCCTCATGCTTTCTTTTGCCCTTTTACTCTCCTGTCCTTTTGAAGGTTCTTAACTTGGCAACGCGCTGGAACATCCTGAAGAACACTGAGGGCGATCTTCTTGGCGCTACCTTGCCCCATCAACATGAGTTGTTTGCTTTCGTTCACAGTGGCGTTTCCGCACCTGCTGCCACCGACTCTGGAGACCTTGGGGCAGCATCTGTAGATAATGTGGAGAATGTACTGCAACAGGTGGGCAACGGGGAGCACAAAAAGGGGGAAAGCTTTTCTCTCCTGCAGGGCCGCGCCCTTTGTGTGGCAGCATCCTGGGAAAATTACCCGGAAATTTGCTGCTCATGCCAAAAAGCACAACCGCAGGCACCGGCAGAGAAAGAGGCAAGAAAAAAGACAGGAACGGAATCTGAAGCACGGATAATGACAGGGTCGGGGAGAGAAAGAAGTGGAGCGACGGCCCTGGCAGAGACAAAGGTGGCAACTAGGACTCTGTGCCAGTCCAAGGCACGAGGAATTCAATTCAGTGTTATTTTGTGCTCCGAAGGAATCTACAGAGAGGAGACGTTCGAGCCCCTTGCAGAGATATTCAGGCGCCTCCTGCACAAGGATGGCATCGCTCTTGTCGCTTCCAAGAGGTATGCAGAGAACTTGCTTTTCTCTCATTTATATCGCTTTTAAACGCAATCATCGTTAGTGCCAGTCGGCATTGAGCGTTGTGCTTATGGAAGCTGCAGAGCATCTTCCCTCGACAGCTCTTAATGAATAGTCGGAATAGTTCAGGCTCAAGGATATAATTTGAATGTACAGTTTTGAGCGGGTACTGCTGTTTCTTGAAGTGAAGTACCAATTTTCCATTCCCCTTCGTTTTTCCTCTCATAATGTGCATCCCCACGCATCAAGCTGTAATTACAAGACTGGGCAACATGACAAACGCATGCAAAGTACTTTCTTCTTCAAACAGCTTCTGCTAATACGCTGAATCTACGTTCAATCCCCATTAAGCCTGTTAAACGTCTGCTGCTCTGTTTGTTCGAAGGTATTATTTCGGCGTTGGCGGCGGGTCTTTGGCCTTTATCTCCTTTCTTCGCGAGAAATACGTAGACTCTCTGTCAGTTGAAGTGGCGGCTTCGTTCAGGGGTGTGAATTCCAACAATTTTCGGGATGTTCTGTTAATTAGAAACAAAGACACGCTAGAAGCCCAAATGTAAATGAAATTGAATTTTAAATAGTCCCCGGTTTCTCGCGCATGCTCGACGGCAGGCTCCGTCTACCTTTTTCTGTTATTTTTGTCTCGTCACCCCACGGCGAGTCCCCGTGTTTTCTTGTTTAGACTGCCGTGCTTCGCACTAAGACGCAGGTGGGTGGCTGGTGCGCCGGTTTAGGGCATCGCAGTCTGGGTTTGTAGTAGTGCTGCCTGCATATCAAGCAAATGGGTGGTATCTGTTTGTGCACTTACTTGTCGTTTGCGTTGCCATGTAGTATTAGCAATGCATCGAAAGTCCCATCTTTGCGTTCTCTTTCTCGCTCACCCTGCACACGTTCACACTCGTACGTCGCCTTTATTACAGTGCAAGGCCCATTCGGCTTGGTTACGCCAACTCCCTGTCTGTAGTTGTAGGTGTCTATTAGTATGCATGGCTAAAAACTGGCACTTAGTCTTAGGATTAGCGCAGCCATTGATGATTTTACCTGCACCTGATTTTACCTGCACCCCTCACTTGGTACCAATTATTCGGATTTGTGTTTTCCTATAAGCAAGAATGCATACGTGGACTGGGTAGTAACGACCAGAATTTACGCAAGGATGATGCTGTTGCCGTAGCTAAGTTTCCTTAGTGACATATTAGGCTTTTCTTTTCATCTAAAGAGGCCTGCTACTGCTCGCTACTACATTTGCGGCAGCAAAATTCTTCGTTCCCTCTACAGATTTTACTAGGAGTGGGAAGTGCGTGATGCTGCCGCTGTGAGCCGTTTTAGAAGTTTTAGAACACAACTGGTCGAATAATGGTCGCTGCTTCATGGCCTGGGTTCGGTGCTATTGTCACTTGACGTAGAGACCACGGCTGTCACAGGCATGAGTACGTAGTGGAATTTAGTCGCCATTTTCCGCTACCGGTGCGGCAAGTCGGATATTAGGTAGTGTAAACGCTATGACATGTTAGGTTCAATGGAGAGGCGTGTAAGCAGCAAAAAAATGAACTAGGCATCCTTAAGGTCAGTTCATCCTGTGGAAGTTTCAAACTAATCTGCAATGTTGGTATTAGCCGATACAGAGATGCTGAAGTGCTGAAGCTGGATGTGAATTCCTCTTGCGTAGAGATCGCTGCATTTACTGCTGCTGCAGGAACGGCGCCGACAGTAGCAGACGTGCTTCTAAATAAGCAATGCCGATCCACTAGCAAGACCCGCCGACGACAGCGAGAACAAATAATGGCCGGTGTCACGCAAGGATCAATTCAGAGAAGCAGTGAGCATTTACGCTTATGGAACTAATCAAGCTTTTCCAGAGGGGGGCCACCCATATGATCAAGAAGTCCTTGAACAACTATTGGAAGTTATGACTCTAGCGATGAGTAATTGTTTCTGTAATTAAGATCCTTTTTTAAAAAGATTGCCATCAATTTCCTTTGGAACAGGGGTAGTTGCTAGAATCGATACTTATGAATATTCTATGGTTCTCTAAAATGCCATAAATGCTGCTTGTCATATACTTCCCACAAACCCTGCTGCCACAGTTCTACGTACTTGACTTTCACACAAGTGCGCAGGTGCGTACACTTATTTGCATCCCAATCAACTGCATTGCAATGTACTCGAATTTCAAGCGGTTTGCCCGTGCATATAAATACCGCGGCGTTAAAATTTCCGGCCAGAAAACAACAGCAAAAAATTGGCTGTCTTCTACATTCAGTCTCTCTTTTTTCTGACTTCTCTCTTCAGAAAGTCAGGGAAATAAGTTGTGTGCACTTCGTCGATAAGCTGGGTCTGTCTCCAGGTCCAGCTGTCCTCTCCTGCATCCCCGGAGGAAACGGAAGGAGGCAAGGAAAACGCACGTCGTAGGAAGAACCCACAATGCTGCTTGTCTTCATGTGCAAAGTGCCCGAAGCAAGAACAAAAGAAACAACAGGGGGTAACTGCACGGTGACAAAAATGTGCTGAACCCTTCTGCCACCTTGGTTTCCATCAGTAATCAGCAGTCTTCGTCAGCATTTACTACGACGCCTTCATCCGTTATAAAAAGGTCTTCTATTATCACATCCCTACGCGAGTCAAACGGCTACTGGCAGGTTCCCAAGGTCTATCTAGTGGATGGAGTGTTCTATGGGACACCCACAGATGCGTCGGCTGTCCTGAAGATGCTTTAGCTCTCAACACTATCCGAACAGGTTGTTGCGCTCCATGTCCTTCAGTATAGTCAGAGCGGCCTTAACGCGCTGCCACGCAGCACGTTCAGCCGGCCTCTGGTGTCTCACCGTTCCTCTTCCTGCGTATATGCCTCCAACTAAGTTAAAAGCTTGGGCCTTCTCCATCTCGTCACGACCAGTTGCACCTGCGCGAACACCCCAAAAATATCACTACGCATGCAAGGTGAAGCTCCCTTAGCACATGAATTCCCTCTGCCCTCTGGCTCTACGTCCAGCCTCGGCAGCAACCCAAAATCTAATGAAGTTAAATTCCATACAACGCACGTCTTGTGTCTCCTCAAACCGTGCGGTTCTAACCGCGTAGCCAGAAATGCTATTTTTTCGTTTCAAACTAGGTTTTTGTGGTATGTCTCACCTGGTCTCATGTGGGGCGGCTCGAGAGCAATATCCAGCTCACATATTTCCAGAGTCGATTTTGGCTTTTGCGTATTCCAATCTGCGACGCGGATGAGTGCAGGCAGGGCAGCTCTTGACCTCCTGGGATTCTCCGCATCGCTTTGGGGTCCCTGGTGCTCTCCTGGCCCGTATAACCACCGCTTCAAAACGCTGCAAACACCTGCGCCTACTGGATCTCTGGTGCCTGAGCAGAAAACCCTGAGGTTCTCCAGCCAGACGCTAACAGGGAAAGATTTCGAGTGCATGCAATCCCCATGATAGTCACTACCTCCACCGCCTTCCTTTTCTGTTGCTCCGCCCATGTCTGTTGTCCGACTGTTCCGGGGGCTTCTTTTGTTGCCGCCGCCATGCTGCTGTCCGCCTGCACTGGCTCCCAAATCCGTGGGTAAACGATAATCCTCAGGCATGAACAGGCGAAGATCCTCCGATGTTTGGATGTCCACAGCTGCCGATTGCAAGATCGGAGAAATAGGACTTGGGGCCTCATCAGGTCCAGTATGCAGTTCAACAGCCAACTCCGGCATAAGAGCCAAGTCTCGCTGCAGTCTGTACAGCGCGGGGTCATTAGGCGGTATCTTCGAGTTCGATTGCTGTTGCTGCTGCTGTTGCTCCTGCTGTTGGTTCTGCTGCTGTTGTTCTTGTTGTGGGGATTCTGCGTGTCCCTCTCTTTCCGCATAAACCAGACTTGCTGCGGGGGAACCAATGATAATGGCACGGCCCAGGAAAAAGGCGAGACTCTCTACTTCTTCGGGGCCCGCAGACAGCCAGTGGTCCATCTGTTCTCTGTAGCGGCAGGGGAGTGTGAGAAGTGGCGAAAGCTGCCGTCCAGCGTTTGCCGGTCCCCCGTCCGCTGCATGCGCTGCAAGCGCCGCCTCTACCTTTTCCAGGCATATGGCCTGAGGAGTGGAAGTGGCCGGCTCGCGCAGCTCACAGTGCCTCCTGTGGAAATTTTCAAAAGCCTTCAACGCTGAGACAGCATCTCCAAATACTTCGGCTCCCCTCAAATCCGTGCGAAGTTCTAGCGGACCCAAAAAGTGCTGGACGGCCTGTGCAGTTGAAACAATGATGCAGCACTTAACACATAAACACCCACATAATGCACCTGACACTCACAAACGCGGAAAAGGAAACTCATGAGAGGTGCAGACGCCAATGCTGATGAAAACAGCAAGCACACCCCACAACCACAAGAAAACGGTTCCAACCTACTCTCAAGGGCTATCAACGCAACGGCGAGAAGCACCAGTGTGCGTATGTGAATACCATCAAAATATATAGCTACACGCAAGAAAACCTCATCCGGATGTACACACAAGCGTGCGGCGGTCAATAAAAACGAGAAAATACTGCACATTTGCATCCGCCCATGCGCATACGGACACATACGTGAACCTCCAGATAAACAAACTCGAAGGAGTGCGTGTACCCGCACGCATAAATGAATTCATCTCTTGGTTCACCCACCCATACAGCAGACGAAGGATCTGCATAAATAGCATTCGCGTATAGATGCACGTACCCATCAATACAGACGCGTACGCATGTACAGGTACAGACAGAAAAGCAAATGCCTTTGCGCAAAGATGTGTGCACACACAGTATGACTGGAAAACAATCCAATGTTCTAATGCGGACAAAAACACGCCGATCTGTGTATGCATACAAGGATGTACATGCATATGTGCGTGCAATGGGGTCTCCACGCAGGTCGGGCCATCATTCCAGCAAAACGCAGGGATATGCAAAGTGATCTATACGCATCGGACGAAAATGATACACATGAGGCAGAAACAAGCCAATCAAACCGCGCCAGCAAAGAGCTGTAGAATTGAAGCCTTCCCCAGTCCCGCATCGCATCCAACAAGATGCAAGATCAGGACCCTGTCCCAAGAAAAGCACCGCCACCGGGCTTACCATGACATCGACAAGCAACTCGTGAACAGCAGTCTTCTGCCAGCAGTGGTTTGGAGGCCCCAGAGAGCGCAAATCCCTAACAGCCGCCACAACGGTAGACATAACGTCTTGCGTCGTGAGCATGCCCAGCACCCAGCTACCCAACGCCGCCCCCACTGCTGTGCGGTAACTCGCGAACGGGACACCCAAGGGGTAGCGAACGCCTTGCGGCGAGACCCGCTGCACAGGCGACTGAAGGAACACTGGATGCACCTCGGCCAGTTGACGGAAAGCTGCAATTCGAATTCACAAACACACCCCAAACCCTGAACAGGAAGCCCTTGATACAAGCCTACCACAGCAACAAAGATTACAAACAACATCCCGCAAAACAGCCTTCGACGCTAAACGACGTCCCATACAGCAACAATGATACTCAAAACTACGCAAAATAAGCAGTGCACTTGATGCCCAACATCAGACAGCAGCTGTGGCTGCCCCAAAAACAGTCTTACCTGCTACATCGATGAGTTCCGGATTCTGTGAAAACTTCTTTGCCGACCACCTGCCGACCTTTGTGGCAAGCTTGCTGCTGAAGCTAGCAAGCTGGCTAGCTACGCCGACCTCTTGCCGAGTTTCTACAACTTGCGTGTGCAGCTGCGTGACGTGGACGAATACTATGGGCGGTGGGAGCGGCGGCCAGCCAGACTCCCCATTAGCCCTGGCCTCTGCTGCCAGAAGCTGTTGTTGCGTTGCAGCTCTGAACAGTTGGCGCACATCCGCCGCTATCTGCACGCCGGCAGCATAGGCCACCTCGTCGCTTAGCTGTGCGAGAGACTGCAACTCCTCGCCCCCTCGTACCTTCACTATCAACTCGTACACCAACTGCACTGCAGGGAAAGTGAGGCCAGCTGTGCTGCACCACATTGACACAAATAAACGCATGGACCAGCGAGACTGAGAAACACCCAGTGCAGATGCACCCGAAGAGGCACACAAGACGCTCGGCCCTCACCAGCACAAAAACCTAAACCTCGCATGCTTCCAAATCCTTGTGACGGCGTGCTTACTTCATAATAAAGGGAATACTGTGCTTTGGTATATCTTTTCGCAGCTGGCCACCCCCCGCCAGTAATTCTTTCTGTCGGTCGAGGAAGACGGAGTGCAGCAACACGGCTGCAAGAGATTCAGGAAATTTAGTAGCCATTCCTGCAGCAGCTTCTGGATCCTTCTCCCCCGTGTCTCCCAGCACCACTGCGGGCCCTCCATTCTTTAGGGCCTCCTTGAACCCCCACACCTTGGCCTCCCCTCGCGAGTGCTGCGAAGACAGTACTTGGGCAAACTTCACTTGATTCTGATACCCTAACGGCCAGCGAGGGGCGCCTGCGCCGTACAGTTGCCGCACACCGCTAGTGAAAATTGCGTCAATGTCTTTGAAGAAAGAGGGAGGGCGCGTGAGTTGGGCGAAAAGCGAAGTGGAGACTCTTGCAGAGAGAACACCAGCCTTCCGTGGCAGTACGAGCTGAAGAGAATGCTGCTGCACATCATACGGGCAGTTTTGTGTCTGTGGCGAATGAAGGGGCACCGGGCAATGATCAATAGGGATGCGCAGGCCGCTGGGGGTGCAAGTGTGGGGCCCCAGGGCGAGCAAAAACACAAGCGTCCCTATGCCAGGGTACGGCAGCCCGCGAGCAAATTCGCCGTCGATGCCCCCGATGTGTTTGCCGAAAGCCGCCATGGATCCCGAACACCACAAGGTGTCGTCCACGTCTGTCAGGACCAACACATTGCCAAAGGAGGCCCCCACGCGACCAAAGGTATTGGGCTGCAGCGTGTCAGACACAACAAGAGCGCCTGAGGAGGCGAGACCTGCGCCGGATGGCCGGCGATCACGTGGCATAGTTGGCGAGATGCTGCGGTGCCCCATTGAAGAAGGTGCTGAGCGCATGGGTTGAGGGGCGCGCAAGGGAGGATGGATGGCCTCAGAAGCCACCTGAAAAACGCTGGGAACAGGAACACCACCACCCGGCTGTCCCGGTTGTTTTGGTGGCACTGGATTATTGCCGTTCCGCTCGCCATTTGATTCTTTACTGTCATCTTCAGAAGAAGGATTGTCCGGGGGGTTTTCTGCCGCAGCGTACGACCAGCTACTCAGGAAGAGGGCAATAAAAACAGGAAAAAGAAGCAGCAGCGGAAGCCTAGCCCGACGGTATCTTCGACGCCCGTGTCCAGATGCCACTGCGAAGGATGATGCTGCGTGTAGTGTTGCTACTTCTCCTGCCTGTGCTCCAGCCGATGCAGCAGGCCCTTCTGCTGCAGCTGGTGCTGCTGCTGCTCGACCCAAGCCCCCATGGGGGAAGTCTCGTATGATGGAGGGAGCGGTCATGCCGGCTGTAGCATATCATTCAGCACGATCCCTGACGTGTGGATGAGAGCAGGACCAGAGTAGAGAAGCATGTGCTTCAAAGCTCCTCACCAAATCCCCGCTCCGCTCGCCACGGCCAAACTAAGGAAGCGAATGGCCGCGATGGCACCGGGAAAACCACAGTAAAGCCATGCGGTATAATGATGAAGCTCCTTCGAAGTTGAATAAATAAAAAGGGGTAAGCTGCCACCGTCCAGCTTTGAAGCAGAAGCTGCGGGCAGCCGATGGAGCTGGGAGCGGGGAACAGCGACAATGGGACGATTCCCTTGTTCCGGTATGAGGAGACAAATAGCTGAGTAATCTGGCTACAAGAGCAACGAACAATCTCCCCCTTAAGTTTCATAAGCTGCTCTAAGGTGAATTCACCCTCGCGGGAACGCAGCCCCGAAGGAACAGACAAGCGCAGCCACACCGAGCCGCTCAATCACTCGGCGTCGTAAACATTATCTTGTGCTTCTTTACTGTCTCCTTGCTTAGTTCATTATTGTTACTAAAAGTTGTCCAAGTCATTAATAATAATTATCAGGGAAGGAAAAATATGTAGAAGTGGTCGTCGGCGTAGCGGCGCCACAGACTGCGACAGACTTTCTGAGGGCTGTTGAATTTTGTGCCGGCTCTTCTGGGATTGGGCTCATTCATTGGAACACAGGCTTCCGGTGGGCAAGGTTTCATCATAACTTCATTTGTCTTTATTCTCACTGTATAGAGTACGGTGGTTGAGCTCATGCAGCCTCACGTTTATAGTGCGTCCACAAACCAGCAGGGGCTTGACTTCGGGGCGAAAGGATTGCCGAACAGATTATTTTGGGAAGCATCACAACGAGACTTCAATCGTTGAATTTTTCGCAATGTTCTCCCAGATTCATTGTATATCATACCCAGCTTTGAAAATATTAGCCCGATGTCGCTCGACACTTCTTTCTCGTCTCGCTTCAAGGGCAGTATGGTTTGCGCAGCATGCTCTTTCGGAGGTTGGTAAGCAAGTTTCCACTTGCGTGCAGTCTGGCCACGGCGGTTCAAATCATTGTCAAGCCGATGCTTACAGTGTTAGTGCATGCATCAAAAAAGGGGGCCAGGGCACTATTGCATGTGGGGTTGCCCCGGCGCAGGAGTAGCGTCACTGTGAGCTGCAACTGACGATAAGCATCCTTATCTACGTAACAACCACAGCCCCCTGATTCGGTGTGCCCAGAAGGCCTGGATACTGCAGACAGTAGCTCGCTTGCGCTGTGCGACCTGTTATGTAAGCCTTTTTGACACTTTTGCCGCCCTGTAATGTTCTGAGGTCAGATCGAATACTCTCTGTCCAGGCAGGCAGCTGTTCCACTGCGCAATCAGCGATGTAGGGAGGTGGCAGCAGTTCTCTCCCTAAATTGAACAGAGATCTCGTCTATCTCCAAAATAACATTGGTGAATTTGAAGATCTCGACTGTCGCCCGTTGAAACGATTCCGCTATCTTGTCCGAGGACCTCCAACTACGTTGCAGCCGAGCGAAACAAATCAATGTTAGATTCCCTGGAAAGCAGCTGACCTCCTCTCCCCTCCACTGACGCCCTGGACAGACACAGCTGAAGGGAGTGGGGCGAGGGGAGATGAGGCGGCTCGACAGGAGTTGCAAGCATTTTTAATTAATGCTGCAATCTACCACGTCATGCAAGCACAACTGCCCCCCCCCCTGTTGCTGTCCACACTAACACTGCAGGCAGTTATGGAATTTTTCCCAAGCTTCCGTACCGACTTTGAACAGACCGTGCTACCCTCGCTAAAGCTGGCTGGTCGGACGGGCTTCCGTAGGTCTCGAACTGGCCCAGGCACACCAGAACTAGCGGCTGTTCCGGGATTCTAGCTAATGAGTCACTGAATAAACATCTTCCAAATGCTATCGCTGCATATGGAGACAACAGTACAAGATCTGTGTAGCCACCTATACCTGTACAGATGCCGCCAACCCGATGTATCATCGAAACGGCTAGACAGTCGACGCACTTGGTGGGAAACAGGCTCACACAAGCGGGAGGTGCTATCTGCAGCGCCCAGGAGCAGATAACAAAACAGGTATTGAAGCATTGAGCATTGCACTGGAATTAGAAGACGTTCCTTTCTGTCCCGGAGCCCGGAAAACTTTCAGTTTATCGAATTAAAGTGATATTTGGAAATGCTGGGCAGTGAATAAGGAAACCGTTAGAGTAGCTGGCCCCAGGGAGTCACACAGGTGGCCAGCTCAGGTAAGCGCACTGTAACAACTACCTCTGTGAAACACTAAAACGTATGGCTATACGTGATGCAGTCACTACAGTCAACTTGCTTATCAGCAAAACTGCTCATATATGGATGTCAACACTCCGCGTTGGCACAGCGCAATTGTCTGGTGATATAAAGCCATACAAGATTACCTGGACTACCAGCTAACACCCTCGTTTCTCTATGAAGTCTGGCTGCTCTTTATTTTTTCGCCTTGGACCCTCGGAGTAATTCGTTGTGTAATCTTTGTAGACGCTCGCAATGATTGCTACGGCTGTTTTCGCACGCCGTTTATCTTTAAGGAAAAGCATCAGACTTCAGTAGCATTCTTGTAGTACGGGCTACTCCATCTTCTTAATGAATCTCCTCCCCAACCTCCTCAATTCATCTATTTCAGCCCGGCTGGCTGTAACAGGAAATCTGAAACAGCAGGTAGAGTATTCGAGCCCCACTGGCTCGCAATGGCAGGCTCTCGTACGAATGATTGTGCATTGGATTCCCACTAGAAAGGGTTTTCATTCACGTCGTGCTTTGTTCGCGGATCGACGGCGACCCTCGCTGAGTTGCGTGCAAAAGTGTGAGCGCGCGCCTGAAGCGAAGCGGGGTGCATCTATCTAACTGAGACGCGTGCTGATATGCGAGCGCGTCCGGAGCGAAACGCACCAGCGAATGTTCCCCGTCTCACCTCTACATTACAAGGCTGGCGGGAAGCGAAAAGAGTGTTTGCTTCTTTCCATGCTGGAGAGTAGTCCGTCAACAATTTTCACCCTGCCTCGGCAGCATCAACCTAGGGTGACCTGCCTCTTCCTGCAAAGGCGTAATTTACTGTTCTTTCTCCGAAGGCCGCAGTTGCAGATTCCCTGGTGTTGCCACGAGGTTGCATCAGATTCGTACCGAACAAGTTCCATTAGCGCTGCAGTGCCAAGACAGCAGCGGCAGCAGAACCCGAGGAGGGGACACCTGCTCGCCTTGCTTCAGGAAGCTTCCGTATTCCTCAACCTCCTGCTTCCCCCGTGCTGTTGCTACTGCAGCTTCTCGAAGTCCTCAGCAACAGTAAGGTGATGCATCTGCAGCAGCATATGTTTTGTCTCCTCTAAACGTACAGAGAATACACTATATGCGCGGTGGGCAGAGGGGCTACAGCGCGCCTCAAGCCCAGCACCGAGACTGTTGCTTTTTTTCTGGGGGCTGCGGCAGCTGGAGCCTGCCGCCCAGACCCATATGTGAAGAAAGTGAAATCATTGCCTGCAGCGGCGCTAAGCTAGGTGTAGGTAGAGGAAAGATCACAGGAAAAGTACTTAGCTTCGGAGAGCAGATGGAAATATTTACTCGTGAATCACCACCATCTGCCGGTTACATAAGCAAAGGCCCAACTGTAAGATGCGCCGCGCGTACCGACGCTTGCATTAGCTGGTGCTGAGTTAAGCGCAGACAGATGTTCATGGGGAACTGCTTCGCACAAGCAACCCTCGGAAATCCAGTCGATCGTTCGTTTTCCTGGCGAGCTGACGGAATATTCCCAGCTTCGGCGGGTTGATACCCGTGGGTCCAGGATCTCATTCTTCTGCAGTTGGGCCCTCTCGCAATGACGCTGAGTCTGTTTGGCCAGGAGAGTCCAGGGGAATTTCGGTGATCCCCTGAACCGTTTTAGGATGCCAACATTAATGGTATGATGACATCTCCACGCTGGAAGTATGTCACGGTGTATGCCAACGCATTAGCCCGAGAATGAACAGCAAAGGGCCTTACCCAACGCGCGGCTATCTTGTTCAGCTGCTTTCCACCTTGCGCTATCTTGCGAGTGTGCAAACACCAACGCCAATGCGCCTGCATTGAAAGTGACTGCTGAACATCGCGTGCCGCTGCTGTTGTGCTTTTTTCATGCATTCCCTCCCCGATACAAGCTCCTCATGGAATGCAGAGACTATGTGCGTAGGGAGCAGGCTGCCACCAACCAACTGCAATGTGACCAGGGTGTTCCAACGTGGACCGGGGATGCCGGAGAGCTATGGGTCCAAGTGTGCACTATTGCACTATAAGGCCATTTCTCACAAGGAAGGAAATCAAGCTACTTTAAGTTTGACGGGTACAAAAATGCAAATAGCGAGCCAACATGCCGTCGGTGCGTTTAGTTATACTGTCCGCCTCCTGGTCATCTTGTGGTTAGTACTACGCCGCCTCGCTTCCGAAGTTCACGCCAGAAAGCGCTGATGACAGTCAGATCCCAGTCCCTTTTATTGCTTTTCGCAAGACGGTGAAGCTTCGAGAGATTATTGTTGTTGTAGCTTAACTTGAACACGGGGCGAAGATGGCAGATGTGCTGGGTCTACCAATGGCGACGTAGTTTCTATCGCAGCCTCTGGATGGCGGTATGGTGGTAACACACTATCCAGTGAGACATCCGTCCAGACCTGCCCGAAGATAGGAAGACTCTACACGAGTCCTGGCTTGGGTGTGCTGGACGGGTTTACATGCTGGTAGTTCGACATGTGAGGACCTATTCCTCCGCTGAGGGAAGCATCCTAGGCCACCAACAGCGCCTAGCCACTGGCTTCACTGCTGTGTTGATCGGAGCATGGTTCGCTAATGCATGGTCGAGCATTTTATGCAGAGCGTGTGCGCTTAGGGAAACCTGAAAAGTATAATCGGCAGAGTCCACGCTTCTCCCGGAACTACAAGAGGTCAACGTAAATGCTGGTGTGTTTGCATGGGCCCTCTGAGCCAACGAACGGCTCGTGCATTCTCTTAGTCTTGCAAAGCTCTCGTCAGCTGTGTAAGAAATTAAGGGTCTGCTTCAAAGGTGAACTGCCTACCATAAAAGCAATCTTGACACCTTCGAACTCCCCACCAAACAGCGTGAACTTCTTCTCGCGTACCAGACGCTACTACTCTCTTTTCGTGAGACAGTGTGAATAGCAGGCGACTATTTTGTGCTTTTTGAGTTGTTTGCTTGCTGGGAGAGCATCATTCAAACTTCCGGGACACGGGCTTAGATTGCTAGGAAGAACCGGCAGTGGAAATCAGAGACCGCGCGTACTGGGGACTATACCAGGTGGTAGATAAGGCGATTACTGTAGTGATCAGCTGGCCTACGCTGTCACTACGATATATCCATAGGCAGGCAGGATAGGTGCACACACTATATCCAGACACCAAAACTAGAATTCTCGCCGCAACCACTAACTAACACACTCAATAACCAAATATACGATCGAGTTCCTAATATTGTTCAGAGAGAAAAGCCAGAACAATAGAACTGATGCCCGACCCTCGCCTAGGGCGTGGGCCAGGTTCGCAGCAACAGCCTCGCACCCAGCCCCAAGCTGGTGCCTGCTGGCGACCACTCTTATCCTATGAAGCGGCTTTCATATCTAAAAGTGTCCTAATTTCCCAAATCTCTGAAATACCCTACAATATTCGTTCCTTTTCCTGATTTTAGGCCTCTAGAGGCCACACCAAAGCTCCATTGTAGTGCCTGTGCACTACAATTACCAGCTGTATCTTTATTCTCTTTCGAAATAAATTGATTGCCTGTCGTCAGTAGTCTGTCAGAATTGTGACAGCACGTGGGAACCTAGGGATGAAATTGCAGTAGCACGATGCGAGACCGAGAAATTTCTGAACGCCCGTTCGAGAGTGTACAAGGGTAGCTGCCACATCCCAGTGGCCTCAACCTTCCCCGAATCGGGTTCGACTGACCTCGAGGAAACACGAAGCTTTTAGAATTTAATTCTATTCATGGAAAACGAACACCTTTGTGCTTTCACGAACCTCAGATTTCAGTTGCACAGCACGCCGCCGGCGTTTCAAGCGCTCCTGTACGCTCCAGTTCATACGCACGCGGTCAGTAGAGCTATCCTTCTCCTATCCAATGGGCACAAGGAAGCGCTAATGGCGTGTTGCAGCATGTCTGTAAGTGCACTCACGAGCTCAAAGGGAATACGTGTGCACCTTAGTTTGCGCTTGCGGGTATGGAACGCACCCTTTGCCTGTCATCGAAATATTGAATTCTACTGAAGTCTAAACGATTTCGTCCGCACAGGCAAAATAATGAATAGGGTGAATAACCCCGCAAGTGTTTATCCATCCAGGGCATCGGAAACTTTTGTTCCTCTGTATGCTTCTTGAGTAGGGTACAGTCGACGCATATTCGCCCCTCCCCGCGCTTTTTCGTCGACAGAGTGGGATTGCATCCAAGGGCACAACCAGAAGGTTGAACTCTTTCCTTTCTTAATATACTTACTTGCCGTTTGATTTCCTTTGAAGGATGTGGGATCTTTCGGAACCGTGGAGCCCTGCCAGACACGGTTTCCGGAATATGTCCGACGCGGTGTATTCGGCGCTCAGCGGCTTGCGGTCCCGCCGGCCTCTCCTTGCTAATTCAGATGCATCTGAAAATTTTCCTTTGGTTGTGCTAGCTTCTGCTGTACCTATGATGCTTAATGGACTAAATCCACCAAGACAACGGTCGTCGTGGGATCATCGCGGGGCAGTGCATGAATTTTTTCGTTGTTCCCTGCCAGTGTATTGAGTTGGAATGTCCTCGTTTTCCCCCGTGAGACACTGATTCCGAGTAGGGGATGCAAATTCCCCTTGAAGAGCTGAGAGAGGCTTTCTCGTTTCTTCCCGGAACATGGACATCAGTAGAGCCATGTGGGGGCCGAATGTGGGCCCTTTACTGGATCACCCACAGCTTAACTCGGACTTGGTCATAGTGAACTGGTACATCCTAAAAGTTCCACATCGCGGTAATACAGCCCATATTTGAACTCAGATCGTTTGTATCCCCATGGTTTTGCCGGTCCTCGTCTCCTTTCTGCCATCACCGAAGCGTACTCAGACCGCTCCGACGAATTGGCTCATATGTTTATTCCTCCTCTTGTCTTCAGACATCAGATAGATTCGCCGCCTGGGGCAATAGGGCTGGCAGTTCCTGAGTACTAATACGAACTTGAATACGCTCAGAGTTAACTCGGGGCGGATCGGCAAATGCTGTTACCTCCTTCGTCCAGAAACACTTCGTCGCAGTATGCGTGGAGGACATAGCGCTTCCCTTGCAATTCCGTTTTTTCCCCTAGCGTGGCTGCTTAAAGCGCTGATGCTCCAGTTCTTTTGGGTCTTCTCATACTTGTACAATCTTGAATGTTATCGCCTTGCTTCTACAGGAAGCAGGCGCACCTGCCTATACGTCCCTCCGTGCCAAATTATCCGGCCGCTGTAAATTGACGCCTTGTATTTCTTCCTGAGCGGAACTGGCATTCACTGCCCCAACATGAGTAGGCATTATATCTTGGGCATTTCCAAACCCGCTGTCTTTCCACTCAGTGGAAGCGGCGTACGTTTTCCGCCCTGATGCTTATATCCACCTCGACAAGCACAACCATTAAACTGCTTTGTTACCTTTCCGTGGCCCAGCCGGTTACAAATTGCCGCTTTCCGTGGGGCATCCCTGTTATGAACCATCGATGTAGAAGTTCCGAGCCCATCGTTGGACTTCTGTTCACCAAGGACCCTCCGCTTTTTCTATGTAGCGCTATATTGGCAATTGCCCTTGTTTAAAATGTCCCAGTTCTGCCACAGCCAGTTCCATTATCGATCTGGGATCAAACAAACATCGCAGCGCATGCGAAAAAGCTTCCCCAGGCCAGATGCTCTCAAGAACACGAATACCCTTGCTTAGACGCGTCCACCGTTGTGATGCCTCCCCTACTAAGAAAAATACCGATAGCAGCTACAGCTTTCTGAGTGCATTCTGCAGGGGGAAAATGCAGCCCCAGTTACACCAAGGAACTTTTGCGCCGCCCAAACATCGAGGCGGGGAGCGCCCGGCAAAGGCGGTAGCATTGGCCATAAATTGTTACAAAAGCACTTCTGCTGAATGGGATGCAAAAACTTCGCTGGAGCCAACGCGGTAGGGCTCCCAACTGATTGTCGCTTTCCCACCTGCTAGCAGATCCTGACCTGCATCCATGATGAAGGAAGAAAGGGTTGAGGTCTCACCACAGGTTTTGGTGAGCATCTAAAACTTTCTGTGCGTGCATTTTCAAACTACCTTCGATACCAGTCACTCCTATGTACCGGGCCCCAATGCTGTGGGGCTGGGACTCGTAGTTGTACCTCTCCCGATGAACCAGGCGGTACTACACAGCGTAACCATAGTCCTCACTCTTATTGGACACCGTGACACAGCAGTTCAAGGGCCTGAGGCTGGAGGAGAGGAGCAGTCTGAAGTGAGTTGCAACGCATCTCGGTGCAACTAGTATTGTCGGGCGGTCCCTCCGACGGGGGCACGCCTACTTGTGCTTGCGCGCAGGCTGCTTACTAACGGCCAAGTACATCACTAACAACTGTTACAGTGTTAGTGCATACGGAGGAAGGGGGATTCTTTTTGCTAGCATGTGGGTTTGCCTCGCAGCAGTAGTTGCAACGAGAAAGCTTGCAACTAATGCCATGCCCGTTCGTCTTCCCCAGCTCCAGGCCCTTTGGTCATTGTGCGTAGGGTGCCTAGGGGGTGGAGCTGCTTTTCAGAAGATTCTCATACCACGTACTTCGACCTCATTGCATCTCACGACGATCTTTCTTTCGGATAAGAGTCCTGCGGGGAAAACCCGCATGGCGGCAAAGCCAAGCCCATTTTGCTGCATGTGCTAACACTGTAGCCAACTGTTAAACACTTGCATGCCCTTAGTAGGCGCCCCGCACACAAGCGGAGTTCGGCTACCCCTCCTCACAGACCATACTACGCTGCAGCTTCTGCTGCAAGGTAACCCCACAGGCAAGCAAGGCATAGCCCGCTTGGCTACATGCACAAACACCGAATACAATTGTTGAAGACATAGTTGGCCCTCGTTAGCGAGCCTGCACGCAAGTAGAAATGCACGTATTAACTTCAGACGGACCTTGCTACAGTGCCGGCATGGCTGCCTTTGCACCAAGCCCGTATGGGCTAGTTATCATGGGAATCTCATCTCTTCCACTTAGTATATCTCCTTAATTACATTTTATGGTAACGCTTATAATGTAAGCTTGTTTTAGTTGGTACGTCCAGCTGCCTGAGGGAACGTTCGCAGGCGCCTTTGCAGTGCCTGGCACTCCACACAGGATTATCCAGCCCCAACGCTGTCACCAGTGTCTTGTTCGTCGTAGGCGGAGGCCATTCGCTAAATAGTTAGGTATTTGCGCTTGTTTCTACTTGAAGTTGTTTTTTCATTATTATTTTCTACATCTTCTTTGAGTTCCATGCCTATTGTATCGCGGGGCACTAAAGTCGCTGTCTCACTGAGGGGTGCCGGCAGGTGCCGAGACAGCTGAGAACGACGACCTCTTCTGCCTCGTACTACCTGTTAGTTGTTTATTGGTTCTTTGGGACTTTGTGTAGTATTACGGCTCACGCAGACGGATGGTCAAGAACCCGTTGGCCCTACGTCCACCCCTTTGCTGCCGTTCTCCTGGCTCGGCCGCGTACATACTTGGGCATTCTGTTGCTTGTTTGAATACTTGCTATTCTGTTTCTTTTCCAGCGCATTCAATGAGGAGATATATGGGGATTTGCGGCTCGCCCTTGCTGCGGGCTGCTGCTGCCTTCATCTTTGCGTTGGCTTGCGTCGCTCGCTCGGCGTCAGGGGCTTACTTTTATGTGCAAGAGTCTCAAGATAAATGCTTCATAGAGAGCGTGCCGACGGGTGTTGCGCTAACAGCTTCGTACAAGAATCACGAGAACCCCGGTAAGCTGCATGCTGGCTTGCGTGTGACCCGGTGGTTGTTCCTTGCGAAGTTGAATACCGTGTAGACTGGGGGTGATCGCTTCTCAAGGGACTTGCGTCGTCACGTATTGAATTTGTTTTTTCCCCGTACATGGTCCTATTCTTCAGGCGTAACATGCAGCATTATCTTTAAGGATCCCAGTGGCCGCAGCGCTTACAGCAGAGAAGTGCTGCCGGCAGATGTGGAGGGGAAGGTCACACACATGACAACGACAACGGGGGAGTATCAGGTTTGCATTTCTTGTGCCTCTTCAAAATGGTTCAATACTCAGCTGCTCAAGTGGTCCCTCTCCATTGAGCTGGGGGACACCGATATCAACATCGATGTAAGACCGAACAAAACGCCGGCACAAGTCATTTACAATTTGGTGCTTCTTCTCAAGCTCCCTCTTGGATTTGATCATATTTTACTGCTTCTTTTCTTGCTTTCTTTCCTCTCAAGCTGGTTTGCTTACCGTGATGCTTCCCCAAGTTTTTAGTTGTTACTATTTTATTGAGTCTCGTGCTTTGTTTCCTCTCGACTTCGTTTATATCTTGTTTCCTCTGGTGATCTATTGCTTTGCTCAGGACCTTGCGAAGAAGGATCATGTGAACAGTGTCCATCTGAAGCTGCAAGCCATTGCCCGGCGGGTGGAAGCAATGCAGGCAGAGAACGACTACGAGCGTGTGCAGGTGTATCATTTGGAATGAGTTGTTCTGTCATTCATGCACATAACTAGTGTATTATCACTATGTAGCTTTAGTAGTTTGCAGCGTAGTAGAATTATTCAAGGCTATTGAACTACAGCGTCGGAGAAGGGAAGAAGCAAAGTCTCTGTTCGCGGTGACTGAGACGGAACTGTTTTTTATTTTATGCATTTAGTAAACTTCATTATGGTGTTGTGTGCTATCTTGTGCAGGAGGAGAGGTTCCAGAGGACGAGCGAGGCCATCAACAGTCGCGTCGTGTGGTTTTCTGTGCTGCAGCTACTGCTGCTGTGTGCATGTACTTTAGTAAGCATTTTCTACTTGGTGCGATATTTCCACGCACACAAAATCATATGAGCCTGACAGACAAGTGCAAGAAAGCCGAAGAAGGTTCGGTTCGGTTCGCACCCTTTGCATTTCATCTTCTGCTGCCTTCCTCCGTATCGAAAGTTCTGATTCCTGTCAGAGTAAACCCGAGGCAGCTAATTGTTGTTAATGCAAGTCGCTTGCACCAGCTGCAGCGATGGACCTTTGGAGGTTTTTCTCTAATAAACGGGCGCTGTCTCGTTTATTGCCCACCACATCTCTCATAGTCGTCTGCGCTGAGCTGAGCGAAACCAACAGAAATAAGACGGACGGCGAGCTGCTCGCTTGTCTGAAGGGGAATTTAGAAACGCAAAGGAAGGGGACATAAATATCTGCAGTCAGATCGTCGGGAGGCAGCACGAGTTCAGTCCTCACCACGTGTAGTGAACACAGCAGTACGTAGCCTTGCTCCATCGTTTTCATATATTATGCATATACTCGTGGTGTCGTGCTGTGCTGCACGCGACATCTCAAATGTCTGGGGCTTCTTTGAATTGGCGAACACAGCCAAACGGGCACGGGCTTCCCTGCACCAGTCCATGGAGTAAACAGCAAAGAGAAGGGGGAGACGGCGGCAAACCTGGAGATATATCCTGCGGGCCTCTCCTGTCTTCCGTGGGCGCAGCAAACGGCTTTGGTACTTGTGTTCCTTCAGCGCTTGCAGTGTGTATTGCATGCACTGTATATCTGTGCATCTTCAAGAAGGTCCCTGTGCCCCTCTGTCTGCTGGCTGTTCAGAGCGCTGCTGCATGCAGAAATGGTGCAAACACTACAACTGTTCGTAGTTTATTCGCTTTGTTCTGCAGTTTACCAACGGCCTTCTAGGCTTCAAATACCTTGCAATATCGCTCCTGCGTGCAATATCCCTTCTGAACAACTGAGAAAGGAGTGCTGTGGGCGGGGGGGCAACTTCAAAGGCGCTGCAGATGAACCGGGATGAAGGCCGGAAGCAGCTAGCGAACGTGGCAAACTACAAAACCGGCAAATCGGCGGAGCACTGCCGTTTATTCAAGATCACTCAGCATCGGCAATGGGGGAGATTTGGCAGCAGCAGTGTGCCAGCAGAGAGCACTGGGCTTCTTCCTTCTCTTCCTTTTGCTTCATTGTTGCTTGTAGCTCTAGCAACACGTATAGACGTTGAAAGGGCCCGTAAAGACATTCCTTTGCACAAAAACAGACAACATACGCTTTGTGTCGTGGCAGGAACCCACCGTCTGTGATTTGGGATGAGGGCTGAAGCTGGTAGACCTTAACTGCAGGGTTTAGGGTTTAGGCTACAGGGTCCCGCGCCTACGAAATGCAAGGTCGCCTACCAATAAAGGCAAAGATCTGGCAACAAACGAAGCCAACAACGCCATAACAAAAGTGTCTACGTGGGGATGGGAGTTTTGCCAGTTTCTCTCAACGGACTTATGAGCTGTCGCTCGTCTAGGTGGAGCATTCAGGCTCCAAAAGGGGCTTCTACGTAAATTACAAACGGGCCTGTATACATTATGCATATATATATATATATATACACGTATGCATGAACTGCAATATCATTCTGTATGTATGTATATCTGCAAGCGTATAAATATATAATATATATATATATATATATTTATACGTACTATATAAATAATTATATAGTATGGATGCATGCAGTTCGTCTTTGCGAATGTTCAGTATGTAGTCTGGGCTTACAAGCTTCTTAACATTTTTTGATCACTTTTGTTGGCAACCAGGAGCGGTGTCAGCGCGCTGCGCAGTGGCGACAGCACAGCACGCTAAGAAGCTCCACTTCTTGCTGAGGCGTGCAGCTTCAAAAGGAATTCTCTGTTACCCAAGCAAACCCAGCCAACCCGAAAGCTGCTATGAGCCAATTCAGCTAGCCTTGGGGCGCAAGCGAAAACCTGGACCACATATGCATATATGTATTATATAAAAGCATGGGACAGGGAGGAGATATGAGGTGTAGGGCAAAAATGAAACTGTTGCATTAAAAGATTCTCTCGATACATGGGAATGGATCCCAGTGGTGCCTGTAGCCTGCTCTATTTGTTGGTGTTGCGCGTATTTCCCCTTGTGCAATTGGGCAGCAACTGAGGGCCAAAGAAACGCTCAACAGCAGTTGCTTGAGTATGCAACCCCCCTTCGATGAGTGTAGTGAGGCAAATGTGGACAACTGTAAGCCTATTACTTGGCCTTCAATATTCTCAACCTCAGGCAGGGAGCCATTGTTAAGAGGGCGCATCGAATTTGAACACGCAATACAACACAAAGCGTGACACGCGAGCACAGTTGCCCGCCAACAAAAGCCCTCGTCTGCGCATTTTCTAGAGAGCAAGTAAAGAACATCAGCAGGCAGAAGAAGGCAACAACAAACTCTTCGCAAACCGGTTCAGATAGTAATCGTTGAGGCCAGCCCCTCAAAAGTCAGTTAGTAGGTTTGCTCGTTAGGGTTACTCGGCAGAAAATGTACATAAAACGGCACTAAAGTAAGATAATCATCATTATGAATACATAAAATAAGGCAGCTGAATAATAGTTGAAGTCAGAAAACCTCCAGAGCGGCGACTCGGCTGGGGCCCCTCGCCCCCCTCACTCTGCGTTGTTGTCTTGAGTCTCATGGGTGAGACTGCGGCTGTTTCGTAACTTCCACGGAGCCGTTTAATATTCACTTTCTCATTCCAAACCTTTAAATACTTTCTTTTGCTGCTCTCCTTCTGCAGTTGCGTGCGCGGCGCGCAGCTTCTGGCGTCGAGTGTCGCGGCTGCTGCAGGCCTGCGGTGTCTGTACATTTTATGATTAGGGAGCGGTTTCCACTTTGTTGTGTGGAGTTTAAATTCAATTGGGTGGATATTCTGTGCGCAATGGATCTAAGAAGATGCCGCCTCCCTGCATATGCTTGTTTCAGCCTCGGTTGTTGTTCCCATACGACGACTACAGGGGCAGCCTTCGTTCAGTAGCGGTGATCTGTCTGGGTTTGTGCATGGAGGTGCTGTGTTTGTTTTTGTGTTTCCTTTGGGCTGTTGTGTGCGTACACCACAGCTCGCCTCCGCAGCACTGGGCGCTGCTGCCGCTGCCTCTCATTGCGTTTGACTCCCTGGTGTTTTCAAGCGGCCTTTCTTGTTTTTTGCGTTCTTATGCGTGGCTTCTTCCTTCAGAGAAGAGTCTGCGCGTCATTCTTTTGCTTGGCTTGTGCTCTCGGCTCATCCTCTCTGTCTTGTTTTCGCTGCTCATGATTGGTGTAGTGCCTTTAGGTGCTCTAGTGATGGTTTCCGCAGCAAGCTACGCCACTGGCACATTTCTAAACATGCGCAGAAATGATGTGTACACCTGGGCGCGTCTGCAGTGCTGGGACTTGGTGGTGTTGCTACAGCTGGCCACTCTCTGGCTTCAGAGCGCCGGCTCCCCCTTTCCCAAATCACTTTCTCTATTCTTTGAAAATGCATTTGCATGCACGTGGCCTCTCTGGGTCTTCGCTGCTGGCCACCTGTGCTGCTGCCTGCTGCTAGGGCTGCTGCTACTGCGAGACACCGTGCTGCAGCAGAACACCATCACCCGCGTGCTGGTGCATTTCTCTGAGTTGCATGCAGTGGCTTTCTTGTTGTCTGTCGTCGCCTTCTCGCAGTGGCTGTCTGTACACCTGAACTCGCGCTTTGTGGTGTTTGTTTCGTCTGGTGTCGCCTCCTTCTTCCTCTTGATGCTGTTTGCTGCTTTTGTCTCCATCTGCTTCATGGCGAACCACACGCGTTCCTTCGCCGACGATGTTGAACAGAGAGGCCCCTCCCAGGGGGGAGGGACCTTCGTTCTGCCCTCTTCTTCCGCAGCAGCAGCAGCAGCAGCAGCAGCGGTGGGCCCCCCCCTCATGTGCGATATGAAGCTCACGCTAGAACGGGTCAGCGAGCACTTCTACAGAATCGGGGGCCCTTTGGAAGACCCTTTCCAAGCACCAGCACCTCACGACAAGGGGTACCAACACCCGGGATGCTCCCCACCGGAGCAGGGGCCCCTTGAAGATGGAAGTTGGCCGCTTCTGAGTGGAGAGGGTGCTGGCGACAGCAGCGCGACGCGACGGCAAGAAGACACGGAAGACCCGCAGCGCACGGAAGCAGCAGCAGGAGCAGGAGCAGCACCACTAGCAGAAGTGGCAGCAGCAGCACCAACAAGCGAAACTGTAGTCGCTGTACAGCCTGCAACGCCGACAGCTGCTGCCACCGATGCAGCTGCTGGTGAACACGATGGGGCTTCGCAACGGGAGGCTGAGCTCTGCATTATTTGCTGCAACACGGTGAGCTGCCTGTACACCTGCGACACGCTTTTGCTTCCATACCTCTAAAGCGTCACTTAACATCTTCCATTGATGCATGCATTGCAACGATGCACGGGAGATGAACGAATACTCATGTTAGCACACCTGAATGCCAGCGGAAGCGAGTGCTCTCCAACGCCGCTGCAATGATAAACCTGAGGGCGTAAAGCTGCATGCGTTCCGCAGATACTCCGCATACATGCGCTTCAGAGGCGTGTGCCCTGTGCCTGCGTCGGTTGTCTAGCGTCTGTTCAGTTTGCATGCAAATTGAACAGACGAAGAAGCTGTTTGTCAACAAGCTGCACAAATAAGCGTTTAGACAAGGGGGGATCCTTGCGGGGCTGTTGCATGCAGATGGCGAGCGCTGTGCTGCTGTTCTGTGGACACGGCGGCCTTTGCTTCTCCTGCGCTGAAACCTGCTTTCACAGGTGACCCGCCATCCCAGCTGATGCTGCTGCTGTTGTTGCTACTGCTGATGCTGTAACTGTTGCAGTTAGAAGTAGTGGCAGTCTAGCGGAAGCTGCTGCTGCGGAAGCACGTAGTGAAGAATTTTCGTGCCAACCGTCGTGCGTGTTTCGATTGCACGAAGTGCATGCATGCCTGCCTGCGTGCATCAACTGCATGAATGCATGCGGGATTGCATGCATCAGCTGCGTGCATGCATGTGGGACTGCATGCAGAAGTGGCCTTTGCCCGACCTGCCGTTGCCCCGTGAAGGGCGTGTTGGAGTTGAAGGAGGGACAGGCGAGCCAGAGACTGCAGGGAGCGCAGCTCGAGGGAGTGGTGAGGGATGTCGCCAGCTAATGCTGCTGCTGCTGCTGATGTGGCTACTGCCGCCAGTGCTGCGGTTGCTGCTTCCGTTGCTGCGGCTGCTGCACATTGCGAACGGCGCAGCAGCCCAGCAGCAGCTGACGGGAGAGCAGCAGCAACTTACCCAAAGGCGTTTTAGACTATTAGATGGCCTGTAGTGGGCCATATCGGAGCTGAGGAATCGGCAGCAGCAGCGGCGCTAGCAACAGAACCAGCAGCAGGAACATGACAAGCATCGGGGCTGTAGTGCACCCACAGCAAATCTGGTGCATGCACGGGCCGGTCTAGCAGCCAGTTGTATGCAAATGCATGCCCGCAGAATATCTGTATTTGGTAGAATATGTGCGTGCACAGCTGGGCCAGGGCTCAGTCCTTACTGCAGCAGCTGCATGTAAACAGCAGCAGCTAACTGCAGCAGCATGTAGGCGTAGCCGCCTTCGGGGCGGAGGATGGCTGTATTCTTGTTGTATTCTTGTACGCCGATTCAATTCCCACATCACAGATCTGGAATAAAATGCCTTCTACAGGTTAGGACAACGCATACGTCTAGACGCGCTTTGCATGCATGTATGCACGCATGCATGACTCTTGTTGCATGCGTGCAACTTGAGCTACAGTGTCGCGCCACCCACAGGGGCCCCTCCGCTGCCGCACGCACGCTGGCCTGTGTAGTGCGGAGAAACATATTCGGCTACATGCATGCTTGCATGCATGCATGCATGCAAGGCCGTCTTCCCTGCAGCTTCCAGAGCTGCCTCTTGGCCATTGCTCAGCATGCAGTTAGCAGGTCAAGTGTCTGTACACCTCGGCGAAGGTGCACGCCGAAGTTTTTTCTGTTTAGCCTCTTTCAGCTGTCTTGGGAGAAGAACGCATTCTTTAGAGTCTCTAGACAGACTGGAACGGAGTTAGGTCTAAATGCAGAGAAGGATGGGGCGTGCGTGCAAACGCAGCATAAGCAGACAGAGTACACACAAGAAAGTCTCAACCCAAAGGGCGCATGCAGCGTGATGAGGGGAGGAGACCAACAAAACTTCCCTCCCCTGGGACCACAGAAGCTGAAACAGCTAGGTGTATGTACACTCGAAGAAGGGGAGACCCTAGTCTTTCCCGGGCAGTGCCTTCAATAAGGAAAACTCTCCATACACTTCAGTTGAATATTAGCTAAAACGCCCTTCTCTTCCGAAGAGAAACTGGGCAGCAAATGGTGAGCTCTAGCATTTGCAGCATTTAAAACCCAAGTGCCTGCATGCATGCACGCAAATACGCATGCACCTTCCCCCCTACGCCCGTTTTCGACAGCCAAATATTGCAGAAGTCAATCCTCATGAGCACCCAGGAGGCCCCCTAGAGATAACACAGGGGGGCCCTTGAAGGGCCTTTGGCCCTCAAGGGGATTAAGAAGTAATTTTTATTGCCAGCAACTTCACGTCCTGCACGGGTTTGTCATTTTGGTTCGTCTTCACCTGAAGATACACCCCAAACACCAAGACGCGCAAAATACACCCCAGTATCGCAAATAAGAAGAGGCTGGAGAGAATGGCTGGCTACATGCAACGACAACTCATGCAACACAAATGAAGGCGAATGCAAATGCCCATAAGTGGTGTAGGAGATTGAATAGTAGCAATTAGTTGGAAATTCTATCGCCATCCCGTCTCCGCAGAGGCCGCTCTCTGCCTGCGGTATATGTGCAGCTGCTGTTGCTTTTCCTGTGCGAGATGTTGTATGTATCGGGTTGCTGTTGCCTCCCCCATGAAGGAATCCTTATACATGCGTTCGCTTCCTTAGGAAGGCACTGCGGTGCTGAACGTACTCCCTCTATCTTGAGAACGACATCAGCTCCGTGGGTGACTCGACCGAAAACCGTGTGCTTCATGTCCAGCCAAGGACAAGGCACTGTCGTAATAAAGAACTGAGACCCGTTCGTGTTGGGGCCCGCATTTGCCATAGAAAGAGTAAAAGGCCGGTCGTGCTTCAAAGAACGATGCAACTCGTCCTCAAAGTCGCCGCCCCATATTGACTCTCCTGTACAGACATCCCAACACCACGAAGACCACGTTCATGATTGAATACTCCGTACACAAAATACAAAATGATGAAGAAGAAACCCAATTAGTTCCTCCTCTAATAACTGCATGTGCCTGCGCATGCATGCATGCATGTACGCATGCATGTACGCATGCATGCATGCAGCCTGGCAGAACTCCCCCTTCTCTCCAAGCCCCAAAGCACGGGGACTCCAAATGCAGCAAAAGAAAACAGTAAACAAACACACAGACAGAGCGGCGTGCCGAAACTAAGGCCAGGAAGAAGAAGAACAACAACAATCAGAAAGACAGAAAGCAAGAGACGCTAAGGAGAACTACGACCTCAGAAGCGCAACACCATCAAAACTGCAAGATTTGATGGCGTTGTGCCCGTCAACCCCCGCTGCCTTTACGCCCCACTGCATGCAAGCATGCATGCAAGCGTGGGGCTTTGTTTTGGCTTGACTAAAGCGGGAGTCCTCTGTATCGCTGCTGCAGCGCCTCACCGCCTGTGCCGTCTCCGTTGGGGTCTCCTGTTTGAATCATGAATCCCTTGATGACTCTATGGAATAGCATGTTGTCGTAGTAGCCGTTTCGTGCATGCACAGTAAAGTTCTCCACGGTCTTAGGGCATTCCGCCCCAAACAACTTCACCCGAATATCTCCAAAGGTCGTGTGGAGGGTGGCCGTTGCTCCCAGACGCTGAGCAGGAGTTATGGCCGATGCCCCGGTGGCAGCTGCATCAGCAGAAGCAGCAGCAGGACAAGCAAGACGAGAGCACACCATTAGCTGAACCACCTGTCAGCAGCATGGCTCCTTCAGAGACAAAGGGGTCGTGAGCCAGCAACAAATCGCCAACAAACCCTAAAGCCTAGTCCCTAAACCCTCACCGCTCAAGGATTCCTGTTCTTCCTTCGACGGCTTCTCGTTGAAGATGTCTCGTGTGTCCAAAATATCTTCTGATGGGGCCTCCGCGGTGAAGAAGTAAACCCTAGAGAGGCAGAATAAAAACGGGCAGACATTTTACGCGGAGTTGGCTTAAATGCCCCGGCGTCCCATAAACCCTCACGCAACAGCCTTTATAAACCCTAAGCAGGGCTCGAAGCTCTTGTGCAACTTGCGCTGCAAGAGGCGCAACAGCTGCAACGGACGAGACTTGCTGCTGTTGTCTATACACTGCACTTCAGGGCCTCGGGACAGGCACTGAATGTCTAGAAAGACGGTTTAGGGCTTTATGGCTTAGGAATCCAGGGTTTAGGTTACTGCACGCACCTCTTTTTCTTGAAGGCCGAAGCGACCATGATCGCGTCGTTGGCTCCCGCAGCCGTCTTGGCGACTCGCTGTCCAGACACTCGAAAGACAGGAGGGTAGCGGAAATGACAAGAGCAAACAAACAATAAGCAACGGCATGCATGCGCCCATGCATTCAGGGATTCACAAGAAGCAGCAAATGCCTGCCCGACTCACTCGCGTTATGTACGGCTGCTGTAGCGCAATCGCCAAATACCGCAGGCCCTGCTCATGGCGGCCGATGAAGCGGCAGACCTGAAGACACCAAAACCCCAAGCATAAAGCCCTAAACCCTAAACCCTAATCCCTGCGTTATTCAAAGCGTAGCCAGGCTTCCCTCGAGTGTGAGGATGCTGCACGGTGGAGCACCACGCGGAGCACCATGCGTTCCTTTTTGTCTTTGTGCTGTTTACTTTGTTGTCTAGGATGTTGAGAACCTTCACTCCCAGTAGCGTGGGATAGAGAAGAAAAGAAGAAGAAGAGTCAAAGATCAAATTTTGATGAAGACGCAAAGGTGACCGACCCAACTCCCTCTCCAGCGCCGCCCTCTGCTCGAAGTCCAACGCATCCTGGTGCAGCAGCGCGCACTGCGGGTCTTTCTGCGCCATTTCGTAGTACTGGAGACGCAGACAAGAAAAAAGCAAAGACAGAGATACGGAAGGAAAGAGAGATCAAGAAGCAGAAGGCGAGGGACCTCAAGACAGACACAGACACACACAAAGAGGGAGACAACACGAAAAGGATATTGAGAAGTGGACACAGGTAGGAAGAGAGGCAGGAAAAACAAACGCAGAGACACTGAGCTCCGAAATATGTAAAGAGGAGAGAAGGGACACTGAGAAGGAGAATACGAATCACTAAGGAGCAGGCACAACGAAAAACAGAGACTGAGAGATAAAGACAACTACGGAGAGCGAACGAGCCAGAGAGGGGAAGCGTCCACTTCTCATATATATACATAGATACGAAGAGAGAATCAAGAGAGGAAGGGAGAGACGAAGAAAAGCAGAAACACTCCAACCCTCTTCCTCTCTGCGCACTCCCCACTGCCCCCTGAATCACCAAACCGAACTGGTGAGAAAGAGCTCGAAGCCGCAGAACGTTGCCCATACAAGATAAGCATGTGCTCTGCAGAAGGCTGAATCTGCCGCTAGACAGGTAGAGAGTCAAGTAGGTACCTGCAGTGTCTCCAGATACACCCGACTGAGCTTAGCCTTCCGTACGTTGAAAATTCGCAAGTGGAAGTCGGCGCCGAGGACCGCCAGCCATTGGCCGTTTGGACTCGCGGCGATTGCGAGTGCTGTCGTTCCGTTCTAAGCGACAATAGCAGAAGAAAGCAACAAAGTGAAGCAACTATCAATTGCGTTTAATATACACAAGGAATGTACACGATGACAAGACAGGAGAGGATAAGAAGCGCAAACAAACACGCACCAGACACCAGAAAGAAGACAAACAACAACGTACTATTACATACAACCCCAACATAGCCAAGGCGGCGGCACATGCAGGATACAGCTGCAACGTTAGCAGCACCGAGAGCAGTTGCTTAGAAACAAATTTCCTTCAACGGGTATTAAAGAATGACTGAACAAAGAACGGAAGCGAGGGATGACTGCGCCGCCCCCAACAGTCAGACGCTGCTGGAGAGGTACAGTAAGAAATAGAGAAAACTCTTCGCTCTCAGTCTAAAGGCAAATATAATTCTAGGATAACTGCTCAGAAAATGATTAATTACTACCCAAACTTGTGCTGAGACTGTAAACTCACGACGCAGGCAGGCAAGCGTTTGTGGTCTAGTGGTAGAATACCTCGTTGCCATCGAGGTGACCCGGGTTCGATTCCCGGCAGACGCACATTTTACATTTTCACAAATACACGTACAAACATACCCTAACGGACCAGAAGATGTGAAAAACGCGGAACTAGACAAAAATAATTCTAAATAGGTGTCTCGACTGGCACGGGAAGTCCAACCGTGTGCGGTAGAGGAGAGACAAAAGGAGACAGCAGACGAGACAGAAATACTTCTCCTAGGGGACAGAAGACGAAACAAACGAAGAGACGGAGGAGAGAGCTCACCTTCTGCAGGTCAAACAAATGGGTCTCCGCCTTGAACTCGAATGCGATTTGCTCTGGGTGGCTGTCTTTGGAGACTCTGCGACCTGTATGTACACCCCAGAGCTCCAGGCCTCCGTCTCTGTCTGCCGAAAAGCAGATATCAGTCCCCCCCAAGTGGGCCAGCAGCCGCACAGGCGAACCGTGCAGAGAAAAACTAACAACAGGCTTCGCCCCGTGCAGCAGCGGCTTCAAGACCACCACGGTGGGGCTTTCCTTGTCGGAGCTGCAGCAAATACAGGTTTGCATACACAGAGACGGGCGCAAATAAAAAAACAGATGCAGACACAGAAACAGATGAAGAAACAAATACACACACCAGCAACACGAGGCTACGCTGGAGCTGAGCCACGCATGCAGGCTCTAACGCTTCCACGCTTCGAGGGCCGGTCTCCTTGCGCCTTAAATCCGTCCAAATATATGAACGGGCACCTAAGCATGCATGCATGCATGTATGCATGCATGTATTCATGACTAAGACACTGGCGGTGCATGCATGAATGCATGCATGCCTCGGCGACTGCGTAGGTACGCAGATGCGTGCGCATGCATGCACCCCTGTATGTAAACCGCACGAGAAGAATATCTTATGCCTTTGTGCATGGCATTGTACGCCGGCACCCTTCAAGAGGATACATCAAGCAAAATATCTGCATATAGCATTTGCAGAAATGCATCTCACCATGCATCCATGCATGCATGCAGCTGCACAAGAACGAATGCACGCATAACACCTACACAAAAAGCTCGTTGATAGCATACAAGTATCCCACGGGCATAGACAAGAATACATTCGCCTATACTAAAGCGCCTACACTAAAGCGTATTTATCCAATACTTATATATACATATATTTCATACATGTACTACGTACATACACATCAAAGCTATTACAACTTAGAACGAATACTCAACAATAAAAAGCTTGAAAAAGTGTCTGCATTGCAGGAGAGGGCTGGAGTTCGGGTGTGCGTACACCGCAACTAGAGGCGTTGCGTCCCCCTTTTTAGAGACGAATTCGCAAGCCCAAGGGATAAAGTCGAGCGAAACGAGACAAGCCATGTCGAAGTTGGAGACGTCAAAGATCTGCAAACAGAAGAAAACACAGAAGACAACAAAAAGAAATACAACGCACCGCCACACTCGCACGCAAGCAAACGAATACATACACAATACACCATACAAACAACACACAAATAAACAACACATCAATACATTAACAACCCACGAACAAACCACCAAACGAACAAGCAAAAAACCAATAAAAAACAACGCACAGATGGGCGAAAACATGCAGGAGAACACAGCAGCAGGAGCAGCAAGGACCATCAGCAGGCAGCAGCAAGGGGCAAGGGCCACAGCAAGGACCCGAAGCAGCAGCAGCAGGCAACAGCAGCGGCAGCAGGCAGCAGCAGCAGCAAGCAGCAGGATCCCGCCGCGTTGTTTTACAAACCCTGAGAGTTTTGTCGGCCCCAACGCAAGCGGCGTGTTCGCCTCCGTCTTCTCTGGAAATGCACAGCGAGTGCAGCTCCCCTAAACGCCACACAAAGACAGCTTCTAGCGGGTTCTCGAGCCAGCTAGCCACGCAGCCAGCCATTCAGCTAGCTGCGCTCCACTCACCACGCGAAACCCACTCAGCTAGAAACCTACTTAGAGAGCTAGCTACCGGGAGGGCCAGCCGTATATCTAGAGATGTAGCTAGCTCAAAAGGTAGCCAAGCAAAATAGCTAGCCAAAAAGCTAGCCATATAGCTAGACACACAGCTAACCGGATGGCCAGCTAGCCACCTAGCTAGCTAGGTTGCTAGGCGGGTAGCTAGCTAGATGAGTGGCTAGCTTACCGATGTGGGCCCGGAAGTGCTTAACAAATTCAATGCCTCCTTCCTTTTGAATCCAAAATTTCACGTGCCCATCGACGGAGCCGCTCAGAATAAACCGGTGGGCAGAGCTCGCCACCACTGCAAAAAACAAGTCCTAAACCCCAAACGCTAAACCCTACACACTGCACTTCGGCTAAACAGCGCTTTGCATGGGCCTGGCTCCTGTCCTGCGTGTGTGGCTTGTAGAGCTAGTGCTCTAAGCATTGGCTCCTTGCTTGGGGTTTAGGGTTTAGGGTTTACCGAAGGTGATCTGTTCTCTATGCATAAAGCTCTTGCTGTATCTCGTTGCACTCGGAAGCTGCTGCAGCAGCAAACCTTCGCAACGCAGGCGGCGCCGCTTTGCTTGAGGAGCCGCTGTCGCCTCAATGGGCTTCGGGCCTGCGACACACAAATCCTAATCCCTAAGCCCTACTAAACCCTAACTTCTAAACCGTACGCTCTATACTCTTACCCTAATCCATACGCCCTAAGCTCTAAACCCTAAATCCTACACCCAAAAGTCTATCCCTGCAATCCAAACCCCTGTCACAGTCCCGAAGTCACGATGCTCTTCTCCCTGTAGGGCAGCCTACAGGCAACTAGGGTTTAGGATTTAGGGTTTAGATCGTGGCATTCTCTGAGGCCCACCGAAATCATCGTCGCTGCTACTGCTGTCGCTATCAACTTCAGCAGCCCCTGGTGCAACTGGCTGGCCGCTGCTGCTGGCGCCAGTGCTGCTGCTGCTGCTCTTGCCGTTGGTTGTGTCCTTGTCCTTGCTGCTGCTGCTGCTGGTGCCGCTTCTGTCCTTTTCCTCTTGAGCCATTTTCAAAGACGCTCCTTCCGCAGCTGCGCAGCTGCTGTTGCTGTTGTTGTTGCTGCTGCCGCTGCTGCTGCTGTGTTTGTTGCTAACCTGCTCCACGCTGTCGCTGCTCTCGCGGGTGTTGCTGTTGCCGCTACTCCTCGTTTCCTTGCTGCTGCTGCCATGCTTGCTGCTGTGGTGGTGGTGATGGTGGTGGTGGTGGTGGCTGTTGTGGGCCTCATCCTGATGCCTGTGCGACTCTCTCGCGTCCTTGCTGCTGCTGCTGCTGCTGCTGCTGCTACTGCTGCTGCTGCCGCTGTGCTTACTCCTCCCGCTGGAGTGTTTGCTGCTGCTACTGCTGCCGCCGTCTCTATGCTGCGGTACCTCCTCCTCCGGGGATCGGCTGCGGTGGCGGCCCCTGCTGCTGCTGCTGCTGCTGCCTGCGTGACGATCCGGCATTGTAGCGGCTTTCCGGTGTATGTACACTCCAACCCCTAAACCATAAACCCTTTAAGAGAAGCCGCAAGTATCCTTGCGGGACACGGGGCCCTCACTCAGCTGTCGCAACGAACTCCCTTGGAACCCGATTTAGGGTTTAGGGTCTAGGGTTTAGGCCTGAAGATCCACGGCAGTTTTTTCTATGCAACACTCGGCAGCCCATCAATGAAAAAACAAGCAAAAACAAGGTTTGCTGCCTAGCAGTTAGGGTCTACTTCTACTAGGGTGTGCCGCTGGAGAGCGGTGGGCCCCACCGCTGGGGCCCCCGAAACCCTAAACCCGAAACCCTAAACCCTAGGCCCTAAACCATAGGTGAGACAAGAATTCCAAGGCACTTAGCTTGTGAATTTAAGGGTTTAGGGTTTAGGGTTTAGTGTGTAGCTATAAACGCCAAGCGCTGGGCGTGCTGCTCGCTCTGTCGAGGGTAGAGCGGAGGGAGCTCCTAACCCATAATCCCAAAACCCTAAACTCTAAACCCTACACCCTAATCTCAAACAGGAAGGCGGCAGCTTTGAGGGTCTTACTAGGAGCTTGTCGCCAGAATCCACTGAAACAAGGGGGGTGAGTGTTTGAGGCATACGGTTTAGGGTTTAGGGTTTAGGGTTTAGTGGGAATTCGTAGGGCAACGATCGAATGAAAGACTTACGCGGTGTAACAAGGGCCCGTACCTTCGGACGGCTTGGAGCCCTCTGGGGCTATTCACCTGCACCTATGCCTCAGCAGCAGCAGCAGCTGCTGCTACAGCAGCAGCAGCAGCAGAAGGGGCAGCAACAGCAGTCTTCCACGTGGCTCTCGGCTTCTGGCCGTCGCATGGGTATATCTAGCGGAGGTAACAGCAGCAACCCACCGAGCAACGCCCGCAGCAGCAGCAGCAAGAACAGCAGCAGCACCAACGACATCACAACCAGCAGCAGCAGCAGCAGCACAAGCTGCAGCAGCAGAAGCTCTCAAGGGTCGGAAGGTGACCCTTTGCTGGTGGAAGAGCGTCGGGGGCCGCGGGGGGCCCCCTCTGTCTTTACTGTGAGCTTGAATCGCCCGGAGCGTCTCAATGCTTTATCCCTTCCGCTGCTGCAGCAGCTGCAGCAGCTGCTGCTCTCCCTTGAGCGAAACGGAGAAACAAATGCCCTTGTCATCCTCAGAGGCGAAGGAGATAAAATATTTTCTGCAGGTGAGCTGTCTGTACACCTGAAACCCCGTATAAACCCCAAACCAAAAGCACTTGTTCTCGCGTTTTGTGCATATTGTCCCTCTATCAACTCATGCTAAAGCAGCAGTAGCAGCAGCTGCTGCTGTTGCAGCTGCTGCAGACGTATTACAGCAGCAGTGACGCAAAAGGAGCAGCGGCCACAGCAGCTGCAGCACATGTAGCTGAGGCAAGGACAGCAGCAAAGGGAGCTCTTTCGGCAACCGAAAGGCAGCAGCAGCAGCAGCAGCAGCAACAGGGAGCAGCAGCATCAGCAACAGGAACATGAGCAGCATCTGTCCTTGAAGGATTTGGTTTGTCTGTCTTCTTCTTTTTTCTGTGTTTACAAGGAGGTGCCTGTTGTCTCTATCGCCTTCGCTGCTCTGCATTCTGTGCTACTGCTACTGCTACTATTGCTGCTGCTGCTTGGTGCGTTGGGGTGTATGCACAGGTGGAGATGTGAGGGCCATTGCTGCAGGTAGTCCAGAGGCTGTCATTTCTTTTTTTTCTCTCGAATATTCTCTCGACTTTTATTTGGCGCAGCAAAGAGGGCCCCCAGTGGTGGCCCTCTGGGACGGCATTGTCATCGGTGAACCCTAAACCCTGAACCCTAAACCCTCAACTCACCACTCATGAACTTTGCGCCGCTAAGCGCCACCACACCCGGTAGCAACCGCACCACAGGCGACTGCCGCAGCAGCAAAAACAGCAGCAGTAGCAACAGCTCCAGCAGCAGCAGCCCCAACAATGACTGCAGCAGCAGCAGCTAAGTTCTGCATCATAGTCTTGTTGGGGTATTAAATAGGATTGCTGCTGCAGGTGGCGGAGTCGGGCTGTCTGTACACGGAGGGCTTCGTGTGTGTACTGAGAACACCTTGTTCTCAATGCCAGAGGTGATGCTGCTGCTGTTGCTGCTGCTGCCGCCGAAGTTGCTGCTGCCACACTTGCTGCCAGTGTTGTGTCGTGTCTGGCGGCCGACGTGTTGATCCTGCTGCTGCAGTGGTTGGGCTGTAGGCGCTTGATCCCCGCTGCCTTGCTTTGCTAGGTTGCTGCCCGCCTTTTCTGCTGCTGCCATTTGTGCTGCTACTGCTGCTGCTTGTGCTGCTGCTCCTGTTGCTTGTGCTGCTGCTGATGCGGTCGTTTCTGCTGCTGCTACTGATGCTGCTGCTGCATTCGTCGTTGCTGCTGCTCTTGGTCGTTCTACTGCTGCTGCTGTCGTTCCTGCTGCTGCCGCTTGTGCTGCTCCTGGTGTCTCTCCTGCTGCTGCCGTTTGTGGTGGTGCTGCTGTCGCTTTTGCTGCTGCTGCGTATTTTGCTGCTGCTGGCATTCCTGCTGCTGCTGCTGCTGTTTCAGGTTCACATTGGGCTGTTCCCTGACGCGGGGATGACTCAGGCCTTTGCTGAGGTGAGGCCTCGCGGGCTGGGACTCTTTCTGGCCCTCACGGGCGAGAAACTAAGAGCAGCAGACCTCATGCAAACAGGTCCGCTGCACTTGATGCTGCTGCTGTTGCTAGTGCTGCTGTTTCTATTGTTGCTCGTGCGCTCTCTCCTGCTGCAGCTTTTGACGTTGTTGCTTGTGCTCTGGCTGCTGCAGTTGCTGCAACTGCTGCTGTTGCCCGTGCTCTTGCTGCTACTACTGCTGCTGCCGTTGCTGCTGGGTGGAATTTGGTGTGGGGTGCAGACACTGCTATTCTGCCGTTTCTGCCTCCTCTATTCTTTGCCAACTTCTTCGAGCACCCCTGCTGTTGCTGCTGCTGCTGTTGCTGCTGCTGCTGTTGCTGCTGCTGGTTATTTTTCAGGGTTCGCAACCCACTACCTGCCATCGGCCCTGCTCCCGGGAGCCATTGCCCGCCTGCAAGAAGTGCGGCCTCTAAACCCTAAGCCCTAAACCCAAAAAGCCATGTTATAGACCCTAAACGCTAAACCCGCATTAGGCAGGAATTTTCTACCAAGTTGATTGTGGGGAGCCTATTGCTGCTCCTGCGGAAACTTCGCATGTCGATGAAAAAGAAACATTTAGGGTTTAGGGTTTAGGGTTTGTTGCTGCTTTTCGTTAGGGGCCGCCTCTCCACGCCGACCCCAAGGTTTGGGCCTCCCAAATTCTTGACGAAATGCGCAGGGAGGCCCCTCTAGGGGCCCCTGCGACCCCCCCGGAAGCAGATCGGCTGCTTCAGCCTGATTTGCTGCAGTTCTTAGAGCGGTATTTCGCTAACGCCAAGTCGCTGCAGGTAAGGGTTTAGGGCTAAGGGTTTAGGGATTTGGGGTTTGGGCTCAGGGTTTAGGGCTTTAAGGTTTAGGGTTTGCGTGCAGAGCCTTGTGGCTGCCTTGGAAGAGAATGCGAGTAGCAGTTGGTGCCGCAAGACCCTCAGCACTATGCAGCGCGCCTGCCCGCTGTCTCTTGCTGTCTCTTTTAAAGCCATTCGGGACAGAGAGAAGGCCACAGCAGCAGCAGCAGCAGCAGCAACAGCAGAGGCAGCAGCAGCGCCAACAGAGACAGCAGCAGGCGGTATAGCCGCTTGCGGGGCCTTGGAGGGGGCGCCCAAGACAGGGCAGCACCAGCAGGAGCAACAGCGGCTGCAGCTTCTGCGAGAGGCCCTTCAGATTGAGTTGGTGTTGATGTGCAACATGGCAGGACTTTCGAATGCAAATTTTAAAGAGGGGGTTCGGGCCCTTCTCCTGGACAAGGACAAAAACCCCCAGTGGTGAGCAAACCCTATCCCCTAAACGTCAAACCCTAATTCCTCATTCTACACTCACGCTGACTTAGGCCTTAGGCTTTCCACCGGAGGGTCTCCTCAGTGGAGGGTTTAGAGTTTGCACAGGCTTTCCATGTAGGGTTTAGAGTTTAGGTTCTCTCAGTGTAGGGTTTAGGGTTTAGGTTTCAGCGCAGGCCTTAGGGTTTAAGTTTCAGTGTAGGGTTTAGGATTTGCGTAGGGTTTCTGTGTGCTGCACCTGTGTGCTGCGGTGTACAGGCAGCCCAGCACCCTCAGGGAAGTCAGCGACGCTGCAGTGGCCCAAGTCTTCCAGTCGAGTATTCCTTTGCGGTTAGCGAGGCTATGAAGGCAGAAGAGGCAGAAGCAGCAGCAACAGCTGCAGCAGCAGCAGCAGCAGGAGTGGCTACTTGTCCCCATTACAGATGCTTAAAGGGTGCCTGCATGCTGTCTATGCATACAGATTCGTAGTCACGCATTGTTGGTCTTAGGGTATAGGGTTTAGTTTTGCCCTCGAAGCCTGGAGACTTGTGCTGCGTTTGCTGCGTTTCCTATTAAATTTTTCTGTGTTTTACTTAAGCGTACTTAAATACAAGTTTAATTAAACGCAGCACAAATATCTTCTGCTACTGCTGCCACAGCAGTAGCAGCAGCAGCAGATACTGCTGCTGATATATAATCCAAGACATTGTTGTATATATTATTGTGGAATAAGTATTCATGCACGTTAATATATATTATATATATTAAATATATATATATATGTACTTAAGCGTCATCCAATACATTATGCAATTTATTATATAGTAGGGTAAGTATATATGCAACAGTACATTATATAATATATATAATACATTATAATGTAATTGCGCTGCATAGACCCTCAATAAAGCCCCTTCTTTCTCGTCGCCTTACAGATGAGGGTGGGTGGTGTCTGTGCAAACCCCTTACAATAAAGTTGAAATTAAAGGAGAAACATAATCTATAAATTGAAATCCAGTTTAAAATAATTAGAGAAGCAAACACCCGATCAATATCCAAACAAACAGCTGCTACACCCTTGCTCAATGAGGGGGCCCCCCGTAATGCCCTTCGCTGCAGCATCTCTATAAACAACGAATAAAGCAAAACTATGCAAACAGATAATGAATTTATTTCATATATCTATACTTTCTGCTGCTCTGCACCCTCCTCTGCCGGCATCAACTCCACGGGGGGCCTCCGAAGGGCCGCTGGGGCCCCCGGGGCCCCCCCCTGGAGTTCCAAGGGGACCTAGGGGGCCCTTTGAAGCGAAGATCTTTTGCTCGAAAGTATTGACGGAAACCCGTTATTCTAGAGGACCAGGAGAATGCTGTGCTTGCCATAGCGCACTGGTTTTGAAGTAGGGCCAAGTGTCTAGGGTTTGGGGTTTTGGGTTTTGTAGGGTCTAGGCTTTTGGCTTTAGGGTGTATCAAGTATGATATGGAGAACTCAGCTGAACAAGGCGCAGAGAAGTCATAGGGGGGCAGGGCCCCCTGGGCTTCAGGAGAAGTCTGTAAACTTCGGCAAATCTCTTGCTGCAGCTCTTCCCTGCAGATGCAGCAACGGTATCTGCAGCTGTTGCTGCTGCTTATCTCAGTGCCGCTTCTGCGGCTCCTTCCATGTGCCGCTGCTGTTGCCGTTGCTGCATGCGGGCCCCTCCTCCACTGCGGCTGCGTTGGCAAGACCTCCATTCCTGGATTTGCTGCCTTGAGGGGGGCCCACCATGGGGGTCCCCGTTCATCTTCACGGTTTGCAGCAGGCAGGCCGCGGAAAAGCTCACAAGGATCCGCTGCAGTGAAGCAGCACCAGCAGCAGCAGCGCCGGCGGCAGCAGCAGCAGCAGCAGCGGCAGCAAGCAGGTGCAACAAGGCCCTCTGCTGCTCATCCTGTTTCCCCTCTGTCTCTTCAAGATGAAGGCGAAGGTACCCGTAAGAAATCCCTTACAAGTTTTCTTGATGGCCTGAGGCAGCAAGAGGGGCTCTGGGCCTTAGGGGGCCCCATGGGGCCACTCCCCAAACCCAAGCTCGGCGTACCCATTGAGGCTGCAATTTCAAGCAGCAGCAGCAGCAGCAGCAGCAGCAAGTTACAGCAAGTGCTCAAGTCGGGAGACTACAGTCGCCTGAAGCCGTCGTTCTTGGGGTCGTTCTTGCTGCCTATACACCGCAAGGAGGAGGTGGAGGAGCAGCACCAGCAGCAGCTGCAGCAGAAGCAGCAGGAAGCCAGTGGTGGAGAACTCCGTGAATACTTCCCCCCCCACATCCTTCCTGATGCTGCTGCTGAGGAAGAGGAGGGGGCCCCACCTGTTGCAGCTGATACAGCCCGCAGCACGCTGCGGGAGCGGCTGCTGCAGCAGCTGCTGCAGGGGGTGCTGCAGCAGCAGCAGCTGCCGGAAGTTGCTGTTGCTGGGCGCAGTAATGTGGGTAAATCTTCGCTTATAAACGCCTTCTTCAAACTCTGCAGCAGCAGCAACAACACCAGCAGCAGCAGCAACAGCAGCAACAGCAAGCTTCCTCACGCCCGCTCCTCCCGCACCCCTGGGCGCACCCAGGCCATCGATTTTTACCTTTTCAGCGTTGCTGCAGCAGCTGCTCAGCGGCAGCAGCAACAGCAACAGAAGCTGCGGCAGCAGCTGCAGCGGGGGGCCCTTGTCCTTGCGGATCTCCCGGGGTATGGCTATACAGAAGGCATCTCCCCAGAGAAGACGCGGCAGATATCTCGCACTTTAGAGGTGTACATACAGCGCAAAGAGCAGCAGCAACAGAAGCTGCAGCAAGTGCTGCTGCTGGTAGACGGCAGGAGAGGCATGGGAGCCCACGATGCTGCGCTGATGCGGCTGCTGCTGCAGCAGCAAATCCCAACAGCAATTGCGGTCACGAAGGAAGACAGACTGAGCTCCAAGCAGCTTGTGGTCTGTTGCTGTTCTTGCTGATTGCTGCTTCTGTCATTGCCGCTACTGCTGCCGTGGTGGTTTGCTGTTGTTGCTGCTGCCGTTGTTCTCTGCTGGCGCTGCTGCTGCAGCTGTCAATTGCTGCTGGTGCCCCCGTTGCCGCTGGTTGTTGATTTGCTGCTGCTGCTGCTGCTTCTGCTGTTTCCACCGTTGCTGCTGGTGCTGGCTTCTCCATTGCTTCTGCTGCTGCTGCTGTTCTTTGCATTGCTGCTGCTGCTGTCACTGCTGCTGCTGCTGCTCGCAGGATCTGGTGGAGAATCTATCGGATTTCAAACAACTTCTGCTTCCCCCCTATTTGCTGCAGTTGCGGCTGAAGCTGCTAGTGGAGCAGCAGAAACGCAACAGCAACAACAACAAAGACGAAAGCGATGAACACGACGACACCAGCAGCAGCAGCAGCAGCTGCTGCAGCAGCAGCATTAATGGCCCAGCAGGCTTCTTCAGAACCGTGCAAAATCCCTTTGCCGCAGATACCTCACCCCTGGAACAACAAGAGCAGCAGCAGCAGCACCAACAGTCGAAGCAGCAAGTCCCTGTCTTCCTCGTTTCTGCCCGCACAGGCTCGGGCATAAAGCAACTCTGGCAGCACGTCCTTAAAACTGCAGCAAAAGGGCCTCCTAAGGAACACGCACCAGCAGCAGCAGGTGCAACAGCAGCAGCAGGTGCAGCAGCAGACCCGACACCCTCTCCAGCAAAACGGCGCGTAGATAAGTCAAGACGGATGGCGCTGCTCCTGGCAGGGCCGCAGCACATGCCAGATGATTGCTTCTAGCAGCAGCAGGAGTAGCAGCAGGGCTGTTGCGGCATTGAGTGCTGCTGCAGCACCAACAGCGCCTATGGTGAGCTTGTGCACCAGCTGCTGCGGTTTAAGGGAACCGAATCGAAGAGGACATCGTTGTGGAGTGTGTGTACACTGCAGAGCAGCTGCTGCTACTGCAGCAAAGTCAGCCGTCTGCTGCTGTCTCTCGCTCTTTTCCCCCCACTAATCTCTAACCTTATATTCTGCATCAGGTGGCATTTGCTGCTGCAGCTTTTCGTGCTGCTGCTCCCGCTGCAACGGCTGCGCGTGTTGCTCCTGCTGCTGCTGCTGCTGGTGCGGCTGCTGCAAAGGCAGCACAAGCTGCGGCAGCAATGCGTTTATGTTCGCTGTTTGCTTGTTTGGGGATTTGGATTGCTTTGGGTTTGGAGCGGTGTTGGGTTTTGTTGTTTTTTTTTGTTTGCTGACAAAAGAAAAGAAAAAGAAGGTTCAGAAGGCAGTATCTTTTAAGTATATCGCAAGCCTCTGTTTGTCTCTACTTAGGCGTCTCTCGTTCTCCAACTATCTTTCTCTTCAAGCCTGTCTCTCTTTAGCTTATCTCTCTTAGATTTGTAGCCTGTCTATGTTTAGCTTTTCTCTCTTAGGTCTGCAGCCTGTCTCTCTTTAGCTTGTCTCTCTTGGGTTTGTTTCCTCTCGCTAGAGTGTCTCTCTTCTGGGTCCTTCTCTATCTCTAAATATGGCTCTCTTTGAATCCGTCTCTCATAAGGTCTGTTTCCCTTCAGGGCTGTCCCTCCCTGTCCTTATTAGTGTGCCACCGTTGATGTCTGTCGGCAAGCCCACGAAAGACAAGCAGCACCTGCTTCTGTCTCCGAGCAGCAGCAGACCAGCAGCAGCAATAGCTACCGGAGGCAGACAGAGGCAGTTGTGTAGCAGCTCGCCTTCTGCAGTAGGTCTGCTGCAGCAGCCCACCTGCTGCAGCTTCACTTATTGGTAATATCAGCACTGATTCATTATACAGGAGCCCAAAATATGCTACTGTGGATACAAAGCCCTTTGCAGGTGTATGCACCGCTGCTGCTGCTGTTGCTGGGGGTGCTGGTGTTGGTTTGTTGCTGTCGTTGCTGCTCGTGCTGGCGTGCTGTATCTGCCGTTGCTGTCTGTTGCTGTTGCTGCTGTCGCTGTGTAGCATCGGTATTCTCGTTCGAAGTCTACAAGACTAAAGGAAATATTGCTTGTCTGGGGTTTTCTTGGAGCCAGTCTTCGTCTCCTTCTGTTGCTGTTTATTGCTATTGTGTGTCCTTTAAGCAGTGTGTTTTTGCTGGCGCTGCTGCTGCTGCTGCTGCATCTGCTGAATCAGGGTTTGCTGCTGCGCGTGTTGCATGGGTTGATATGATTCGAATGTCATAGTGAACTCGCCCTGTCCCTGGGTGTGGGCCCTGAGGTCGGAAATGAAGCCAAACATACACCGCAGCGGCACGCGAGCGGATATGCATGCAGTGTCTCCTTCAGTTGCACAGCTGGAGACGCTTCCTTCTCGCCTGTTTAGCAGCATCAGAGCTGCTGCTTGCATCTCGCGGGGGGCAGTCACCTCCACAACCATCAACGGCTCAAGCACCACAGGAAGACTCTCTGCTGCAAATGCCCTGCGAAACAAAACAGGAAACAGCAGCAGCAGCAGCAGCAGCAGAAGTAGCAGCAGCGGCAGCGGTCCCGTAATCCCTCGAGTAGTTAACTCGCTGTTTCAGCGCAACTTGCTCCGGCTCCCTTAAAACATACGCATCCAGCTTCTGCTGCTGCTGCTGCTTCTGCTTTGTGCTCTTCGAAGTAGAGCAGCAGCAAATCCACTGTCTCTACTGGCGCACCTGAGGGCCCCCGCCGCCGCTAGGCGAAACGCAAGGTCACTCGAGTCCACGTCGTGGGCCTTCCCCCCCTGCAAAACGAATCGCGTGTTGACTAGGGGAGCCCCCAGGAGGGGCCCCCGCTGAGCCGCCTCAAAGAAGCCTCTTTCTATGGAGGCGATGAAGTTGGGGGGGATTTCGTTGCCCACCTGCAGCAGACACAAAGCATGAATAACCTAACAAGTCCCTTCCTAGATCGTATCGCTTGCAGCTGCCTCCTTTTAAAGGCCTTGAAAGCCGACTCCGACTGGCAGAAGAGGCAATAAGAGAAAATGAATACCCACGGTGAAGAAATACTCAAAATAAATTCATATATAACAACTTACCTACAGATATGCATATATACATGTATATGCATACATATACATGCATGCAAATATTATACAGACTATATATATATATATATATATAACACATTTGTGCGCGTGCTTCTAGCCCTCATCACTGGCCCTAGAAGTTCATGGGCTTGCAAGCCTAGATATATATACCCAAATATGTACATATACGTATAAATATTATATATATGCACGTATGCATGCATATATACGTATATGTATGTACATCTACATATGCGTCTATGCGCATGTATGCATATGCATACATAGGTATATGCAGTAATACATATTTGCATGCGTGTATGTAGGTATGCTTGCGTGTGTGTGCGTATCCCTCATCCCCCGGCGTATGACATATAAAAGGCGTTTGTTGGATCCTGAGTTTGTTGTTTTGCTTAGGAAGAGGTTCGCGTATGGAATGTAGTAGCCTATACGTTGTTCATCGCTGGTGGCTATATGTTTTGTCGTTTTTGTTTGTTTGCCTTACGACTTCATTAACGAAGACGTTGGTGAGTTTGCTGTTTGCCGTTGTTTTCTGTTCGTCTTCTTGCGGCTTCAGGGGCTCAAAGTACCCCGAAATCCTAGCGAACTGTCCCGCTCCTCCTGTTTGTTTCTTGTGTGTAAAGTCAAAGACAGCCCTCTGTGTTGGGGTCTCTCTGTAATGTACCCCAGGGCGCCCAGCTACCACCTCCAAACCATACTCGCGTCGCATGCGTTGCAAATATATCTCTAAGTGCAACTCCCCCATGCCGGATATTACCGTCTCTTCAGACTCAGCGTCCTGACCCACTCTGACAGAAAACACCCAACCCCGAACACGAAATCCGCAATCTAAACAATAATTCAATACCCTTATTCAATACAATTAGAAAAAATACGAATACGAAACTTGTATTCTACACAATAATTCAATACTCGCATTCAATACAAAAAGAAAAAATCCAAATACGAAACCTGTCTTCTAAAGAGTAATTCAATACCCTTATTCAATACAAGAAGAGAAAATCCACATACGAAACCCGCATGCGAAACCCTAATTCACTGCAAATGCAATGCATGCAATGCAATAATACTCTAGTAAAAACCCTAGTACAGAACCCAAAAACAAAACCCTAATAGAAAACCCGTACACCTAACCCCAATTCCAAACCCTAATGCAGAGCCACTAGAAAAGCCCAGTACAATACCGCAACGCAGAGCCCCACTAGAAAACCCGAATACGAACCCCTAATAGGAAGCCATAGTTTAAAATCCTAATTCAGAACCCGTTCAGACACAGATAGAATGCAATTCAGCGAGGTTAGACACACATACAGAGACATCTTGCTCTTTATCAACGAAGTACAGCTTAGGGTTTAGGGTCTACACAAGTTTGTATGCTGAGGATTTTGAGAAGTTTTGTCGGCTTTAAGGACTCCCAAGGTTATGCCTTAAGATGGGGCTTCAGTGGTTCAAGGGTTCGTAAGGGTTTTGGGAGTTGGACTGTACATCTTGGGGTTATAACTGCTGTAATTGATATTACGGTTTAAAACGCCGGGAATCGAACCTGAACGTGGGGTCTTCGCGCTGGAATCTGTTGAGTGCCTTCGCGAACTTGTTTTGGTGGTCTTTCTTCTCAACTCGCACAGCTAAGGAGACGACAGGATCTGCTACATGCATTGAGTTAAGGGCTAGTTGGGTTCGTCCGTCTGTTAGAGTTATACCTGAATGACAGACCAACCCCCCTACTGCAACGATGTCTCCTGCTGCCGCTTGCTGCACCTCCCGCGCCTCATCTGCATGCATGCGCAGCAGCCGCTTCACTTGTTGCTTCTTTCCAGTGCTCAAGTCCACAACAGACTCCCCACGGCGTAAAGATCCCTGATATAAACGCAAATACGTTAGCTGCCCGATAGGCAGCTCCTGTAGGCCCAGCAGCAACACAAGCAACACGCAACCAAAGCCTAAACCGTAGACCCTCTACACACACGCGTGTACAATGCAAATATTCACCATGCGAAAACAGCAGTTAACGCCCAGGCTCTTCAAATAAAGGCGAAGTTAGGGTTTACGGGTTAGACAAGTAGGGTTTGGGGGGTTAGGGTGTATAATTAATTCGGGTAGGCATTTAGAGTCCACAATTTGAGCCTCAAATTAAGGTGTATGGTTTACAGTTGCTTCCCCAATAAAGTTTGTTTGTAACGAGAGTTTATCAATAGGGTTTAGGGTTTGCAACTTGGGTTAATATTCAGGGTGGAGAGATCGAGATTTTGAGTTAGAATTGGGGTTAATAGTGTGGATTTAGAAATAAGGTTTACAAGTAGGGTTTAGCATTAGGGTCTAGAGCTAGGGTTTAGGGACATTTACTTGGATCTTAAAAGCCATAGCCACAAAGGGTTTCTTCGGATCGCAAGACAGCTCAACCTCTGCCTCTCCTCTGTCCAAGTCTTTCGCCACTTGCACGCGATCCTCTGCAAACCGTAAACTCTAAACTCTTAACCCTAAGCCCTCGGCACGCCGCCTGGGTTCTTCCTTTTCTATCTAGGAGGGTTTGGTGCTGTTCGTGGGCTTGGGGGTTTACGGGAAAGGAGTTAAGTGACTAATAACCATCATCAGGGTTTAAAAAGGTCAGCCAACGGGTTCATTAGGGTTTTGAATTAGGGTTTATTGGGGTTTACGTGGTGCGGGGAGGTAGCGGCAGACAGCATCTAGCAGGGGCTGAACGCCTTTGTTGCCTTTCGCCGATCCCATAAGGAGAGGAACGAAGTTGTGCTGAAGTGTTTGTCTCCTGATGGCCTCATGAATATCTGAGGGCTGGACGTTGTCTCCGAGGTTAATGTACACCTCAGCCAAGGCCTCGTCCTTCTCAGCCAGCGCCTCCACCAACTCGCTGCGGCGCTGCTTCGCCTCCTGCAGCAGATCAGCAGGAATATCTGAACTCCTCTCAACCTTCTGGCCCTTCTCTCCTTTAAAATAAACTGCCTCCAAAGACACCAAGTCAACGACGCCTTGGTGCTTGCCCTCCGTCCCGATCGGAACCTGAACGAAGCACAACCGAAGCCCTAAACCCTAAACCCTAAGGAACACTTCACCCTTAAAACCTACACCCAAACCGTAAACGGTAAAGCCGGCCAGTGAGCAGACAACGCCCGCGTCTACACCATAGGGTCTACGCCTATGGTTTAGAATTAGGGTTTACTTGGATGGGGAAAGCATTGATGCCGAGTTGTTTGCGAATGCCAGCCAGTGCTCTCCACGGATCCGCTCCATCTCGGTCCAGCTTATTCACGAATATCAAACGGGGCACCCCGTACCTGTAGCAAAACCCTAAATCCTAAACCCTAAACCCTATTACCCAAACCCAAAGCCGCCACCAATGCAGCGACGAAGCCCCGCCCCCTACACGGGAGCTGCGTGCTCCTTCCCTGTCGGCGTGCACCCTTGTTTCATCCTTCTCAGGCCACGGCTTAGGGTTTAGGTTTACCTCCGCATTTGCCGGTCCACCGTTAGGGTTTGGCTCTGCACGCCGGCGACCCCACAAACCACCAGCACTGCTCCATCCAAAACCCTCAGCGCTCTCTCCACTTCCACAGTGAAGTCCACATGCCCAGGGGTATCAATTAAATTCACCGTGTAAGAGCCCGCAGAGGGCCCCCCATTGGGCCCCTCGGGCAGCTCCCACGAGCAGTAACTCGCTGCCGACTGAATCGTTATACCTGCACACAAACTCGAAACCCTAAACCCTAAACTGTCGCAGAAGGATCCACCCCGGAAGGAGAGAGAGCAGGCAACAAACGGCCGTCATTTAACAGGGTTTCGGGTTTAGAGTTTAAATGTTAGAGTTTAGGAAAGGGTTTAGGACTAGGGTTGAAGCTAGGTTTTGGGTATGGTGCTTAGGATTCAGGCTAGGGATTAGGATGCACCAATTAGGATTTAGCCTGTGGCGATTAGGGTTTAGGGTTTTATTGCTCGGCAAACCTTTTTCCCTTTCGAGTTCCATGGAGTCCATCTTGGCTCCGACGCCGTCGGAGCCCCTCACCTCGTGGATCTCCGCTATACGACCTACGATACACCGTAAACCCTAAACCCTAAACCCTAAACACTAAACCTTGAGCTCCCACCCGTATTCACCAGTGCAGTGTGGTGGGTCTCTACCCGAGCCCCTGGTTAGCAAACCCGGGAGCCTCGACTCCTTTTTCTCTGTGTCGCTGCTGACCATAAACCCTAAACCCCAAAGCTTTAAACTCTAGACCCTAAATATCTTCGCCTCACCCGTGTAAAAGAGAATGCGCTCAGTGAGGGTTGTTTTGCCGCTGTCAATGTGTGCGCTGATCCCAATGTTTCGTATTCGGCTCCTCCCTGCTTCATCGGGGGGCCCCTGGGGGCCCCCAGAAGCTGACGAGAAGAATCGGGGCCTGAAGAATCCCCGGGACCCCTCCGGAGCAGCAGCAGCAGCTACTGCTGCTGCTCCTGCATTTGCTGCTGCAACTGCTGGCGTTGGGGACGCTCTGTGTGGGGGGCGCCCACGCCCAGAAGCAGCAGCAAGGCGCCCCCTGAAGGCCCCCAAAGGCCCCCCCCCCAGAACCCTAGGGAGCCGGAGGCCCATAGAAGGCCCCCCAGAGGAGCAGATGATCCAGGGGTTCATCCTGAGGGTTTAGGGTTTAGGGCTTAGGACATAGGTTCCAAGGCTTAGGGCTTCCGGTTGAGGGTTTCCCGCAGGCTTCTCCACAAGCCGTCATATAGGGTTTTTAAGACCCTAATGCCCGTCCTTCCTAAACCCTAAACCCTCGAGAGAGAACTGCAAATCCTGTGTCGGGTGTATGCTAACCTCTCGTTGTTTTTTGCCTTCAAATCGCCTTCCAGGGTCAAGTAAAAAAAGAACATAACCGAAGTACACTCAACAACTCGCGCTGCTGCTGCGCTGCCTGAGATGCCCCAGTGTGGGGCCCCCGAAGCCGACGACCCCGGGGGCCCCCCAGCGGGGGGCCCCCAGCGGGGGCCCCCAGGGGCCCAAACATTGTAGAGATTTTCATCAAGCGTTTTGCCTCCTGTTGAGTTCTAAGTATACTTCCACCAGTTCTCATTTGAGGAGGAGCATTAGCCATTATGGCCTGATAGGATTTAGCCCTAGGGTTTTGGATGAAGTGTTTGGGGTTCAGGGTTTACGGTTTAATGCTTAGGGTCTCTCCACGCCTTCCGCTGCAGCTTTTCGGGGAAGCACGTCTCTGCCTTGAGGGGGGCCCCCGGGGCCCCTGGGCTCTCTGTTGAACGCAGTTGTGGGGTTCGGCCGAGGGGTCGCAGCGGACATTTGGGGCCCCTATGCTGCTACCTGCTGCGTTGCATAGGCTTCAGAGTGCAGGTCTTCTCAAAGTTTGGGGTCCCCTGCGCTGAGACTGATCTGTTGCCCGGGGGCCCCTGTTTGCGTGGTTGTCGGCTTACGCGGCTGCTGCGCCTCCTGCTGTTCCTGCGTCGCACGCGGTGCTTCAGTGCTGCCTTGAAAAGGCATCGTCGCTGCTTCTGCTGCTGCTGCTGCTCCTGCTACTGCAGTAAGGATGGCGGATGTGTACCGACACGCTGCAGCGGTGCTGCAGCAGATGGATTCAAAGGAAATTGGGCTACGGGCGGCCCTCTATGGAGTCGCCAGGCCCCCCCCAAAAGCACTTGCGAGGGTAGGATCCCCCTGTTGCTGCTCATGGTGCTTCTGCTGCGCCTGGTGCCTATGCTGATCCTGCTAATGCTGCTACTGCTGCTCATGCTGCTGCTGCTCATGCTGCTGCTGCTCATGCTGCTGCTGCTCATGCTGTTCATGCCCATGCTACTGACGCTGCTGCTCCTGCTGTTCATTATGTTGTTGCTGCTCCTGTTGCTGCGGTTGTTCCTGCGGTTGCTAGTGACGCTGCTTCTGCTGCTGGTAATGGCGTCGTGGGGAAGACGACTGAGTTGTTGCTGATTCTGCTTCTGTTACTTTTGCTGCTGCTGCTCAGGTGTATGCGCTGCTGTCGAAGACGCTGGCAGTGCGTCCGCTGCTGCAGCAGCTGCTGCATGAAGTGGGCCTGGCGAGTTTTTCTTCTGTAGCAGAAGGGGTTCCCACGTCAGAAGCAGCAGCAGGAAAGAAGGAGTATTTGCTGCTGCTGATGCTGCGCGATCTGCTGCTGTCTCCAAAGGGAATAGAAGGAGGGGGGCAGCTGAGGCGGGAGTTGCTGGCTCACGAATCGCAGCTGCGGCATCTGTTCAATGCAGCAGCAGCTGAAGCTTCTGCTGGAGCAGCAGCAGCAGCAACAGCAGCAGCAATCCCCAGGTACCTCCGGGTGAACAGACGCCTGTGGGACGCAGCAGCAGCAGCAGAGTTCCTCAGGGGTAATTCCTCCTGCATATCTTGGGCCCTTTTAGATCCCCTGCTGCCTTGCGTCGTTGCAGTTCCTGCTACTGCAGCACGCCTGCTGCAGCAGCAACCGCAGCAGCAACAAACGCAGCAGCAGCAGCAAAAACAGCGCCGGAAGCAAAATCAGCAGCAGCAGCGGCCGGAAGAGGCGGAAGCTGCGGGAAAGGATAGTAAGGAGGGGCAGCAGCAACTGGTGCCTCAGGAGCAGCTCATGAAGCAGCAGCACCAGCAAGAGCACCAGCAGGGGCTGCTGCTGCACGAGCTTGTGCCGAGAGGGTTTGTGTCTCTTCAAGACAGGGCCAGCTGTACTGCTGCTGCTGCTGCTGCAGTAGCAGAAGGGGACATCGTACTTGAGGCATGTGCTGCACCAGGCAGCAAAACACTCCATATAATTGGTACAGCTTCTGCTGCTGCTACTGCGTTTGCTGCTCTGCTTTTTTTTTGCTGCTGCAGTGATGTGTCTGCGTGGGGCTGTATTTCTGTTGGTGCTTTTTGCGGTGTGCATACACCTTATCAATGGTGCAATCCGCCTGCTGCTTACCTTTGCAGTGTCTGCGCACCTCGCGTTGCGTTGCCGGCTGTGAGGTTACACTTTTGTATATGTCTCGAGAGCTGTTCAGAAACAGCGGCTGCTGCAGCATTCGTTAATGCTACGGGTGTTTCCGTTGCTCTCATTGCAGCAGAAGCAGCAGCAGCAGCAGCAGCCGCTGGTGGTGGTGCTGCTGCTATGCTCCTGCTGGTACCACGGTGAAGGCTGGGGCAGCGTTGGCCGTGGTTGTCTCTCTTGTGTTATTGTTGCTGCTGTTGCTGCTTCAGCTGCACCGTTTAGTTGCTGCCATGTTTTCCTGGCGATTGGTGTACGTATGGCTGTTAGCCCGGCCCCAGGCATTTATGCTGCTGAAGTTGGTGCTGCTGATGCTGCTTTTGCAGATATGCTAGGCACAAGGGGTCATTTAATCGTTCTTGAGAGAGACACGAAGCGGCTTGCTGCAATGCTGCGAAGGCTGCAGCAGGAGGCTGCGTTGCGGGGGCCTTATCTGTCTCCCTGCTGCACCCAGAAGCACGCAGCCAGCAGGAGCAGCAGCAGCAACCGCAGCAACGGCAGCGACATGGAGGAGTTCCGGAGGCTCGCGGAGTTGGCAAAGAAGCAGCCTCTTTATTTCGCTCGGTTTGATGAGCCGCCCCGATCTGCCGCAGCAGCACCCCCTGCAGGAGCAGCAGCAGCAGCACCCGCTGCAGCAAGCTATCCGCAGCTAGCTGCATCTGTGCCGCTGCTGCTGATAGAGGTCCGGAGAGCAGATTTTGTTGCTGTAAGGGGGACTGTCCCACCTTTTTGCTGGGCACAGAAAATTTTATTGGACCCTTCCTGTTCAGGCAGCGGCCTTCCGACGCATGCAGCAGCAGCAACAGCAGCAGCAGCAGCAACAGCAGCGGCAGCAGCAGTAACAGCTGCAACAGAAGCAACAGACGCCGCTGCGACAGCAACAACAGAGGAGGCCAGCGAAGCGAACGGCTTCGCACCGTCACCAGCAGCGGCAGTTGCTGCTTCAGCACCAACTAAATGTGCTCCCACTGCTGCTGCTGCTGCGGACGAGCCCCCGGACCTGCTGCACTGGAGCTGGGAAGGGTGGAAGACTTGGGGTGGCCTTTGTAACCCTTCAGGGAGTGGTATAGATAAGGCAGCTCCAGGGGCCCCCCATGAGGGGGCCCCCTCATGTGCGGCCTCCCTTCCTTCTGTTGTGCCACCGGCACAAGAAGAGGACAGGGTTTCGCGTCTCGTTGCAGTGCAGCAAAAACTGCTGCTACATGCGCTTTCTGCCTTCCCTGCTGTGGGCCTCGTCTGCTACTCAACGTGCTCGCTGTACGTGCACGAGAATGAAGGCGTATTGCTCAATGTGGGGCTGCAGCGGCAGCAGCAGAAAGATATCGTTCACGATTGGCAGGTGTGCCGTCCCCACCTTCATTCAGGGTGGTTCCCGCCGTCTGCAGCAGTTGCACAAATGCAGCAGCAATTGACCAGCAGCAGCAGCAGCAGCGGATGCAGAGACAGCAGCAGCAGTAGGCTGAAAGATGCTCTAGAAACGTTTGGTTCTCTCTGTGTTCGGGCATCCCCACACACACACAGGTGCAGGGGCTTCTTCCTGGCGACCATCTGCAGGGCCGTACCCCCAGCAGCAGCAATCGCAGCAGCGACAACAACAGCTGCAGGAGAAGCAGCAGCATCACAGGCGGCGGAAGAAGCAGGCACAGCAGGAAAGAAGACAGCCATTGCAGCAGGAAAGGAAAGGGCTGGAAAGAGAAAGAGGAAGAGGAAACAAACGACAGACAACCCCCCTCAATGCGCCGTCCCCTCACTGCCCGGCAGCAAGCCCCAAAAGAGGCACAAAATCCGTAGCTGCAGCAAAGCGGGCATCAGCGTTTAAGGTTTTTCTGTGGGTGTGCGGGTTTAGGGTTTAGGATTTAGCTGCTTATTGCCCGACCCTCCCGATGGAGGGGAATGCGGCGTTTCGCTCCAAGGAAAATTCCAAACCTCCTTAAACATATCCGTTTTTTCAATATCATCCTTGTGCATTTCCTCACCTCGTATTGCTGGTTTTTGCGTTGCCTTGCTCCTCACGAATATTTTCGTGTGTTCTCCTTTGGATGATCAATGCTTCTGCGCGTTTTCCTCTTCCCAATATTTTTGTGAATGAATGTTTTTGCGTTTATCCCCATTGATGTTGTTGAACGTTTTTTGTTCAGATATTCTTGTGAATGTCGTCCCTCCTCTTAATATCTCTATGCATTTCCTCCCGTTCTATTGATATACACACGCCTATATATACTTGCGGCACCTATCGCCGTTTTAATATTTATTTTCCTCTACCCCCTGCGTTCCGTGCACTCCGTTTCGTTTTTCTCTTCGCAGAAAAAAACGTTGATAAAAGGCGCAAATGCCCACAAACACTAATAAATTTCACTTGCCTCCATTAAAACTTGTGATTCTTTCCTCTCCTATTGATACGTTGCGTGTCATTCTAATCCGTGTATTTTATTTCGTGTCGTTTCAGTGTTTTTGCGTGTTTTCCGTTTTCTTATGGATCATTTGCGTATTTCTTCCATGCTATTAAAATTCCCTGTACTTTCCCTTCTATTACTAATATGTTTTGTTGTTTTCAATGCGAAGGAAGAACGTGTCTACTGATAACTCTGTTGCCTGGTCTGCCCAGCGGCCGCTCGCGCCGCCGCGTTTGCTGGGCTCGCAACTCCTACTCCCCTTAATTTCTCCTCCAAATAAACCAATTAAATACAATTAATTAAATACAAAAAAACGTACTTAAAGCCTTATTTCCACGTAAAGGACCTCCAGGGAGCTCGCGGGTTTCGCCGTTGCTGCCCGCCAGAACCCAACCTGCTAAGGGGGCCCCTGGGGGCCCCCCACCGCTTCGTCTCTCTGTTTTCATTGCTTCCCTTATCCAATGGATGGGCATTCTCTAGAAGGGGGGTCGTCCTGGGGGCCCCCTGAGGGTACCTTCTCTCATCCGCCGACTGGAGAGACACCTGAGTCAGCTACTAGTCTGGAGAGAGAGGCTCCCTTTCAAGGGGGTCCCCTAGGGGTTGCCAGGACCCCCGCGGGACCCTCCCCGGCAACGCGTAAGGTGTGTGTGTTGGTGTCTTCTGAAGTTCATTTTTGTAGCACGAGTCAAAAGGGGGAAAAGGAGTTCGTTGCTGAGGCTGGCGTGTCGCTGTCTTCCCTTTTAGATATGCACAGGGCCTGCAGGAGCTGCGGATACACCCTAGAGTTTGTGACGCCTTCAGGGGCCCCCCCGCCCGTGGGTTCCTTTGGGTCGCTTGAAGAGGTGGGATTGCTGCTAGAGAAGCAGCGGGAGGCGGACGCGGAGCTGCTGCTGCAGCAGCTACAGCACCCACAGCAGCTGCGCAAGGCATCAGCAGTAGACTATTGCTGCTTGCTGTTGCCCCACCATCTGGGAGCAGCAATAGACCTCTACAGCAGCGCCAACACGGGGGCCCTCATCAAGGAATTCGGGGCCCTCAAGAAGCCCGTCGGGGTGCTGGGCTACGGCGCGTTCGCCCTCTGTGCGAAACCTCTCTCAGGTAAAGATAAGGGTTGGGTGATTAGGGTTTAGATTATAGGGTGTAGGGCTTGGGGTGTAGGGTTTGGAGAGTGGTTTGGAGACTAGTGTGTAGGGGTTGGGGTCCGCGGTGTAGAGTTTGCTGTTTAGGATCAAGGGTGTAGGGGTAGGGTGTAGTGTCTTTAGGGTTTAGGGTTTACGAATGGTTGTTCAGGGTTTCGGGCTGAGGAGGAGGGCTGCTGCCGCCCAACAGCTTGCCTCCTGCATCAGGCCTAAACCCTATACCGTATGCCCTAAGCCCCAACTCTGAAGTGGTAGGGCTTTTGTCTGCAGGCTCTGAGGCCCTCCCGTTGGCCGGCCGCCTCATATCCACAGTCCCTCTCGCTGAGGAGGCGCGGTGAGCTGTCGTGGCTGCTGGCTCTGCTGCTGTTGCTGCTGTTGCTGTTGCCGTTGCTGTTGCTGTTGCTGCTGCTGCTGTTGTGGAAGTAGCTAGCAACGCAGCGCCGTTGGGGGCTTTTCGTGCATGCAGTTGCCACACCTGCATGCTGCGCATTGGCAGCCAACTTGCCAATGGCCTCTCCTCCCCCCGTTCTTTAAACGGCCCCAAATGCATGCATGCATGTGGCTGGTGTCTCGTTATCCCCGATGGGTATATATGCCAGCAGGTGGACGCCGCGTTGCGTTTGCATGCGAGCTCTTCAGTTTGCTGGTGTGGTGCGGCCTTAAAAGCGCAGTGCATACAGCTGAGCGCTTCCAGATGTACGAGCAGCTCCCAGCAGCAGCACAGGTATATCAATATGCTGTTTGAGGCGTGTTTGCGTCATTGTGTATGCATTCCGTGGGGCGTACAGGCACCCGTACTTCGGGCTGCTGCCGCTACACCTCGAGCTGCACTTTGCTGCTGAAGGGGCTCAAACGGCAGCAGGCCTCCCGGGTACGGAGGGCCTTGTCATCGACGGCCAGCTCGTCTCTGCAAGCAGCGAAACATCCACTGAACTCCTCCTCAGGGTGCTCATCCTGCTAGCTTCCATGCAGCAACAGCAGCAGCAGCAGCAACAGCAGCAGCAAATGCGGCAACAGCAGTAGGTCCAGCCGCAGCGGTTGATGCTGCAGCAGTAGATGCCACAGGGGTAGCAGGTGCAGCAGCAGCAGGAGGAACAGTAGCAGGTGTAGATGCAGCAGAAGCGGCAATAGCTGCACAGCTGCAGAAGGCAGCTGTGCAGCTCTTTGCCTTTTTCTCTTTCAAGGCTTTTCTGCTGCTGCATGCACCTGCGCGGTGCTGCTGCTGCTGCTGGGGTTTAGGGTTCGCAGCGTACAAACCCTAGACCCTCAGAGCTTAACCTGGTGAAGAGTTTAGAAAAGATGCAACTTGACCCTAAAACGACCTCAGGAGTTCAGCGGCCGTTCTCAGCCTTGCAGTTCTGGGTCTAGGGTTTAGGGTTTAGACGCCTCCTGACCTCTTTATCTCTTTTTGCCGCTTTCCCCACCTTTTTCTATTCGTCTTTAACTTCCTACTGAGTGTACATCATTGACTCTGTCTCCACTGATCGCCTATGTTTGCTTGTTGGTTTGTGTGCTTGTCTTCATCTGCCTGTCTCTGTCCCCGTCTGTCTGCCCCCTTTTGTGTCCTCGTCTGTCTGTCTCCGCATTTATCCCTGTCTATCTCTGCGCGCCTCTTCTCTGTCTCTCCAAATCTCGTGAAAACACTTGGCGGTGCACAGCGGCAGCAGCGGCAGCAGCAGCAGCTACCGCTGCTGCTGCTGCTGGGAAGCGGTGGAGAGTTCAACTCGTGCAAGCAGGCCAGCAGCTGCTGCAGCGAACGCCACAGGAGCAGCAAAAAAATACTAGCGGCGGGTTTAACAGTACAGTTGTTCGTTGCAAACTGCTGCCTGTGGTGCTGTTGCTGCTGCTGCTGCTGGATCGAGGGGTGCTGGTGTGGCACGGTGCTGCAAGAACTATAAATGCTGCTACCAATGCAGACTGTGCTTCTCTCTTGCTGCACAAGAGGCAGCCTTTGCCCCACAGTGCATCAAGTGGTAGCACTTCTGTTGCTGGGGGTGGCTGGCGCTTCATCATTTGTCAGTGAATGCAGCAGTTCTTCTTGCTGCTGCGGGGGACGGTGCAGCAACTGCTGCAGCTGCTGCAACAGCCGCAGCTGCTGCTGCTGCTGCATCTGTTGCAGCAGCAGCTTTCCCTTTCGGTCGTTTCGCATGCACTCTTATTTAGACATTGAGCCCCCAAATTAGCTTCTGGAGCCTGTCTCGAATGCATTGGTCAGGGTAGAAGACCCTCCCTTCTTGCCGCGCGTCTGGGAGGCCGTCTCCTACCTCCTCTGCTGCAGCAATTAAAGCTGCTGCTGCAGCTCGCTGCGCCACAACAGCAGCACCTTCTTTGGCAGCTCGCACACGGGCACTTCCGCCCCGGTGCAACGCAGCAGCAGCAGCGCGAGCTGCTGCGCGCGCTGCTGTTGCTGGCTCCTGACTCTGCTGCTGGCTGCTGCTTGTGCTGCTCCCTCGCTGGGCCTCCCAACTCACAGTGCCAGATGCATTATAACTAATGCCGACGGCTACGCCAGCAGCAGGAGAAGCAGCAGCAGACGAAGCAGCAGAAGCTGCAGCAGTTGGAGAGGCAGCAGCAGCGGAGCGCTGCAAGCAGCCTGGCTGCAGTAGCGAGGGACGGCGAGAAGCGCGGGGGGGCTGCACCAGCCCAAGGGCATCTGAAGCTGTTTCTCTTAGCCCGATCGTCTCTCTCGTGTTCGATGCCCAGATGCTGCTACTACTGCCGCTGCAACTGCCGCTGAAGTTCTCGGGACGCCTCATGCTAAAGACTCTGTGGAGCTGAGGAGACACATCTACAGCAGCAGAACTGGTAAGGGCCCGCCACAGCTGCTGCTGCGGCTGCTGCTGCTGCCCGTGTCGGAGCTCAATGCAAGGCCAGCTGGGGTGAAGACACGGTACAGATATCCATACGTCTGTTGCTGCTGCAGTTGGAGTAGCAGGCTTCCCCTCGGTGCGTCCTCCTGCTGCTGCTGATGGTGTTGCGCCTCTCGCGGATGAAGCAGCTGCAGCTAATCCGTAACCCACCTCTGCTGTAGCTCTCTGGTCTTGAGACAGAATGTGTTGACTGCGGGACGGCTGCAGCTGCAGCTGCTGCTGCAGTGTTGTTACTTGCTGCCGCTTGCTGCGCCAACCGGAGCGCGCAGTGTCGGTACACCTGCAGAGCGCAGTTCCTGGTGTTGCCGCTGCTGCCCTGCTGCTGTCCCCTTGTGGGCTGAGCTCGTCGCCCCTCATAAATCTTCCAGTGCCTAGAGAGACAGCATCAACAGGGCTTTGCCCTGCAGCAGCAGCAGCAGCAGCACGAGTAGAAAAGAGGGGGAGGCGGTAAGACGCATGCGTTGTTTGCTTGGATGCTGAGCGGACCAGGTGTATGCGCGGCGCGGCTCCTGTGTCGCCCCACAGTCTGCTACCGCTGCCACTGCTGCTGCTGCTGCTGCGCTTCTGCCACGCCGACGGCAGCAGGCGGCTCTGAACCTCCCCCGCCTCTCGAGGAACCTTGCTGAGGAGACTTTCTTTGATGGTGTTTTTCCTTAGCCACTGTGGGAGGTTATTACTGCTGCTGATGCTGGCACTGTTGCTGCTGATAAGGAACCCCAGGTATTGCAGCGGAGTCCAGGGCTGCCCATCACGTGGAGACACAGTAGCAGCAGTTCCTGCGGCTGCTGTTGGTGAGGTAAATGAAGTACTAGGGGCTTTTTGTTGGCTCCTGGGGCTCTTGCGGAGGGTCACAAGCCTCGTATTCAAGCGCTTAAGCATCATCTTCTTGCTTTGTTGCCGCTGATGCTGCTGCTGCTCCGCGAATGCGGTGGTCTCACGCACAGTTTGCAACCCTGCAAAAGCACGCACAGCCACAGCGAAGCAACAGCAGCCGCAGCTGCATGGGATATGTCCTAGGAGACATCACAGGGAAACAGCAAGGGAAAACAGCATGCACAGCAGCAGCAGCAGCGGCCCACAAAGCATCAGGAAAGCGATACCGGGGTGGTTAACAGCGCGTAGAGCCCCGCGGTCTTGACCTGGGTCATTCGGAAGTTGCGCAAGTGTCCATACATCTCGTCTGCTGTTGCTGCTACTGCTGCTGATGAGACGCAGCTGTTGCTGCAGAGAACCACCGCTTTCGCTCCTTATCCTCCATTTCCAAGTGCTAACACTGTCTGCCTGGACCCCAGGTCTGCTGGCGCTGCTGTTGCTGCTGTTACTGATGCTACTCTGTTTCGAGTTCCGTGGAGTTACGGGCAGTGCAATTGCAGAAGCGACAGCAACAGCAGCAGGGGCAGTAGCAGCAAGTGTCGTTGATGCTCCTGCTGCTGCTGCTGCCCGTGGGGAGCACCTTCGGATGAAGCTGCGCAGCACAGTGGGGACCTTTTTGAGCGGTTTGCTGGACGGCGCGGGCGTCTCCGCAGCCTTCTGTTGAAGCCCTGTACCTTCTGCAAGGCGGATAGTCTCCCGGATGGTGCAGCTGCTGCTGCTGCCTCTGCTGCTGCTGCTGTGGCGACGGCGGCGACGGCTCTGTCTTCCACGAAGGGATGGGAGGCTTGCTAGAAGCTCTCTGTAGGTGAGCGAGGGCTCCAGGTCGGACCATGCTGTGACAGCAGCAGCGTCTGCTGCAGAGTTTGCTGCCTCTTCCTCTCTCATGCAGAAGCCTGCCGAACGGCAGCGCCGCAGTTGAGTGCTTGGCCCCTGCTTCCACCCGTGCTGCTGCTGCTGCTGCTGTTGCAGTTGCTGGTGTTGCTCTGGCTCTTGCGGCCTACTGCCGTCTCTATCGGGTTGGAGACGCTGGCGGAGTTGGCGGAGCCTTCTGATGGTATTGAGGAGGCCTTCTCTAATCTTATGGAAGAAGCTGCTATGGCGTGCTGCCGGCGCCGCCGTTGCTCTGCTTTTGGTGCTACTGCTGCTGCTGGAAGCTGCATGGGGGGAATCTGCAGCGGCGCTGCGCAGCTGCGTTCTGACCTTCTTGCTGCGTTCTTGTTTGCTCTCTTGGGGCACTTCTGTGCCGCTGCATGTCTCTGCTGCTGCAAATCCACGGAGTTTGTCTTGCTGCTGCTGCTGCTGCGGGTGTTTATGCTGCTGTTCTGCAGGAAGTTGCTGCCGTTCTGTCTTCAGAACAGCGGGCAGAGACTCGTTTTCTGCCGCCTTCATCTCAGGCGCTGCTGCGCCGGTTGCTGCTGCTTCTGGAGCTGCCTCACCTGATTGGGTTTCTGGTTGAACTAATGCTCTCGATGCAGTGTACGCGCAACAGCCGCAGCAGTTTGCTGCTTCCAGACGCAGCAAGTAAGGCAGTACGGTCGTTGAAAAGACGCACCTGCTGCACTTCTCCTCCGTACTGAATAGCAGCAGCAGCAGCAGCAGCAGAAGCAGCACCAGAGAGGGGCTGGAATCCGTTAGCAGCCTGTACAAAACGTTGTGCCTGAGTAGAGTTTTAGAGCCTCGTGCAGTGGTCACTGTGAGCCAGCTAGCCGCTAGCCGGCTAGCTAAGCAATCGGTGGCACTCGCTACTGCTGCAGCTGCTCTTATCTCTGCTGCGGCCCCCTGAAACTGCATGGCTGCGGAAACGCCGGGGTTAGCAGCGATATGCTGCCGCTGGCTGTCCATGGCTATCTGACACATGTGGGGCATCCCACGTGGCTAGCTGGGATGCTTGGCTAGCTGGATGTAGCTAGCTAGGTTTCCTAGCTGCCTCTGGAATTCAAGCAGAATACAGGCAACTCACCGCAACACAAGATAGTGCAGTACCGACCACAGAGCAGAAAATGCTGCTCCGCTGCGTAGAAGCAGCAGCACGAGAGAGACAGCAGGAGGTCCCTGTACAACTTCACTTTCTATGAGGATCAGACAAACCACGACGACGCAGCAGTAGCCAGCAGAGTACACAGCAAAGAGAAGTCCGGCGTGGCGCTGCTGCTGCTGCTGCTGCAGAGCTGCTGCTGCAAGCTGCAGCAGCAAAGGGCCATAAACCACCAAGTCCTCGACTGCCTGCTCGTGGAGCGACAAGAGCTGCAGCTGAAAGGGTACGTCCAACAGGGAGAGGCAGAGCCTGAAGCAGCAGCAAGTGGAAAAACGGCTCTTCCTAACCCCTGAGTAGCGGCTGCTGGAGCAGCAGCAGCAGCAACGGCGGTGTACTGTTGCAGTAGCAGCAGCAACGGCTGTGTCAGTCGCCACGTGCACTGCAGCAATTCGTAACGCACCTCAGGTGGAATAAATACGACAAAAAGCGCCGCATAGGTGCACTGGCCTGTCCGCCGCTGCTGCTGCCGGTGATGCTGCTTCTGCTGTTCTTTTTGTTGCTCTTGCTGCTTTTGCTGCGGCTGCTGCTGCAAGGAAGAAGCAGGAACAGAGCGGCCTCTGCACTCATCTGCAATATCAATCTGAAAGCACCGTAGAATTTAAAGCCACTGGAAACATACTGCTGCTGCTGCAGCTGGTTGCGAGCAAGCACCCCATCCAGAGCCCACCAAATGGCAGCAGCAGGCAGCAGCAAACTGAACAGCCCCCACAGCAGCAGCGCCGGCCTACTGCAACTGCTTAAGCGTTTGCGCTCCATCCAGCCCACTCGCCAAGCACAGTACTGCCTGCATCACAAAGCCAGAGACGTTCTAAGCAACAGAAACAGTAAAACCCAGGAGTTTGAGTGCAGCAGCAGCTTTGTCCTCCCCCCAGAGCATCTGGTACTGAACTGCTGGGCTTTCCAGCTACACATAGCAGGAACAACGAAACAAGGACAGCAGCAACAGCAGCAGCAGGGACTGCTGGTTTGATCTGCTCACTTCTCAATTGCAGCATCCGCAAAGCCCAGGGTCAGGCGCTGCAGCGGCATGGGCGGGGGAGTGCTGCGGCGCGTTACCTGTACCAGCAGGCCAGCAGCAGCAGCAACTGCCGCTGTGTGCTGAAGCCTCAAAAGGAGAGCAGCAGCTGTTGCTCTGCAGCAGATAGCCAGCTGCAGCAGTCGCCTTTGGCTGCTGTATCCCCTTACTGAGTCTCTCTTGTGGGCACAATGCTTCTCTGATGCTGCTGCTGCTGCTTCGTTGGCCCCTACTGCAGCTGCTGCCGCTGCAGCATCTGCTCCTCTTGTCTGGGCAGCCTCATCAAAAGACGAGCTGGTGGTGTTTAGCTGCCCTTTCACTTGAGTGGCTGACTCGCTCTGCCTTCCTGTTAGTGTTGCTACTGCTGTTGGTGTTGGGACTGTTACTGCTGTTTCTGCTGCAGGTGTCGCCATAGTAGTTGCTGCTCCGGAAACAAGAGTTGCCGGAGTGCGGGATCCAATCCAAATGGCTGCCTGTTGGCTGCTGGGTGAGTTGCAACTGCTGCTGTCGCTGCTGCTGCAGCAGCTACCGCGGTTTATTCCGCTGCTCCTCAGGGCTCGTTGTGTGGAGCGTGGGTATACCCTTTGCTGCTGCAGCGGCTCCCACGGATGCGGGAGCCCCTCGAAAGGTTTGGCGGCTTGCTGCTGTTGCATCTGCGATGCAACAGGAGCAGCAGTGGCTGCTGCAGACGCGAAGGGGCCCGTCTGCAACCCTTGCTGCTCCCTCCTAAGGATTTCCTTTGTCAGGACGAAGGCAACAGCTTCCTGCTGCCTCTCTTCTTTCGTCGGGGTCCTCACCTGCCTCTTTCCGTACATACACCGCAGGGGCCCCTGCCAAATATTCCCGTAGAAGCGTTGCCTATCCCCTGCTCCCTGCTGCCAATGCTGTAGCAGCTGCAGCTTCTGCAGCTGCTGCTGCGGTTGAACGAAGGCTACACGCGAGTCCACACGAACAGTTTTCAAGCTGCCTTTCTTTGGCGTTGCTCGCCAACCTCTTGTGGCCTCTGCTGCCGCTGGTCTCGCAGAAGCAACTGCCGATGCCGCTGCGTCTGATGCCGCATTGCAGATTATTTGCTGCAGCAGATGCTGAGGCAAAGCAGACCCTCCTGTGGTTTGCTGCTTCCGCCACTGCTGCAGACGCCTGCAACAACCTCGCCAACAAGAAAGCAGAAACATCGCTGCAGTCGTAACGGCTGCAGCAGCCTAGAGCAGCAGCAGCAGCAGCATCGCAACAGCCGCAGAAGCAGAAACAGCAACAGTATGATGGAAGCACAGACGTACACACGCACGTACTCACACGCATGTACACACACACACACACACACACACACACACACACACACACACACACACACACACACACACACACACACACAAACTTGTGCAACCGTTTGGCGCACGGAGTAGATGACTGACAGGAAGGGCAAAGAGAGCGGGAGAGCAAGCACAAGACCTCAGATGCAGCGACGCCTTACGCTGCAGCCTCCAGGGAGCCGATAGCCCTCACTGCCGAAAGGCCCGCAGACACATCATCTCGTCTCGTACGCGGTTGCATCTCCCCCTCTTGCTGCAGCAAGTGCAGCTGCTCCTGTTCCTCCTGCCGCTGCAGCCGATCGAGCTGCTGAAGCTGCTGCTGCTGCCGCCGCAGTGCATTAGGCGCCATATGGCTGCGATCCACCTGCTGTTGTCGCCGTTTGTAGTCCTCGCCTGCAGGCGCAGTTAAAGCCGAATCCTTAGCAGCCGCAGCGGTGCCGGTGGCTGCTGCAGCAACTGCAGGAACTGCAGCAGCAGAAATAGCAGGTTCAGACGGGGCTTCGTGTTGGGTGGCCATCGATGCACTGTAGGAAAGGCGCCAGCAGCAGTCCCAGCAAACGTCGAGAGACTCTACAAAAAGACTGTCTATCTGATCCTCAGCAAGCCGCTGCCGCAGCCACTGCAGCCTCTGCTGCTGCAGGCGCAGCTCTGTAGTCCAGCTGCTGTTGCTTGGGGGAGCTGCCGGGGCAGCAGCAGCAGCAGCAGCAGCGGCGCCGCCAGAAACAGGATTAGCCGTCTCTCCCGGAGAAGCACACGCTGAGGGAGGAGAAACGGAAGAAACTAGCAAATCACCTGTTGCGAGGCCAGCAGCGCTCGAGCTGGACATGTAAGTGCTACTACAGCAGCTACCTCTCCTGCTGCTGCTGCCTAGCCCCAGTGCACCAGTAGAGAGGTGAGGAGCCGCCAGGGTTGCCCCTCCTGCTACTGCTGCATGCAAGGACGCTGAGATCTGGCTGTTGCTGCGGCACAGGCTGCTGCAGCTGCTGCTGGCTCCTCTTAAATGCTGCGCCGGGAAGGGCCCCTTGTCTCTCGCTGCGGGGGCTTGCTTCCGCTGCATTTGCAGCAATTGCGGCAGGTGCTGCTGCTGCTGCAGAGATCGTTTTCCTGACCACCTCTTCTTCAGCGTCACTGCTCTGGTGCTGCGAAGGACAACCAGCCGCTTCGCTGCTTTCTTAAGGACAGCAGCAGGGCTCCCCGTCTTGGCCACTGCAGCAGCACCTGCTGCCGCAGAAGCAACTGCACACGGGGTTGCTGCTGCGCCTCCAGCTTGATGGGTTGCTGTGCCTGCCGCTACTGAAGACGGAGCTGCACGGCCCCCCGCCGTTGCACGCTCCATCTGGGGACCCCACGTCGGTTTGTAGAGAAGCTCACGACCAGCGCAGTCTGCTAGTTGCACCCCGCTGCTACTCCTGCTGCTGCTCCCTCCTTGAGGGGCGCTCCCGCGACGGGGCTTTGCACTTGCTGCTGCTGCTGGTGCCGCAGAGGTAGCCGCAGAGCCGCTTATGTCTGCAGGAGGCAATTCCAGGCCTCCAAAGCGCCACAGCTGGGCGGTCTCAGCAGCAACGCCAGCTGCTGCTGAAGCTGCGGCTGCTGCAGCAGCAGCCGCTGCTGTGGCTGCTGCGCCCGTTGTTGCAGCTCCTACTGCTAAAGGCCCACCAATCGTTGTTGCGTCTAAAGGGTGAGGGGGAATCCAGGCAATGGAGTGCCGCTGCCTGTGCCGCTGCTGCGGTTGCTGATGCTGCTGCTGCTGCTGCTGCTGCTGACGTACAATGGCAGGTGGAGAGGGACTCAGCCTTGGTAGGGACTGCCGTCGCGGCGTCGGCATGTGCCCCTGGGGGCCCTTACCTGTTTCTCTGCCCTGCCAATTCGTTACCGTTCCTGTTCGTGCTGCTGCTGCTACTGCTTCAGCAGAACTCCGCTGCATCGTAGAGGGCGTCGTGTGTTGCCGCCTGTTGCGAAAACGTGCCTGGGTGCTTCTGGCGTCCTGCAGCGCCGGTGGGTTTTGCTTCGGCTTATGCTGCTGGATGTGATGCCGAAGTTTCTGCTGCTGCTTCTCGTGATCCTGTTGTTGCTGCTGCTCGAGGTGCTGGTGGCGTTCAAGTTGCGGATGAGGTTGGGCATCTTGCTGGTGCTGCAGTTGATGGTGCCGTTGGGGCGGCTGACAACTATGAAGGGGAGACTCGAAGAGTATTGCGGCAGTAGCTCTTGCATGCGGAGCAGCCAGTGCTGCTGTCGCAGCAGCCGCTGCATCTGCTGCTCCTGCTGCCGCAGCTCTAGCACCTCCAACGGGGGCTTTGGCGGAGGTGTATGGAGTGGGGTCTGTAAAGTGTGCCTGTTTCTGCTTATGCAGCTTCTGTAGCTGCTGCTCCTCCTCCTGCTGGTGCTGTGGTTCCTGGTCGAAGACCTGGTGCGGGCGTTTTTGCTGCTGCAGCTGAAGAGCTTGCTGCAGCTGCTGACGCTGCTGAGTCACTGGTGCTGTTCCTGCTTGAATCGAAGAGCAGCTGCGGGGGAGAGAGCTGTCAGCTGCTCCTGCTACGCGTCGCCTCGCCTGCTGTTGGTGTTGCTGCTGCTGCAGCAGCGGAGGTAGAGGAGCCCTGAGGTTCCTAGGGAGCCCATGGGCTGAAGAATACACTGTCCGCTGCTGCTGCCCAAGCTGTTGCTGCCGCTTCTGCTGCTGCCGCCTTACGTCTAACAGCATGCCTGCACTGCCGGAGCTCCGCAGGCCTCTTCTGCCTGAGTCTGCCGCAGCAACATCGTCGCCAGCTGCAGCTTCTGTTGCGCCATATGCTGCTGAAGATGTTTCTACAGCAGCTGTGAGTTTTTCTACCGCCGTTGCAGCAGAGGCGTTACCAGGAGGTGCAAGAGCAGGGTCAAAAGCAGCAGCAGGAGCAGCAGCAGGAGCAGCCGTTGCATGAATGCGCTGTGCCTTAAGGACTCTGAGCTCGTACGCCTCTAGGCCTGGAAGCACTGCAAATGCGGACTGATACGGCACCAGCTCAGCCACAAGCAATGCCACAGCCTCTTGCCATATTCGCGTGCAAAGGCACCACCCCAGAAAGTTTGCTGCTGCTGCATGCAAGGTACTAAGGACTTGATCATCAGCTCCGGCGCCCCACCGCGCCGCCTGCGCAGCGCATGTGGCCGCTGCTGCTGCTGCGAGCAGCAGCAGCAGCGAAGGCGAAAGGCCGGCGAAGCAGTAGAGCCCAACGGTGGCAGACAAATACGGGGCGCCGTAGAGCTTTGCGGGAGTGAGACCCAGTGACGGAGGACCGACTGTAAGAGCAGCAGCAAGAGCTGGCAGGAGCAGCCCCAGGAGAAGCCACAAGTCCGTTGCAGGGATTGAGTCGCTGGCGGCATATGGGCCTGCAAGGGCCAGCAGCAAGCTGAAACACAAAGCGCTCCCTATGGCCACAACGGCAGGCCCCCAGACAGGGTGCGGAGCGATTGAGGGGGAAGTTTCCGCTTGCTGCAGCACAGCAGCAAAGAGAAATCCACCATACACCGTCGAGACAAAGGCCGGCAGCAACAGAGCCACGGAGGCGTCTCCTGCAGGAACATGCAGCAGTTGCGCCCTCATCTGTGCTGCTAGCCAGTTGGTTGGCTAGCTGGCTAGCCCATGAGCTAGCCAGTGAGGGACAGAGCCGCCTGCTCGTACAAGGGAATACCCGTCAGCTGGGCTGAAGGCAGCTGACAGCCAGCAGGGGGTTAAGGGGGGGAGAAGGTAGGATGTTGCATGAGCAGCACGATGAAATAAACACAAAAACAAAAACTGTAAGGGGAAGAATGGGTCAGTTTGCTGCAGAGGTCGAAACAAAGAGGGAGACACCCTGTAGGCGGGCGCGCGCGATTTCACCGAGCAGCCGCAGAAATGTCTCGGTGGGTTTCCTCAAGGGCGTGAGAAGTAGAAGTGGCTAAACGATTACATGGAGAAAAAAAGAAAAGGGGCGGCCTATGCACAAAAACTTAAAATGTAAGCACAAAGCGCAGCCGGTCCGCTGACGAAGGCAGCCGTGCACCCCCGGGCAGCGACACACCGGGAGAAACCCTGTGTCCCACCTTTTCAGGAAATCCTGCAGGGAGGCAGCGTATATATTGATATTTTCAATTATTCTGATGAAGATGGAGGGACTAACAGGCTTTGTTTCAGCTCAACAAGAATGGCGCGCGTAAACCTGAAACCGGGGGGCCCCCACTAGGGTATCGAGCGACGCCCCCATAAGGGCCCGCAACGCAAAGCCTTTTTTCTTCTGCCTTTCCGCACCATTTCTAGATTAACTGTTGCAATTCAAAGGAAAATCCGTCAGATTTGGGGGTGATTTCCGAATACGTTTGCCCGGGGGAAGCGCGGTTCTGTGTCACAACACACCGTGCACGCTCGTCACCACGGCAAGTCGAGGGTGTTTCACTGTCTCCACAAGGGAGACGGGATTTTCGAGAAGCATTTCCACGTGTAGATTGTGGGGCTTAGCAACCCGAAGCTCGACTATTTGCAGCCACAGAGCACCACAGCGATGCATCGCATTGGAAGCCGTGGAAGAGCTTGAAGGCGATATCAAGAAAAAGGAGTTCTTCAAAATGGGACCATGTGCCTGACACTCGACTTACGAAGGAAAGAAGAGGCAGCTCGGGGGTCCACAAAGAATAAGGAGCAGCGAGACCGAGGGGAGTCCAGCTGTAGCAAGCTCTACCGGAGTTGCAACACGTACTTCTCCTTGCTTGCAGGTTGCTTACTAAGGGCGAAAAAAGCGCTTAGCAATTGTCTACATTGTTGTTGCATGCAACAAAAGTGCAGATAGCTAATCTTGCATGTGGGGCTGCCTTGCGGCAGGGTATAAAGCAAGCTGCTTTTTAACTCATGACAGGCCAGCTCATCTCCGCACCAGCCCCAAGGTGTTGGGCCGCTGCGTCCACGACCCCTCGACGCTGTATAGAATGTAAGCTGTCTCGATTCGTTTGATTTAATGGCGGCTTCCGACGATCACCGGGTACGATTTTGGACACTCGTTGCACATGTTAGCGGCGCATGCTCCATCGGGAAAGATGTCAGCAGCGAACCGAACACCCACAGCTGGCATTCCTGCTGCACAGCACAGATTAGCCGCTAATCCGCTTCTTGAAAAAGGCTCGAAGAAGCATTCCCATGCGTGCTCCATAAAATCCCCAAAACATAGCCATTTCCTTCTCTCCCACAGTGGATGTTGTTCCGGATCTGCCCTCCAGTGGGGGGACGACAACAAGCTGGGCGCGTTGTCGCATGGATACAAGCGCAGTATCTTCACTCCATGCAGCTGGAAATGCTCCTGCAAACGGCAAATGTCCTGAGGAATGGCTCGGCGTTTTCCTTCCAGATATGACTGTCACCGCGACGCTGGAGCAGTGGATAAGTTCCGTGCTTCTTCGAAAATGATTGTTCATCTTCAAATGTACCTGAAACGGTGTTGTTGACATCACTTTTCTCAGGGGAAGCACGACAATGGCGTCAATATCTATGCACGGATACCACTTTTCTGGGACTTACCAGGACTATGGCAGCTTTCTTTGATGCTGTACGACGTAGGTTTATTACTAGGTGGATATATGAATGGGCTACGGAAAAATACAGAAGAATAAACGAGCAAAGCCACATCGAGAAGTATCAGTCCTTGGACGTGAACCCAACCGTGGATTCGAAGCTTTTTTATTGGTGGTCCGCATGAAGGGTCTCCCCTGGAAAAGGGCAACCGTTACTTGGTTGGGCTGGAGAGGGAATTAGGGGGGGGTGAAATTCCCCCGAGATAAAGCCTGTAGATATTGGGTGCGAATGACACTCCTGCCCAGACAAAGGCAAGCAGTGATAACAGGCGAGAGCCCCCAAATTTGGCACTTGGAAGGCCGGGGGGAAGCACCGAGCGCCGCACTTGCTTCCTGTGCGGAATGCAAGCACGTATTACCCGTTACTGCGAACGCGCAAAAAGGGGTTAAGCAACTGGAGAAGCTAGGCGGTGAACAGAGTCATCAGGCGAACCGCTAAAGGCTTATGAACGAGGCCCTGGCTCCCACGCGAACAGCGGCGCAGTGATGGGGCCGAAGGTGGTGAAACTTTTAACAACACAATTAAATTGGGAAGCTATGAATTGTCTAAGTTCGCATTGGCGCTCACACAATTAAATTGGGAAGCTATGAATTGTCTAAGTTCGCATTGGCGCTCAGGAGTGGCCAACGGTACTAGGGAGAGGCTGCGAAGAGGATCGGATACCTGAGGCCACAGCGTGGAGGTGTAACCATCTATGTATTCGTGGAGGTAGTCTATGTGATTTTGCCTAGCTGACAGCACGCATGATACTATGATCGCCAAAAATATGGGAGAAAAACTGAGGGTTGAGTTCACAAACGGGCTATACTACCATTCGATGAGGCCATCAGGAGAAAACCCTAAGCATGCCGCGGGTGATTCTGTGGAGAGGGCGCAGGCCCTCTCCAAAAGATTGTATTGAGATTTATGTGCCGCGAAGGAGTCACAGATTGGATATTGCAGCACTCGTAATAGCATTTGCTTCCTCCACTCTACGAAAACTGGAGTCTGTCCCCAAGAGGACAGCAGTGAGGAAACTCTAACACAGTGTAGAGGCTCCGCCGGAATTTCTCGTGGGCCATACACACGCAACTAGGCGCACACTGATGCCTTGTGCGCCACGCACATGCACGTAGACGCGCACGAACACAAGCGTGTGTGCTGTTTGGGCGCGACGGGGGTGCTGGTCTATGGTGGTCTTTTGGAGTTTGTGCGTGTAACTCTATTTGTGTGAAGGTTGTCTATTGAGGGTGCAGCAGGCGCTCAACAGTCGTCTACAGTGTTAGTGCAGGCAAAGAATGGCGCTAGGGTAGTGCTTTATCTGGGGCTGCCTTGCAGTAGGAGTTGCAGCACGGTGCGCTGCTACCTTGGACAGCCGTCCTCCTCTTTGCACTATCCCCAGGCCCACATGCCCTTATGCCCAGGACGTTTGGTCTGCTGCCATTTGGAAATTCATGCATTAAATCGTCGACTCAACTGCAGCTCACGACGGTACTCTAAAAATTTCGACGACCCTCGTTACAGCAGACAGTACTTCGCTCCCTGAAGGCGTCAGCTGTCCCCCCCGCAAATGCACGGTGCCCTGGCCAATAATGATGCAGTTTCAGCACATCCGGGATCATCCAGCTTAGGAACAAACCGACGTATACTGCCTTCACCTCTTGCCATTCTGCATGCGACGAGGGATCTACAAGAGTCCGTCACCTTATCAGAGAACCCAGGTTAGCTGAATGTCGAGCTACAAAACGTAGAGTTAAAGTTGTTAGAAAGGCGCCTGACCTCCGCTTCAATGGCCAGGCGTTCTGGGCACAGCTTTTCAAGTGCCTGCGGCTCAGGTACAGTAGGCCACCTGATGTGATTTTCAACGCTCTTCATCGCAACTAACGGTGCATGGCGCCTAATTGTGCTAGCACAGTCGAACCCCCTTTCCGCTGCTTTCACTAACACTGTAGAGATATGTTGTACTTCTGCTTGCGTGCAGGATGTCTAGCCAGGCCAAGCAAGTCTTCCCTGCACCAACTGGGCAGGGCGCGTACACGAGGGACGTCCGTTAGCGAGCCGAGCCGAATACTTAATTGCACCTTGAAACGAGGAAAGTAAATTTCCTCACCTGGTATCATGGTAACCGCAGCACAACAACTACGCTCGGATTCGGGATCTGCGCATGGAAGTGCTGCAAAGCAACGCTTCCAGGCACTGGTCCATCGAGCGAAGACACAGCAGAAGCGTCTCCAGCAGAGCCTCCAACTTATTTACCAACTCTTTCTTTGGGTTTTCTTCCAAAAATCTTAATTATGCTCAGGCTATCTGACAAGAGTTATCCACTTCTCGTGCGTGTTCCTGTAGTGACCTGCGCAGCGGCAGCCCTGGGCCCAAAGTATGGTGGGGCCAGGGGACCCTGTGTAGCAGAAGCAGTGGTCTCATCGCTGCATTGATATGGCTATCTGGAACGAATTTCACCCATTTTTCCGCCCTTGAACAGTAAACGAATATCATTACTGTGGGGGCCGTGCATAATATGCAGCGGTTTGCCGCCGTCTCTAGCCAAGTCAAGCGTGCAGCAACTCCCGGCAACTACATTTAATTTTCACAGGGATGATTACCTCTTAGGATCAAGAAAATCGTATTTTATTTCCGTCGCCGGTGGGAGTAGGAGTAGGACTGCGATTTCAAGTCTCCAGGGGTTGTCGTGTTGTCACCTAATGCTGTCTTCAGTATCAATTGATATCATATTTAGGGGCCAACTAGGGAAATATTACAGGCATTGTAGTTGCTGTCCTTCTGGGCAGTGGTGGCACCGTATCACCGAGAAGAGGCCCATTCTCGTGCTGTATACCCCTCCTTTGGACAATTTCTCACAAAGCATCCTGAACCGCTACTTTCGAACTCTTACGGCGAATCTACATAGTGTTGTGCCGTGAGTTGGGAATGAATGGAAGCAATGTATGTGCACAGAACCCCGAAGTAGAAGGCACCATTGTTGAAATCCCGAAGATGGCAGCTCCCCAGGATCGACAGAATGAGAGGACGGTGGGGAGCGGCACGCTTATTCCACAGATTAATTTGTATGACAAGGCAAACAAAGTCGCTTACTTTGGAGACAGCGACCTGGCAGCCTCTTCGCATATCGACTTTGAAAAATATGGCAGGGGAAATCCACTCCTTGGGGAATCGGAGAAGCCGGCGCGTGCGTTGTTGGCTGCACTGACAACATTACTGTCTTTGACCGTGGTCGCATTCCTAGTGAGACAATGCTACACTGGATTGCAAGTTCTAAAGCCAAAGGCAAGTTCAAGGCTGCTTGCAGAAGCGCCAGAAGCCTCCGGGAAGTCAGGCGCATGCCAGGCAGAGGTATGTATTTGACATTATGAGCTGAAACCCGGCAAACTGGTGGCAAAGACTTCACGGTCCTAATATGTAGTATCAGTACGATTTCCCTCTGTCAAAGCAAAATGTCGCCGCAATGCAAGCGCATGCTGTCTTAGTTCAACCTGTAGAAAGCACGTCTTGAAGGATCACTACCACACAACGCTCCTGACAACCCTACGAGTTGTCAGCATTCTTGCTTGGTGTGCTGTACAACACATCTTTGTAGACTCAAGAACTTGCAGCCCGTGCCCTTTCGCAAGTCGAAGAATGGCTAACTTCAAGCTACGGTAAGTAATCAAGAGCGGCTCTGTAAGTGGGTACGCTTGACGCACAGGTGCAACCGAACAGCATGGCAACTATGGGTTTTACCGACTCAATTAAGGGGTGACAAGCTCGAGTTCGTTCCTAGGTATGTTGGCTAGGCACTGCAGTAGATGGGTCGGTGGCGCTTCAGTGATAAGCTGGACTCGCTTTTTTTTCAGACGATTCTGTGGAGTTCACGATTGGATTTTTCGTAGTAAAGGCATCGGTCCAAATGCCAGGGGATGCATCATCGCAAGTAAGTACGAAATAGATTTCCAGTGTCGGCAGAATTCCACTGTAGCCTGCTTGCATTCTGCATAGTTGCCTTCAATTCGCCTCTCAGTTGATGATGCGCGTGTTCACCTTCAGGATTTGAAAGCACTCCGCAGGGTGAGCTTCTTGGCCGTCCAGAAGATGCACTCCTGGACGCTGGCCTGAGCCATTTGCCGCTTGTAGTGTGCGTGTACTGAGCGGAGATAACCTCCTATTTTGACGAGTGAGTGCTTTCCGTAGGATCTTGCGGGGACTGTTCAAACCATGCACCACCATTTGTCAATGGAAATGCCTTATCTACGTGAGGGTTCGTCTGCGAGTAAGTCGCCCAAGTCGCTTGATGCCTTCAGGCTAGCGCATGCGAGCATTGCGCGGTGCCTGCCTTTCCTGCAGCTGCTGTTAGATAGACGTGAAGATGCTTGCCCCAATCTGAACCCAGCGTTTCACTGCCTTGTCTTTCACGGATGGATGGATTGTTTTACTATTAACAGAGGTGAAGCGAATTGCCACAACTCCTGGGAACTCGAAGACAGCTACGGTTACGCTCAGCGTTCGCCTTGCGGATGATAGAGAGGTGCGTTTTGGTTCATCCGCCAGTTGGGGTCCAGGGGTAGATTTAACTAGAGCAATAGGGGCACGAATGTGAGTGTTGAAGCCACTTCCTCACTGCGGGTCTGTACCCGTTCTTTGTATTTCTTGGTGCCATCTGGTGGACGGTTATTCTCAGGTTGAACCCAACTCGTCAGTTTTAAAGACGTGGATGGAGGGCTTTTTAGTGCACACCAGAGGTAACTGGGGGGCTCAAGGAACCTAACTGAATAAAGTGCAAAAGAAGCACTAGGAATTAACAAAAAGCTCTGTTGCGGTCTTCATCAACGGGCCCAACTACGCTCGTTGCCACTATTTGTCTTATCCCTTTTTCTCCCAACAGAGGCAGTCAAACTGCCGACGGTGCTCAAGAATATGCCCGATGAGGTGCAGAGTCAGTCGAGTACAATTGTCTCGTCTTGCTGTATTGTCTACGCTATGCAGAGAAGGATGCCACGCTCGTGATGGGCCCAAAGTTATACAAAGTCAAGTACAGCGAACATGTGAGTTTTACGCGGCGTGGAAGGCAGATGCGACTTTCCGACTTTCGCCACAGATTAGCGGGCAGCAAAGAGATTAACTGGTGCTTGTGTCACGCTCTAGCTAATATTCTGGCTGCTCTGGGGAGGCACGTAGGTCCTTGACCGCAAATTTCATTGCTGCACATCCTTCCTCCCATAGACATATATCCATTCTGGACTATTCCTCCGTTTGCCCGTTCTGTTGCTTGATAATTGTGGCGGTGCTTTAGATATATTCCATTTGGACAACTTCGTCGTCAGATCCACTACTGCGCCGGGTGTGTTTTGAGGAAAATGAACTGCAACTCGACGGCGTTGCCTTTGCACCAACACCCACGCAGTCTTCTGTCGAGACGGAATTGTGGCACTCAGATTTCTGAAAGTTTAGAAGATAATCGTTCTCCTCGTAGTTTGTGGAAACTACGCGTGTGCGAAGTTGGTATATCTATTTGTGTTCAGGCGGCTGCTGAGATGCTCGATTCTTCATGGGGCGATGTGGAGACCGCGATATTTGGGCCAGCCACTAGTGGCCAAGAAACAGGTCCGGCTTATGAATTGACTACTTTTGTGCCGCACTTACGAAAGATCTTTGGTAGCATTTGGCGAAGGCGCTTCAGCATCCTTGCCCTGCCCTTTGCGGCGTTTGTTTTATGTCCGCGAGCGCAGAGTGGAAAGGATCAACCAGAGTGGGGAAAAAAGAAGCCAGTGTTCGTTTAAAAGCACGGGACTTGAGGAAGCGAGAGGTGCGCTTTCAATGCCGCATTTCTTGCACATTAGTGCATTTTGACCACGGCGCTGGGAAGAGATGTGATCCCACGTTTGTCGCCGGAGAATTCCACGGGCTCATGCCGCGCCTGTATATGTTGATGTCTGCTGTGGATAGGTTAAAAAGCTTGAGCGAACTCCCAGCACGAAGGCTGCTGAGATGACGCGGTGGATTGCTGGTGAAGGTGCGAAGTTTGGTAGGTATTTTCAAGATCCAGCCATTGGGCAGCTGCAGTCCGAAACTAAAGTAGTTTGAGGAGGTGAAACATAGGGGCCGGACTCAGAAACCTTTCTGTGGTGCCTATTATCTGCAATTCTCAGGCCAGGAAACTGAAAATGATCTCCTTGATGAAGCATTTCTTGGACCTCCAGGCCTAGGTTAGCACGAGCCTGCTTGAGGGCCGGACTTCGGTCGTTTTACACGGGGGCGGCGTGCGCATTCGCTTAGTGTGTCTTAGTTCAGGAACGGCGCGCTTTACTGTGAAAGTCTTTTGGATGCTGCCAACTGGAAAGTTAATGAGCCACTCGATGCCGGCCACATGACGGCAGCGCTTCGGAAGCTTTGAGGCTGGTATCTACTCTGTACATTGCCGTTGTGCTTTGCAGGTGGGCCACATGAAGGTTTTGGGGGCTCCCGAAGAAGCTTAACCTCACCAGGTGTGTACTGGGATGGAGCGGCGTGGCATTTCAAATTCGTTTGTCTGTTCCCCGAAAGGCTTTCCAAAGTGCTCGTGCCCGTGTTGCCGGATAAACCTGTAGGAATGTGAGGACGCTTTCTTTGGACCACTGTGCCCTATGCGTATCTGCCAATTAACACGTTTCGAACCTGCTGTGGACGCTCATCTCCCTAGCTTGGTCAACAGGGGTCCCTGTATGCCCTGCCTTATGTGCACCTGTGGGCTTCTTTTTCCTGTAGTCTTTTTTCTACCACCGTCCCGCTTTGGATCACTACCAGGTACAGTGGATTCCCCTTAATAAATATGCAACTGTAGAAAAGATCTTCTGCAGTGACTGAAGAGTGCTGGAGGAGTGTGTGTAGATATAGGTTCAGCTCATGGGGTCGTGCGCATTCACACGGACTTGTGGGGCTCCAGACTCCACAGGCACCTCTGAGGGCTTCAGTGCCTTGCTGATACTTAGCTGAGTGTACATTATTCGTACTCGAGGCTTGCTGTACCGGATGACAAGACTGAGGGGAGTGGCTTTGGTGAGCGCTTCGCTTCAGGCGTCTGCCGTGCGGTGTGTCGTTGCAGCTGGTTTAGTACCAAGGCCACCGTCAAGCACAGGTGAGTGTACTTCCGTAGTTGCCACGTTTTTCCCTTAGCTTGATACTTCGGCCGATCTTGAATTCTTTGTCAAGCGAGCCATCTGTTGTAGTAGAGTTTGGAGCATCGGTGTCAGCAGACGCCTTTAAAAACGGGGAGTGCGTCGGAAAGTCAGAGGCGATTCGCTCCCTTGTTGATGTGAAACAGTGTGTGGCAAAGTTTTGGAGATATCAGAACGTGGTCCATCTGCTCATGAATGCACTTGTGCGCTTATCCGCTCCAGAAAAGCCGATGCATGCAGCACATGTGGTGGCAGATGCATTACTGTTTGCGCATCAGCGTTTCACAGAAGAGCAAAAGCACAATATTCACAGATATCATGGGCTGTCCTAGATGAGTTGCGTTGTTGCGTTGCCGTCGCCTGTCGCTGCGCGCTTCGCAAGAAACTAAAACGCATGAGTGCAAAAAATGAGTGGCAGTGAGGTACTGTGACGATCTATGCTAAAAACGAGGACACCGAAATGGCAAGGTGGCCTTTGCTTGCACTAAATGCGCCTTGTGCGTCCCCTCCTGAGCTGCAGCGTCTTCGGAGCGAAGATCAGTACCAATTTTAGGTGCGTCATTTGTCCGGCCGGCATTCTATCCCAGATGAGTGGCGCCTGTCATCTGTATCGTTCAAAATTGATGCCACAAGCACGTCAGTGCCATGGGAGCGTCAAACATTAATTTTTTCGCCTACCTCTCGATAAGCTTTCAGGGCTGGATACCTATGTTTGAGGACTGCCGGAACTTTCGCCAAACAGATACATTGCGCCGATCTTTTCCGAAGCTATGCATGCCCACATTTTTGAGTGCTAAGGTGTGGTGGTACCCCTAAAAATGCTGTTGGGCGTGCATCCTCGTGCTGGTTGTACCTGCAGGCTTGGGTCGGTTAACGGCATCGTCCCCACCGTTGGCAGATGGTACAGTAGAAATTAACAGTGCACAGCATTTGTTTTAGACCAGAGTGAATACGGTAGCTTTCAAAGTTTGTAGCGCTGCAGTCCCCGATGATGCTCATGTTGCTTCAGTAGTTTCTTAAGTCGGAGTGATGGCGCCGAAGTGTGCGTAGGCCAATGCGCTAGTGCACGACTCGAGAAAAGTATAGAAGCGCGTGTATAGGCCTGCGCAAACGAGTGCACGAATGCCCCTCCTTGTGGGCCCTGTAGCATTTCTGTTTGATGCTTCTGTGGCTGTTCGCGCAGGTGTTTCTGGTGCGCGCCCAGCGTCAGCTCCTGGTGGGTGGACTGCCAGAATTCTCAGCTGCTCAATGAAAAATGCTGCCAGTTCGTTACTGTAACCCCCTTATACAAACTCGGAAGCTTGCCGTCTCCGATGCATCTCATCGTTCGTGCCTCCGGCTAGGAAGGTCATCAACGTTGCTGCAGAAGCGCCCGAATTTCTTTGACAATAACGGCCTCTACGCACGGCCGGTGGTGTTACACTACTACTGCGTTCGAGCCGTTCTACTTTCTTGTTGCGTATTTCATGCATTTCATCAGATGCCATTTGAACGGACAATATGTCTGTCATTGTGGGTGTGTGAAGGATGCCTGATTTGAATGTGTAGCTTCCTTGCTTTCTCCGTCCAGGTTCAGTGAGAACCCAAACGAAGGTGCCTCCTCCACGTGAGCATAGCACCGAACACATAGTTGCCAGGCCCGACGTCGCTTGCAAAACAGCCTTGTCGAACATATTTAGCAACTATCGGGGTCACGCTGGGTACACGTGGTAGTTCGTTAACCAGCTAGAGAATGCTGTCTCATTAGTTCGGCTAACGTGGTTCTACTGTTTCCACTAGCACACCTTATGGAGAGCCTACATGGCGTTTGGAGTTCGAAAAGGGCCAAACTTCGGGTATAAGATGCCATGACACCTGTTTATGGCGTCGGGTGAATCAGGCAGGAAATATTGCAATTCACTTGCTTTGTGGGTGCCTATCTGCTGTCGTACTGCTGCAGCTGCTTCGACGCGTGGACGTATTCCGATAGGTAGGTCTCCTGAGGCACGTAGCTTCATGTTCCGCATGCTTGGGGAGCGCATCGCCCATTGGCGCTACTATACTTCCGCTGCACTTGGTCTCTCCCGGAGACCTACTACTTCGAAACACTTTGCCTCAACACCTACGGGCTTGCCAGCTCAACTACACTTCTCTGAAGCTTGGGCAGATGCCGTGATGGAACCACATACGGTTCGCTCGCGAGTGGTACATGTTGTCGGAAATCGCTGCATGCATGAGTATATAAGCGTACTGGCACTTCGCCTTGTGAGTGTGCTGAGTCTACATGGTTTCTTCCTTGCGCTCGCAGCCCAACCTCCTCCTCAACACGCAGGTGAGTGCAGCGTACCTGATGAAAAGGCGTCATGCTCGGGCAGCGGGAAGGTCAGCATGCTAG